CCCCCTTCCTTTTATTATTACTTTTTTATTTCATTTCTACAAGCTTCAATCATTGGTGTTTGGGGTGTTGAATGGAGCTGCCCGAGTTTAATTTGAGATAAATGAATTGGTCGCTGGAATTAATCATTCTTGTTATCTAAGACTCGAGTTGAGATCTCGGCTACTGGGGATACGGATCTCGACTGAGAAAAGTAAAAAAAAAAACCCCAATAACGAAATCTCATTGAACAGTGAAAGCGCCCCATAGAGACTCTAGTACCTGGCCTTGCGTGCCTAGTCTCCGAGCATCCGAACAAGCACAGCGCTGAGAGAAAAAAGAAAAAGGAAAAGTAGACAAGCGAGGGGTAAGGAAAAAAAAAGGAACAGGGAACAAACAAAACAGTAAGCCCCATCTACCTAATCCACAATTAATTTACTTAGGGCTAACGATGCTACTCTAATAACCTAGCGTGTCTAAGCCACTTACTCCGGTTGGACGATTCCTAAAAGCTTGCATTTCAATGACAGATGTCGGACGTCGGTCGACTCCGGTGTAATTGCGCAATGCTGAAACATGTCCACTTCTGTGGAGTTTGACCATAGTTTCAGAGCATCCTTGCAGAAGGTGGTATTGAAGGTGTGTGTAGTGGATGCATCATGCGAGATACACGCAGCGAGTCTCGCCGGATTTGCGTTCCAGATGGGCCAGGTTAGCAACAACGAACAATCATATTCGGAATCGGTTCCGAGGCGGCGGATTTCAAATCCGGGCTAATTCGGTGGAGTTCCAGATGCATTTCTAAACTTTTTTGTGCTTTTCTTTTTTCCCTTTCTTTTCTTGCATCTTGTGGCGCTTGGTACCTAAGGTAATCACAACTTTTACTGGTCAATTCGTAAGTGGTGATGGTTGAGAATCCATAATTAATTATAATAGATTGACCGCAATTACAGCGGCGGCTCACTCGGATAATTATCAGACCTGTATACGAAGGTATTGATGAGCCTCAATTATGGAATTCCGCCACCTGCCGTGGTGCGTTCATATCGACTCAGTGGGCTTGTTGCGGCTGTAGGAGCTGACTCAAGCGTCATGTTTTTCTAGCCGAGAATCTATATATAGGTTGGCATTGATTGATTGATAGATAGGGAAAGAAACAACGTCGAAAGCGGGTACTCGGTAATGGGAATTCTTATCTTGAAGACGGTATAAAGATATAGATTGGTTATCCCCCCGTCGCATGATATTTCAGATAAATAGATTCTGACCCCATCACACTCGATGGGACCGCCGGTATATTGATTCCTATTCATGTCATGAACGGACAGTGACATCAGGGCTGGAACGGCACGATTTCGGATTAGTCCCTGCAAGTAGGTCCATGCATTTAAATGCTCACGTGTGCTTTACAGCCAAGCGAGGTCAACCTTTGGGTCCAATGGTGCCCGGAATATTTCCCCAAGCCTCGATCGAGACCGATAGAGAGGGGACTAGGCACGGGAAATTAGACCAGTCACAATCGACTGTAAACCAACCTTGTCAACACGAGGAAAATGGCTGCAGGAACCTGTTTTGTATAGAGATGTGATGGGATCCAGACCACGGAATCCGCCGATTAGATCTCAACGAATCCATCAAGCCAGCACAACTGTGTAACCGAAGAAAACCCCTCATCATCATTGTTCCAAGCAGGATGGGGTACAGCAGCGGATTGTCACGGGAGGGACCACATGGGACCGGAACCTAGGCGATCCAATCACAGGCGAGAGGCCAGCCTCTAAGAGGATCATTTCCCGTGCGGTCAGCCGTTTCTTACAAGCCCAAAAGACGAGGTAAACGGCTGCTAGGTTTTGCCTAAACGAATGAGGCGCCACACTGGACAGAGATCCGATACCCGCACTAAGAAAAGAAAATAAATTAAAAAAGAGAAAAGAAAAACACACACCCGAGCGCCGAGAGTGCGGTGCAGTCCTTCTGTGCTAAGACCAGGCTAGGAATCCTGGTGTGCCAGTCTGTCCTTTTTAATTGTTCATCCCATGATCAGTCTTCATCGTGAGCAGATCTCGGTTAGGATTCGTGCGTTGGTGCAGAGGCAGAAGAGGACAAGGGTGCTCAAACAGAAGAGATCAACAAGAAGATCAATATTACGCATTTTGATCACTGTAAGAAGTACGGCAGGAGATAGGTGCCTAGAGACATGCCTCGTCTCGCGGACAGGGTTCGTCGAGTCTAGGTGCCTCCGGAATTTAGGCTAGCGGTGCTGCTTGCTCTTTTCAGGGATCGGTAGTCGTCAAGTGATGCCCTAAATCATGCCATCAATATCCAGTCAGAACTACCGACGGAATCCTTCCGTTCAAAGTACTAGTAGTCAACCCGGTCATTTTTGCTACGCTCATGCAGGCGGTACGGCACTGACGGAAAGAAGGTGAGTTGATAGGCCATGAAAAACGGCAAGAAAGAGAATGCGTAACCGCCCGCGCAACCAATGGCACGAAGATCAGTCTACAGAGCAGAAAACAGTCAACAAATGCAGGATATATTCTCTGTGGGGTTTGGGATTGGATCATGTAGGGTACAGGATCATAATGTATAAGAAGCTTGGGCCCAGGACCCCTGTCCTTACATGGCAGGATGTCAGGAGCATCATCATCGAATAAGGTGGAAGATGAGGAAGAAAAACTACTAGTGAGGAAAGGATGCGTCCTCGAACCGTCGGATTAGCTGATCATTAGTAAGTGAATACTACGGCTGATCATTGATAGCTTGAGGTATTGTCACCAGCAACAAGACACTAACGAGCCGCTATCACATCAGCAGGCATTGAATGCCGGTTAGGTCAGGCCGAAAGCAAATGCATTATGGGAGGAACCTTAGTCTGATCGACACCAGCCACAAGCACGAGGCAACCCATATACCATACCCACTATGGAGATTTCCTTGTGTTACAACTTCCGGCGTTAATAATACATCACCCTACGGAGTAGACATTCCTACAAAAATCTAGATTTTCTATATTGATAAGCAGAACGGCTTCTAACGGCTTACGTACTGTGTGTAGTACGAACTATAATTGAGATGGTACGGGGAGGAACCATTCGGACGAAACGCGGAAAGATCGATAGCGAAAAATCTCCGGGGGGGTTTTAAGGGGGACAGCTACCTATTGGTAAGGGTTAAGGGTCTTCCTTTTGAAGAAGAGTAGGTAGTAATGATGATTGGCAGCGGGGATCAAATCTTTTCGGGATTCAAAGGACGTTAATCGTCGCCTGTCCAATAATCATCCCTTCCATTTTTTCTCTTTCCTTTTCGTTTCCATAGGAAGTAATTTTGGAAGATCCCAATGTTGTTCTTCTGGGTCGCCACTACAGTTATCCATCGAATCATTCACAATGAGCAAGGTTTATTATCAGCCGGCCCACCCGCTAAACTCCTCTCTCAACCGTCCCGGTTGAGCTTCCGGGCTAGACTTCCACCATGCGGCCCATCCCATCCAATGGCTGCATCCGAGGAAGGATTCCGAGGTATCGTCTCAACGACTACAATAGAACACCTTTTGGGGAAGTCTTCGGATCTCAGAAGCCAGTTTCCATATTTAGTTCCTATCTAAGGTATACCTCTTTTAGCATCTTATTAGTATAATACTAATAAATATGCGAAAGAATTTTCCTAATTGAAATTTATTCTCAGCAAGAATTATAATTACTATTGTGTTAACATTAGCTTGACAGGCAGCTTCAGAGGCGCATTGACTGCATGAGAAAAGAAGGCATCGGTGAAGAGAATAAGAATAGAACCTTAAACTGAACGGGAGTCCAATCAAGCCATGAAGTTAGAAAACCCACAGGAATAATGAGGTAAAGGTCATTTGACTTTCCTTATGCCCGCCCAATCTCTCAGAAATGCCATCGTTTCTTTTCTTTTTTCCCCTCTCTCCCCCCTCAGCACTAGATAGAAAATAGGCAAAACATCGGCTCTTCACTTCAGTAGTACGGTTGCCTAGGATGAGATGATCATGTAAACCCCTGCCCAAGTGTCGAGTATACAAATTTATTTATAGCAGTAAGGGGGTTTGATTTAAGCTTAGTACGAGCAATTCCGTTGACCAGGGTTATCCCTCAATATCAATACCTTTTTCATTATGATACTTATACCGGAGTGGGACCATTTGGGCCATGAACCGTGGGAAGACGCGACAGGACACGTCGTGGATCACTACAACTTACACTGCCACTGCCGATCTCGGGTTACCTTGAGCGTTAGCTAGAGGTCTGATCATCTCCCATCTTGTTGCGTAAAGTCGATTAGTACGAGGTAGGTACCAGTGTGGATGAGCATGGTAGGAATCAATAACAATAACAATAACAATAATCATCATCATCATCATCATCACAATCACAATCATAAAGCCAATAGTTATTACCACAAATCTTTCCGATCTACGGTATGAAAATGAATTGATGCCGTCTCAGATTTGCTTAATTTCGGGCAGACATCCGAATCTCACATCATCGTGTACTAGAAATCCAGTGGATAGATCCATAACTAGGACACAGTACTTCGGAGTACAAGTATGTGTATGGAGTACAAACTGTATTTGTTCCACCAAAGCTGAAATACATATGTAGACTAGAAATGTCAGATTTCATCAAGATTTATTGCCCCTCTTTCAAAGCCCAGTACGCCTAAACTATATTATTTTCCTTTCCCTTTCTTTTTTTTTATTTTAATTATTTCCTTTCCATATAGAGAGGGTGTTGAAAAATGGGAGGGGAAGCTAATGAATCAAAAACCAAATCCCAAAATAAAAGAACACAACGGAGGACTCTCCCACTAAAAGTCCAGCCTAATGCGAAGACTAAACCCAAGACGAAGATACTACTCCGGAGAAAAACTCAAAAAAGGGCCTGTCGGCAGAAGATTCCTGAGCGAGATGAATTCTGCAGTAAGCTCCAATTTATTTAAGCTCCACTTTCCTCCGATCTGATTTGAGTAGAAACCGGTGTCGTTTCAGCCCATGGTTTGCTCTAACTGGGGTCAGCCGAGAGACTTTCGGAGTCGCTTCCTGGCCCTTAGCCAAAAGAAGACCCTGGAGAATGGAGTCCGTTCCGGCCGATTACTCTGGTAGGGTGTCTAGGATAAAGTACTTGACGCATTGAGCGCGTGGCACTGGGAAATTGAATCCATCGTGTCGATCGACGTTCCTTTTAGGGTCTCTGATATCGCAAAGAATTCTTCTTCTGGATCTTGAAGTTTTAAATAAAATAGAAAAGAAAAGAACAAAAATAAAAATTAAAAAAAAATTATCAAGATACTGAGAGAAAGAGAGAAAGGAAAAGGACAGAAAAAAGACAGGGAAAAGACAATTTTATCATTATCCATCGATTCTTATTTCTTCACTTCTGACGGTTTGGTTTGATGCTTAAATTTAATTTATTTTCTTACCTTTTGTTTTTCCTTTACCTATTTCCTTTTTCTGTTCTTTGAGATATTACTTTTTTTTTATCTTTATTTTTAAAATTACCACTCGCCATTCATCACTCTCATATCATTCCATACGGTCATTCTTCTCCGTTTAAACCTCCTTTGCTTTTTGCCTCAATTTTTCTCTCCTTTCTCTTTCCCTTCTACCTTTCCCTTCCCCCCCACCATTTGCAGGAGCTACCTTATTCCTTTTTACTTTAAAGGAGTTTTATTTGTTCATTTGTATTATCAACCTGGAAGAATAATCCTCCCGCGTTACTTCCCCCACTCTTCATCGACCGAGAATCTCTCTCCCTTAACACGACGACCTCGGTATTTGACAAGCAGTTCGGTGGAGCACCCGAAAAAAAAAGATTGGTTTGACGGTGTCGAACCTCCATCTATCCGCAAACAGCGCGTTCATACTTTAAATCCTCCCCGACTGGGCTCATTCTTACCATACCTAATACCTAAGGTATAGGTATTATATGGGTTATATGTTATATCAGCTATTATATATTACACATTACTGCCACTAGAGCCCCGGGGTTGCCTCAGGCGTCAACCCTCCTCAGCTTAAAGTGATACTCATCCCAATTGGCAATTCAGTCGCCACCACTCGGGGTTTCTCCTTTTCATTGGTCTCGGTCGTCGGGATCTCACTATTGTGCTCATTCTTCAAACACTCATCCATTGGCAAATTCTACGGAAAGTAGGATCATTGCCAATCCTACAAAGAAGCCTCGAGCGGCGGATTCGGGGGTTTGCTCGTTTTCTACTTTCTTCTTTGTTGTCTTAATTCTTATCTCCGGTTTATTGAGAAACTTTGACCACACAAGGGGATAAGAAAATTAAGGAAAGAGCAAGGAGGGAGAAAAGGGAAGAGAGAGAGAGACAGAAAAAAGCTAAGGTTGCACGTGTCGGGATTTGTTGGGTTGTCGCTCCTTTTCACGCAAAATTATCTTGCGTTCTTACCATACTTCACGCATTTGCTATCTTCTCCCCTTATGAGTTGGCGTTCGGTGGCTCGACATGCAGACGCAGTATTTCCGTTCGCCGAATAGCCAAAGCCAACCGGCCGTTTCTTATGAGTTACCGCCGGTGCAGTCGGTAACCTCGCCCTCAGGGCCTTTTCCACAGACTGGCCCTCCGCCTGCTCTTCTTTCCGCTCCGCCGAGTAGACCCGCTAGCGGATTGAGGATGGCTCATCTTCTACAACCGTTACCGCACCAGATATCAAATCCACCCCCGCCACCTCCGCCTTCTTCTTACTCACGATCGTATGAATCAAGCGGCTCTCCGGCGGAGGGCGCGTCTATGCTCCCAGATGCGCCACCGCTCAATGGCTCTGCTCCCGGATCATCGGGGCTTCTTCCCCAGCCCAGTGGCGCTGGCCAGCAGCAGATGCAGCAGCCGTTACAACAAAAGCGAGCGTATCGGCAGAGAAGGAAAGACCCCAGTTGCGACGCGTGTCGTGAGCGCAAAGTTAAGGTACCGAGTTTTCACCGACGTCCCTCTCACTTTGGCTTAAGATCCCCCAAGGCGGTGTTGTTAACTTCCTCCGATTCAGTGCGACGCTTCGGAATCGTCTAGTTGTACAGAATGTACAAATCGAAAAGTACGATGTCAGTTCACGAAGGAGACCAACAGACGCATGTCATCTATCAAGTTTGTGCCGCGACACCATACGTTTACTGGCTGTCTCATTCTGATTGTGTCGTAGGCAAGTACAGGACTTGGAAAAACAGCTTTTATCGACTAAGCAGCAATTACAACAGCTGCGATCGGGCATGCTGAGGCCGGACAACCTAGTGGATCTTGATGTCGACGGAACCGGACAGTCTCAGTTGAAGCTCCCCGACATTGGGTATCGGCCACCACGCCAGCCAAAGGCCCCAATTTCACAAAATTTAAGCGAAGCTAGAGCCAATCTGCGAAATTATGGAAGAGGGATTCTGAAAGTACCAACGCCGTATCGTCAGCCGGGTCCCAAATCGCTACTCGCATCCGATCCTCCACCGCTTCCGCAAAAGGATGTTGCAGACCGTCTCCTCTCGCAATATTACGCATGCATTCATTCTGTTCTGCCAGTGATCCATTGGCCAAGCTTCATGATGGATTATGAAAAGGTGTACCAAGCCGGTTCGCTTCTAGGCGTCCCTCGAGAATGGGCGGCCGTGTTGTTTGGGATCTTTGCTTGTGGCTCTCTGCACACACTCGAAAAGACTAGGGAGCACGACGGCAAAGAGTTCATCAGGACCTCTTGCGGGGTTATCGATGTCTGGAAGGACAACTTCACCTTGGATCAAGCGCGAGCTGCCCTTTTGGTCAGTCTCTTCCTCTTCGAAGTTAACGCGAAGTCAGCCAGTTGGGTATGGGTTGGATCTGCGGTGAGAGTAGCGCAGGAGATAGGACTGCATCTCGAGTCGGGACCGTGGTCAGCTCTTGAAGGGGAAATGCGCAGGCGGGTATGGTGGGGTTTGTATGCGTGGGATAGGTATATGCCTGACCAAACCTCCAATAGTACAGGATTCATGCTTATTGATTCATATCTTCTTAGGCTTCTCGCTCTGGAAATGGGAAAGCCTGTTCTCATTAATGATCAAGATTGTGACGTTAATCTTCCTTGTCCGGTCGACGAGCAGTATATCTCGGAGGGTGGTATTGTTCCGGAAGGCCAGCAGACTACCCCTCTCCTCGCCACTATACATGTTGTTCGGTCGATTGGTCAATTGGTTCGAACGTTAAGAAGCTCCACAATCAGCCCGGCAACCTTGGAGATATTCGAACGACATTTTCATACTTGCCTAGCCACCTTCCCTGCGCAATATCATCCCCAGTCCGATCAATACCTTGATCCCCGGTCCATCCTCCCCCTCATATACCTGCAAAACGCCCGTCTCATCCTCTATCGCCATAACATTTCTCCTTTCTGTTCCCCTGAGGTCCGGTCCTCAGCATTGGATTATTGCGTTTCGATCTCTCAGGACACCGCTCACCTTCTTTCACGTTGCATGCAGGACCCTCCAGGTCTTCATGGCTATTCTTCACCTACTGGGAATGATGATTGGAGGACATTGTTGGCATCCTCCGCAGGCACTGTGCTGTGTACCCACATCTGGCGTTGTGTGCTAGTGCTGTTGTTCCGCCAAGAGTACGATGCTGCGCTGGTATGTGTCCGGGCAAGTGCTGTGGTTGGAGACTCCCGTTCGGTCAATGCAGCGTGCGGACGATACATTGCATTTTTCTTGAAGTGCCTTCTGGACCTACACCGTCGCCTCGACAGTGTGGATCTCGAGAGGGATGAAGAAATGCTAGCGTACGTGTCGGGCGACATGCAAGGCAGCACTGGTGGCAGCTGGGTGTGGCAAGGCAGCGAAACTGGCTCCCAGCTGGAGATGTTGACCGACTTCGGTAGTCCGGTCCCGATGCCGCATCCTACTGGAAGAGATAATCTGTCTACCGGAGAAGCAGAAGATTGGGATGGCTGGGACTGGGTTGAACAGACCGTTCAGTATCTAATCAGCGAGAAACAGAAGCGGCGGCAGGAATATAATAGAAATGATGTGCAATGTCTTCCGACGCCGACAGACCCTGCATACCTCACCCGCGAGACTACAAGTGGGGGTGATGAACCAGTGCCTCAGCAACAATCAACCTCATCACATTCACGCATGACAATCGCGAGCATTATCTGATATGGCGGTTTCAGCCCTTTGCAATCTGCTATTTTGCGACTATTGCGCACATCTATGACTTCAAGTCAGTGCCATCTCTCCCGATACTAGCTTATTATTGGACCGCCAAAACACCATCGGTCTAATATACGGCGCGTCCCGAAAAACGGGGCAGAGCAACAGTTTGTGAGTGAAGCAAATGACACGGGTACCGGGAGTGACGAATGTCTGCTTCGTCAAGCCAGGCGTGGACTGTATTATCTATCTGTATTATTTGTTCTAGATGATGATCCGAGGTCCATGTGAAACGAGATATGTCTTACGACCAAATCCTTGATATCCATACGATACATTTGATTACATTGAGCATACCACCAACATGCGTTTCATCGCTGTAGTATTGATATTTGTCTTTTTAGAATATAGACTTTTGTTTCATATACAGTGCCATCATGAATTTGTTTGTTTATTAACATGATACTTCCCAATTCCAAGCCCCTAGCATTAGTGTGACCACAGATTAAACCTCCAGATTAATACTCCGTCCAAAACGCGCGTACAGGGCCACCTTCAGCTGCTGCAACTCCTCGCGCAGATCACTCAACTTCTCCTCCAGCCCCGACACCTCGGTGTCAATCTGGTCCGTCGATGAAGAAAGGAGAGACTGGGCATCAGCAAGAGGTAGTTGAAAGAAGGAGTCCCCAATTTTGTACCTATTCAAGTCAGAGCCACATACATTTGGAAGTAAAGGGAAAATAGAAAACAATCAAAAAGTAAAATCAATGAATACTCACGGCACCAATTCGTCCTCATCGGCAAGTTCCAATTCCATAGAAATCTCCTCGAGATCTTCTTTATCTTTCTACAATGTATTAAAATAGATAATAGATTAATACATGAACCACGTGAATATCAACACATCATCATCATCCTCCGAGCAAGATGACTAATAATATAAAAAAAAAGTTGCGTGGCGCAGAATCAATAGACATGCACATACCTGCTTAGCCTTCAACTGCTCCTCGAGCAGCGTTTCGCGCTGATGAAGACGGCTGAACCGGTTAATCTTCTCCTGGTCTTCGCGACGGACTTCATTCTCTTCTCCTGCTGCGGAGACTTCGTCTTCTTTCGAGAGCTGGGGTATCTTGTTAGGTCAGTTATTCAGGATGAAGGATATTAAGTAGGCTTACCATGCGACGTTGCATCATTTTTACTTTTCTTTTTCTTTTTAAGGCGGGGCGGAGTCCTGAGAGAGGGTGGAGGGATTTCGTTGCTTGATAGGATAGATCCCGTTAATTTGGTTTTGGTTTGATGTGGTCTCGGTGGGAGCAAAGTCAGGTGGTCTGTGCGTGCATCTCTTGGCGGTTTTGACGGTTTGCCTGATTGGTTGGTTTCAATATGTAGTATTCTGGTCTAGTTACGTATTGTAGGGCTCAGCTTGTTTTCCTCGCGGATTTAGATACGTGGTTGGACTCCTATCTATATCCTACAGAGAATGCGGACTGCTTCCTGTGAGAGTGTCGTGCCCTGAAATCAAGGCATACTCTTAGACCAAGCTGTAGTAGATAATACCTGGAAAAATACTACCCGCTTGTACGGAGGGGACGGTGAATGACCTCAAGAAATTATACGACTCTGATCTCTGCTGCTCATACATACAAACTGGGAGATTTGTTAGGCACTTTGGGGGTTGAGAAGCTGGTAGTGAGTTTACATCTCATGGGATCGCTGTTGTTCCTTCCACTTCAAGGATCATCGTAAAAATACAATCACGAGCATATAACTACACGTCAACTCGGCAGGTGAAATATGCCTCTCAATTGGGGGAGGATATCTTAGACAATATTTCCAATGCGAAAGTCAATCACGTTCTGGGTTTCTTCTGGGATATGACAGGTCCTATAGTGGGTGGTACTAATTACGAGAATTATTGAAAGGCTGATGCGTAGATCTTCATCCATGGGTAGACACGTTAAATGCGGTCTCACATATAGTAGAGGCTATATATATCGTCCGGGGTAAAGTTCTTGCCTTTCCCTCCTCTCGCCTTATTCCCTCCACTTGCCTTGTTCTACCCCCTACATTTGCAACACTGGACCGGTGAGTTTGTCTTAATATGAAACTCAAAACATGCATGTAGCTTGCTATTGTTGTTGTAGCATTTTTGTACAGCAGGCATTCTTACAGCGGGTTGGTGATATTCCAACTTACTGCCGTCACCTGCGTTGCGGGGTGCTTTTCTGACAAGTCAGTTCACTGGTAAGAACTCTAAGCCACAGTGCAACGGGCGCGAATGTGATTTGGCGCATGTACACAACGTTATAGCTTATCTGGAGCGACAATGTTTTTTCGATGCTGAACTATGATTCAGGAGCGCAGTATTTTCGCAGGCGGGCAGGGTCAAAGACAATATGTATTGGCCAATATCCCGGTGGTATATCCAGGCTCTGCTATGGCTATCGAGTCTTGAACTATATGCACTACTAGCTTAGAGCAGTTATTGTTGTACTGTGCCTCTACCAATGCATAATTCATCTTTCTAGAGGCAAATATGGCTGTCGCAATTCAGATCCGTGATTAAATATGCAAACGCTTGTACGAATGGCATTCATACTGGAAGCAGACGGTTCACCTAGGGATCACTTGGAAGAGAGACTCAATTAGCGGATGCAGTGTGTATCTGCTTAGTCCGCTATTATACGGGGCGACACGTGCACGTATATCCAATAGCGTTTTCTACGTTTTGATGTAGTTATCTCGAAGTTGTTAATGTAGCAATTTATATACAGCGCCATTCTATGTGGATGACGTAGACCATCCATAACTAAGTATGCAATATATCCTCAGTTGTAGAAGTTAACGTGGAGTAAGTCCATATACAATCAAAGTCTCAAAGGATACTACAGGCAAATTTTTCAGTAGGTTGGGGTCGAGAGAAGTAGGCTTCAATGAGTGGAATTACGTTACTTTGACTTATATTACATAAAATCAAGAAGGCTTTCACAAGCTGGCCGGATGGTGTAGTTGGTTATCACGTATGCTTAACACGCATAAGGTCCTGGGATCGAGCCCCAGTCTGGTCATTTCTTTTTGCAATAATAATCTTTTGCCCTCAGTTGTTTTTTATGTTTCTGTGCAGATCTACTCCTTATGCTCTACCAACCTTCCACAATCAAACCATGTTCGCAATATATACTACGTTGACAACGATTCTGATGTATTGGAGTCAGATGAAATCGCCCAATATGACTGCCCTTGCTTTAGCCAAGGCCCGACAATAGCCTAGGGATAATATTAGGAAATCAGGAGAATAAAATATAGAATGAATGAACTGCTTATATAGTGTCGGTCGGGTGACATCATCATCGGCTCTCATCATGTGCCCTCCGCTTGCAGATCGAGTTCTCCGTTTCGGTATCTGAAGTACGAAGCACACAGAATATCTCCCTATCAACCCTCCTCCAGTTCCAAACTGAAACCAAAAAAATATACCCCTAGATTTCTGAGGTGATTGTCTTTGCAGACACTGGTATACCGCCGTGATTGACGGAGTTCTCGGAGAAAAGAAAGATAATCCCGAACGGCCACCGCATGGGAACTTATCGTCACCGAAACATAACATAACATACCAGCCTTCCATTAAATCCCAATCCTCACCACAACCCTCCCAGCTTCAGCGGGTCCGACATCTCCAAACCCCCATCCTTAGCTATTATCCAGTTAAACTCCTCGTCACCTTTTACCCCCCACAGCAACAACTAAACCGTGACGGAACAATCCACCGACGAAAACAATCAGCGCCCTTCTTCTACCTCCCTCCCTCATACCCACACCATGCGAATACCCACAGGCCTCTCTTCGATCCTCCTCTCCTCCGCCTTAATGCCCAGCCTAAGCGCAGCAAGCGGCTTCGACTGCGCCCACATCAACGTTGACAACTTCAAATACGACCTAAGTCCGCTGGCCGGCGTGCACTCGCTCTATAATGTTGAGAAAACGGAGGAATACGTAGTGAACACCACGTATGTGCTGAACATATGTAACATCCTGAAGGGGGCCTCGATCAGAGGTCATCTGAAATGCGGGACATCCAAGAATAGTAAGTTTTCTCTTTCAAAACCCCCCTTCCCTTCCTTTGTCTGCCATGCAGAAATCCCCAATGATCGCATCTCGGCCGTGTTTTCTCACCGCCGAAAAATACTAACGGACCCCTATTCAAGTTTGCGGATTCCAGTACAAATACCCCGTCGACGGTTCCGAGGAGACAAGCCGGGCCTTCCCCATCGTCGGCCTCGATCATCTCGGCCACGGAAGCAAGGACCCTGAGATCACCCGGTTAAAGAAGCTCGATGCCGACGAGGAGGGTCTCCTTGTTAAACTCTCGGGCGGCAACTACGTCGACGAAGAAGGGAAGAAGAAAGATGCGGGCGCGGTGCTCGAATTCCAATGTGACCCCGATCGAACGGGCCTAGAGGGCCTGCAGACGACGGATGAGCCGAACGAGGAAGAGCGGAGCCGGAGACGGCGCGAAGAAGGAGGAGACGGCAGCGATGGGAAAGAACAGCTGCCGGACGAGGAAAAAGGCCGGTCGCAGAGTCTCCAGTTCAAGAGTTTCGGGAAGGCCGATGATGATTCGTACGTGCTGAAGCTGAACTGGCGGACGAGGTACGCTTGTGATCATTATCTGGAGGGGAAAAAGGGTGACTCGTCGAGTCACTGGGGCTTCTTTACTTGGTTGATTATTATGTGGGTTTTTCTTTCCTTGGTTCTTTTGATTTTTGTGGTCTGTATGGATGCTAACGGGTTGGTCGCAGTCTCTTCCTTTGTATTGCTGCCTATCTTATCTTCGGCTCCTGGCTTAACTATAATCGCTACGGAGCCCGGGGGTGGGACCTCCTTCCTCACGGCGATACTATTCGGGATATCCCCTATATATTCCAGGACTGGCTCCGTCGGGTCGTTAACACGCTCCAAGGATCGGGGTCCAGAGGTGGTTATAGTGCGGTATAATGACGTCCGAGCGTAGTGCAGGGTAGCTTGCTTTCTTGTTTGTCTTCGTTTCACTTGGCATCGACTTTGTCTTCACTGTGGGTGCGATGTCATTCCAGAAGGAATGAATAGTAGTTGCAGATTGGGTTGGGTTGAACACGGACATGATAGGTACTGTACGATGAATGATATACGCATCGGTCTTCCTGGAGTTTTCAACACTATATATTATATATACATTTTTCTTTTTTCTTCTTTTTTTGAATATTAGATATTTATTGCAGAAGGGTGATCTATTCTATGTGAGTCTATCGTGTATGCCGTTGTGTGGTCTTGGCGATCTATCAGGGAGGGAGTTTAGTGATATCTACTTAGTGTTACGCAGGGTCAAAATAACCATTAACAAGAACAAGGCTCAGTCTCCCGATACCAGACAATACGACAGTAATAAAAGAAAGAGAGACAAGAGAAGAAAATAAGAAGAAATTCGACGTAAGGAGGAAAGGTCAAATGGCGTCATCAAGGCTAAGATCTCATCATGATCGATCATCACCGGCGTTGAAAACGACAAATCTTAAGTAAAAGTGGATTCCCGTTCTTATGCAACTTAAATTCTTCTTCAACTCTTCCTTCTCTCTTACACCTTCATGGCAAATTGCTTGAGATACAAGTAATCCGCCATGCACTCATCCACCGATTTACGGATCAATGCAGCGGCTTCTGGGCCATACTTCTTGCACCACTCGGCGTCGAATTCCTCTTCGGTCTTCACAGGACGTTTCTGATGGTTTGGATTAGTGGCTTCTCCTTTCCCACTGGCTACTGCAGACTTACATGCGTCCGGGCCGTCAGACCCTTTGATTCGATAGCGTCATTGTGAAATCCCCTCCACTTCTCAAATGCCTCGCACACATGCTGTTGCTCGGCCTCGTCGTCCCATTCCAACATGGACGGATCATACCTGATACCAACGCTGCGGCAGAACGCCTCGATCATCGGGCCCGGCTTATCAAGCATATCATCTGCATCGACGACGCAGATCTCCGCCGACTCATGCGCCTCGCCGATTCCGTTGACTACAGGTTTGAGCTTGTTATCAATCTCATCCGCGTCCTGCTCCTTCGTCGCAATATGAGGTCCAATCAAGTGGACGCCCCGCAGGTAGTCGAATGTCCGACGAACCTCATCATACCCTGCTTCGGCCGGATCATAATAATAGAACCCAGTTACTTCATCAAGAGGCGGAATGGTGCAGCGGTAATATGAAGGGACACTGAAGTGGGGGTCACGGATGAGGAAGGCAAAGTGGAATTTGGAGAGGAGCTCTTTGGGCATCACGGTGGGATTACCCGGCTCGGGCTCAGTGTCATACGGGTACGGTTGCTTCTCGGCAAGACTGTTGCACCCATTCTCGATCATGTGGCCGTTGGCCGCACCGTTTACGCCACCGGCCGCAGTATCTACGTGGCCATTGGTTTCGGTGCCGACACCACGCTTCGTTCCGCCCAAAGACGGCGCGATGCTGGCTGGCTTCCCGCTTGGAGGAAGGAGATAGTGTATGATATCTTTGATGAAAACTCTCTTGCCCTGCGATCCGGTAAGCAACTTGTCTTCAAGGCCTCGACGTGCGAAAAAGAGAAACAACAAGAGGTACCCGTCGGGGTCACTTGTAGAGATGTGAATGAGATCCGACACCTTAAAGGGAAAGTGAGAGAAGGAAAGGTCAAGTGCTCCACTCTACCCTCCGTAGAAGGTCCAGGTAGCACCATTTGTGCGAATGTTTTCAGATCAGGCTGGGTAAAGGGATTACATCCACCTCATTCGCATCTCAAATGCCATTGAGGTTGACCCATCGTCGTCCATCCGGACGGAGTAAAATTACGAGCTTAAGGAGAGGGGAGAAGAAAAAAAGAAAAGAAAAAAGAGCAAAGGGTCGGACCTCAGAAGCTTCACGGTCGATTCTATCCATCACGGTCTTGTAGGTTGACTGACTGAAGCCGCTCTCTATGCGGGCTTTCTCATCGTCAAGGAACCTCGTGCCCAATCTCTCCGGGCCATAGTAGAAAGCATCGCCAAACGGCTCATGGATGCACTGAACGGTATCCCGGCAAGTCATGAAAACCTGGGAGAATTAGCAATCCCGCATTAGAATTAATGGGGTTCGAACGGGACTTCATACTCGTTCAAACGCTGTTGAGCATGCTCGAGGGTGAGTAGCGACGAAAACGGGTCTCTGCGACATCTTGAAAATTGCGTGTTTATGACAGACCAGAATGTGAAGTGATAACAGTGATTCAGAAGTAGAATATGACTGGTATGGAACCGTACACCAACCGCCAGGGATTTTCACCACCGGCGTAGCTACTGAAAGCCTGTTTGCTCTTCGGATGAAATATTACACTGAATGAAGAAGTTCCGGGGAGGAAATTCCACTGAAAGGGGAAGGTGAAGAGAATTCACTATGTGTGGGGAGGGAATCCAAATATTTTCACGTCAATGCCGAGGCAGATCGATGACAACAAAGATTTTAAAACGTCAAGGACGAAAAGGAAAACGGAAAGAGCGATAGGGGGAGTGTGGGTTTTTATACGATCTCATAGGATGGCGATTTTGGATGGAAGAGGGGCCCCATAAAAGAAAAGAAAATCGGGAAAAATCAAAAAAAAGGAAAGAATCGTTAAAATAATAGTAATAGTAGTAAATAAAATAGATAGAAAAGAAAACATACTCTATGTCTCTAGCCACTGACGAATATCCTACGAGTAAATACCCCAATCATTGATTATGATTCTGGATCAGTAGGTTATCCCCAAGTTAAAAAAAACCACCGAAGATTTATTCCACAAGAAGCAAGTCCGACGAGAGGAGGGACGACTTATAGACCGCATGATGGGTTGCAGAATTAGCCTGATTACTATTTCCCGAATGAAACGACGATGTATATCAATCACATCCACTGAGACCTTCCGATCCCAGATATCGACACCGGTATGTCATTAGGGTCATGATAGTACGGGATCTGGACTTATGAGCAAGTATTTTAGGGATTACGATCTACCGTTCGCTCCGCCGCATTGCATTCCGTCTGTGAACGAATCCCCTGCGCGTGGGTGGCCACTTCAGGTCTAGACAAGACTCGAAGTGGATTCAAGTTCCTGGACCACGGGCGCATACGAGGCTTCTGCGTTGAGGGAAATAAAAAAGTGGGTGTGCAAGATGCAAGGGCAGCAACTTGGGGGAGGGGGACGACAAGGTTCCAAGGATGGTCAACCATTTCTCTTGGTAAGAAGTTCATTCCATTCGACGAGGTCATCTCTGGGCCGTGAGTCCACTTTTGACGTCATGATCAGTACAATGAATATATAGATATAGAAAGGAAAGAGTAGTATAGAGAGGGGGATTGAAAAGAAAGTGGGGAGTGGGAGAGCTTGAACAGGTCTTCAAGAGGAGAAAATAAAAAAGATGTGATAAAATAGATAAAAATAAATATACCAAAAAAAAAAAAAAAAAAAAAAAAAAAAAAAAAAAAAAAAAAAAAAAAAAAAAAAAAAAAAAAATAATTAAAAAAAATAAAAAAAAAAAAAAAAAAAAAAAAAATAATTGGAATTAATATAATATAGAAAAGGGTGGGCAAGGCAAAGAAATTTAATATATCAAAAAATTAAAAATAGATTGGAGTTGGAGTCGTCGGAATGAGGGTGGTAGTAGTAGTTGGTAGTAGTACATGGGCTTTGCTATGCATGCATTGGAGTAGACAGGAAGGGGGGCAACCAAAAAAAGGGAGAAAGGGAAAAAGGCCAGAGGAAGGCAGAAAGTAAAGAGAGGAAAATGCCGCGGATATTATTTCACTTTTCTTCTAATCTTGGTTTTTTGACAAAGCACGCAAGGGAATTCATTCCAGGGCAATACCGATTGAATTCTCGTCCGCGCACAGCAGCCATGATGTGTCATGACTAGTAACCTTAGTCCCCAGTGGGAGATCAAATCATCATCCTTGCCCAGGGCGCCTGAGACACCCAATGGATATCAACCGTGGTCTGTCGTTGTGGTGGTGATCGGGTTGTATTGGTTATATTTTAAGTTATCATGCCAATGCGGGTGATCCTGTGGTTTTCTTCCTTGACCGAACATGGTATAGTAGAGTGAGAGAGGCACCATGTTCTTTGTTCCTTTCTATTGCTGGATTTCAACCTCGTTCAAACGTTTTATCTATACAGGGAGAAAATTCCGAGGTACTTGAACTTGAGGTCTCCACTAGGATATAAGAGTGACTCCAATCACGACCGGGAGTTGATAATTGACCCCCACGATGATTGGCTAAGGCGGGATGGGTGGAAACGTGAAGATACATAGGAAATACTCGACTGGGAACCTAGCTAAAGTACGATACAATGTATTGACAAGTATCACGGACGTACTCCATAGTACTGCTGCCTCCATCGTGGGGGTTGCTTGAGGCTACGTAGATCTTATCTTCAGGCTGCCAGGCATCCAGGCAATTAGGCTAACGTGCCTAATTTAGTTAGATAGACTTTGGTGGGAAATAACCTACTTCAGTGGAAGGACCGCTCCCATACGTATGTACTAACGATGCCGTAGCAGAGCAGTCCCTAAAGGAACTATCCAGATGACGCTGGCCGTGTGCCGAAGAGCGCATAACTGATTTCGTTGATGCCCCAATCAGACCACCAGCACCACGTGACGTCAGTGGTAGCTGGGTTCGGTGTTTCTGGAAGGCGGTGGAAGTAGCTCGTGTCGTCATGGGGGGTCTAGAAGGTTGACAAAAGATGCCCAACCTGCAAGTTATATAGACTTACTCGATCTTGTTCGTGGACTTACATCTCTCCTCAATTATAACCATACCACTAGTAATCATATACTCTCACCTGCTCAACTATTCCTTACCACTGACCTTTAACCTACATACACCTTTCTCTAATACACACACCCCCGTCATTCACACGTTCCACCATGAACGGCGCTCAGTTCACTGACAGAGCTAACAAGGCTCTGCTGGATTCTAGCAGTTTGGCCGAACAATACGCCCATTCTCAGATTCTCCCAGTTCACCTCGCAGTAGTCCTCTTAAATCCTTCTCCAGATGAGTCGAAAGACCAGCAAGCTCCCGCCCACCCCTCACACGAATCCGGCTCGGCCCCGCTCTTCCGCCAAGTTATTGAACGCGCCCACGGCGACCCTCAACTCCTCGAACGCTCTCTCATGAAGTTGTTGGTCCGTTTTCCAAGTCAAGACCCTCCTCCAGAAAGCGTCAGTGTTTCTCCCGCATTAGCCAAGGTGATCAGGTCAGCGACCGAATTGTCCAAGACTCAGAAGGACAGCTTCGTCGCCATCGATCATTTGATCGTATCTGTCTCCCAGGATTCTCAGGTCCAGCGAGCCTTGGCTGATGCCAACATTCCCAATGTCAAACTACTAGACTCAGCCGTTCAGCAAATCCGAGGTACAAGGAGGGTAGATTCCAAGACCGCAGACTCGGAGAGTGAAAATGAGAACCTCAAGAAATTTACCATTGACATGACGTCCCTTGCGAGAGAGGGAAAAATTGATCCCGTCATCGGTCGTGAAGAAGAAATTCGCCGAGTGATCCGGATCCTCAGTCGCCGAACCAAGAACAACCCAGTGCTCATCGGTGAGCCTGGTGTTGGAAAGACCACCATTGTGGAAGGGTTGGCTCGTCGAATTGTGAACGCTGATATCCCGGCCAACTTGGCTCAATGCAAGCTCCTTTCCCTCGACGTCGGCTCATTAGTTGCAGGAAGCAAGTACCGCGGTGAGTTCGAGGAAAGAATGAAGGGCGTCCTCAAAGAGATCGAAGAGTCTAAGGAAACGATCGTTTTGTTTGTCGATGAGATCCACCTTCTCATGGGCGCAGGCTCCAGCGGAGAGGGTGGTATGGATGCCGCCAATCTTCTAAAGCCGATGTTGGCTCGAGGTCAATTGCACTGCATCGGTGCCACGACTCTAAGCGAATATCGGAAGTATATTGAGAAGGACCAGGCATTTGAACGTCGATTCCAACAAGTTTTAGTCAAGGAGCCTTCCGTTCCCGAGACCATCTCTATCCTTCGTGGCTTGAAGGAGAAGTACGAAGTACATCACGGCGTCAACATTCTCGATGGTGCCATTGTTTCTGCAGCCACACTTGCTTCCCGATATCTAACTGCTCGACGACTCCCTGACTCCGCAGTCGATCTCATTGATGAAGCTGCAGCTGCCGTTAGAGTGACGCGTGAGTCTGAGCCGGAGGCCCTGGATAACTTGGAGAGAAAGCTTCGACAGCTGCAGATTGAAATCCATGCCCTCGAGCGGGAGAAGGACGACGCATCCAGAGCTCGCTTGGAGGTGGCTAAGCAAGAAGCTGCTAATGTCAACGAGGAACTACGTCCTCTGCGTGAGAAATACGAAAGCGAGAAGCAGCGTAGCAAGGCTATTCAGGATGCTAAGATCAAGCTCGACTCTCTCAAGGTCAAGAGAGACGAAGCAGAGCGGTCCGGAGACACAGTGACTGCTGCTGACTTGGAGTACTACGCTATCCCGGAGACTAAAACTCTCATCGAAAAACTCGAGGAGGAACGGGCTAAGGCAGATGCAGAGCGGCGATCTCGCTCAGGAGACGCTGGGGAGACATTACTCGCTGACGCTGTCGGCCCCGATCAGATTAACGAGATTGTTGCCCGATGGACCGGTATTCCAGTCACCAGGCTCAAGACCACTGAGAAGGATAAGTTGTTGAACATGGAGAAGCACCTCGGCAAGCTAGTTGTTGGTCAGAAGGAGGCAGTGACGTCCGTATCGAATGCAATTCGACTCCAGCGATCGGGCCTCAGCAACCCCAACTCGCCGCCAAGCTTCCTCTTCTGTGGCCCCTCCGGAACTGGTAAGACTTTGCTTACCAAGGCCCTTGCAGAGTTCCTCTTCGATGACCCCAAGGCCATGATCCGGTTCGACATGTCCGAATACCAGGAACGCCACTCGCTGAGCCGTATGATCGGTGCGCCCCCCGGATATGTTGGACACGATGCCGGTGGCCAGCTGACCGAGAGCCTCCGACGACGCCCGTTCTCTATTCTTCTCTTCGACGAAGTTGAAAAAGCAGCCAAGGAGGTCCTCACCGTTCTCCTCCAACTGATGGATGATGGACGTGTTACAGACGGTCAAGGCAGAATCATCGATGCAAAGAACTGCATCGTCGTCATGACTTCCAACCTGGGTGCCGAATACCTCTCCCGCCCTACCACCAAGGACGGTCGCATCGATCCTCAAACCCGTGAACTAGTCATGGGTGCCCTCCGCGACTACTTCCTGCCTGAATTTCTCAACCGAATTTCCAGCATCGTCATTTTCAACCGTCTTACCAGGAAAGAAATCCGTAAGATCGTCGATCTTCGTCTGTACGAAGTCCAGAAACGTCTAGAGCAGAACGACAGGAACGTCACCATCAAATGCTCGGAAGAAGTCAAGGACTACCTCGGTGATGCGGGTTACTCACCCGCGTATGGTGCTCGACCTTTGGCCCGTATCATCGAGCGTGAAGTCCTCAACCGTCTTGCTGTTCTTATCCTTCGCGGAAGCATTCTCGACGGCGAAGAGGCTCGCGTGGTCATGCGCGATGGTCGCATCGACGTTTTGCCGAATCACGAGATCCCACTTGATGAAGATCAAGACATGATCGATAGTGAAGAAGAAGCCCTAGCCGAGATTGAGGACGGCAGTGGTGACATGGATCTCTACGATTAAATGCGCTAAGCACTAATGGATATTCATTCTTATCTTATTTCAAAAACAAAAGTGTTAGACTTGGGATTGCTATGGAGTGATGACTGACGATTATACGATCGCTATCTCGTGTTTCCTTAGGATACTGACTGGTCTTTAGTTCACGGTGTATTTAATATTATCTTGGCTGTTTCCCACGCAGCTTTGTATATAGCATTGGCGTGGCATGTTTAACGGAATAGATTAAATCTCAATCCTGTTTACGTCTTTGAAGTAAATCCTTAGATTTGATCAAAAACGAAGATTCAACGAAGTACTTGTAGGTTCTCGCTCGAGCTCTACACATCAGATATATGTCTACCTTATGGGCTCCCCAACCCCCTCTCCCTAAACCACTTCGCAATCTCCCCCGTCTGACAAAATTCGACCTCATCACCCCACCCCTTCAACCACGTCAATAACCGCTCCAGCATCCCAATTACATGCGCCATGCCGCTCGTGTCCGGGTGCATCAGAACTGGAAAGATTGGATCGTCCTCGTTCTCGCGGATCCACAGGAATCGGTCCCGCCAGAGATTCTCGACCACCCGGACATCGGTGTAGCCGTGTGAATTGTGCGTATGAGGGAGATACTGCATCGGAGTCATATCCTCCATGTACCAGTTGCACGGGACGCAGACGAGGGGTCGACGGTCTTCTGTTGTGGGTGGGATGGGATGCATCCAGGTTGCGGCAGGGAGGGAGAAATTGATGGGTTGGAGGGGTGGGCGTTTGGGGGCGAAGAAGGGGTGACAGTCGTGATCTGTTAGGGAGGCGTCTGTTTCGGACTTGGTTAGATGGGTGCGGTGTTGTGGGGGTATCTTTATGAGAGCCTTACCGTATTCGAATCCAAATTCTTCTAGTAGATCCAATGTTGATTCGCGTAATTGGTATAGAGGCGCGCGATACCCGACGGGCCGCTTGCCGGTTAGTTTGGTTGCTATGTCGATACAGCGGATTAGTACGTCCCGTTCTTGCTCGACTGTTAGCTGGTATGCTCCTTCGTGGGCGTAGCCGTGGAGTCCTATCTCGCAGCCGGACTCGACTACCTGGCGTACTTCTTCTGGGAAGCTCTCGGTAGAGTGGCCGGGGATGAACCAGGTGCAGCGGTCGGCTAAGTTGAGCTTTTTGAGCATCCGTAGGAGGCGGGGGACGCCGACTTTAGCTGCGAAGAATCCTGAGGAATAGTCTGCGAGTATGTTGTCGGGGTGTTGACCTGTTCGTTGTAGGGATTCGGTTAGGTTGAGTTAATCTCAAGATAGACTAGGTGGCTGACCTGTTCCTAGCCATCCTGATACTGCATCTAGATCTATGGAGACAGCTATCCGGATTTTTTTCTGCTTGGGCTTGGACATAGTTCTCGGAATAGACTGGACTATATCCGATCTGGAATGAGTAACACTATCCTCTGCCTTAGCGACTTCATCCTCCTTCCAAATAAGGCGGCCTTCCATGCCTCCGTCGACACTTAAACATTGCCCTGAGATGTGTCCAGCCGCGCGATGAGAGGCCAGAAAAGCCATTGTTCGAACTACGTCCTCCGGTTTTGCGACTTTCTTTAGAGGTACCCTACTCTAGTCAGTGAAGACCCACGTTATAAAATCGGATAAGATCATACGTAGCCTGAGCCTCAGCCCACATTTCCCTGGGATTATCGAGCCTGCCTTCTATCATGGGTGTGTCAACCCATCCAGGCGCAACAGCGTTGATCCTCGCCTTGCTGTTGAGACGAACTATTTCATTCTTCACACTTTGAACAAAACCATACTGCAATCCAGCCTTGCCGGACGCATATTCGGCATGACCCTCCTGACCAAACTTGCCTGTTTCGCTTCCTGTCAGTACGATAGCTAGGTTATCCAATTCTCTACCAAGCGTTTGTTGAGATACCCGTGCAGCTCGCAGGAAATGCTTGATCGTTAGGAATGTGCCTCGGACATTGACACGATATGTCTTGTCCCATGTCTCCACCGGCAGGTCCCATATAGGGTAATCCTTGCTTTCATCCGTAATGCCAGCATTTGCGATTAGGATATTGATAGGTCCAAATCGCTTGTTGGCTTGTGCAACACTAGATCGGATGGATTCCTCGTCTGAAATGTCCCCTTTTAGGACGTGTAACCGGGAGTAAGGCTCTCCTTGTATATCAGGGAGGTCTAGGGCTTGAAGGTCCAGTGCTGTCACTTTGCACCCCTGGTCTATATAGTGATTTTGTTAGATCTTGGAAAGGGTCGTTTAGGGATGAGACCAGAAACATGGGATAATAAAGCGATCGATAGCATAGAAAGATATGAAGAACATTACAGAATATGCCAGAAAGGAGCATACCGCTTCTCCAGTTTGCATTAAACAAAAATACACCAGAAGATGCGCGACAGAGGCTTTAAAGAATGAGACACATCTCTGTAGCTGCGACTGCTCTTGCTTAGCTGTATACAATACCGCATCTTAGACGCCCGAGGGACGTCTTCAAACAGTACACCCGTCTATATGTTCTTTGAAGAAAAAGATCCGTATACCAAATCCAACATCATGAAATCGAATCGTAAACGTACCTAGGAATTCTCGGACTGCTTGTTTTCCAATTCCACCAACGGCGCCAGTGACGAAGACATGAAGGCCGTCCAAGCCTAGGAAGGCGGAAGACACAGAAGATTGCCCTGACATGCCGTTTAGTTTGGGAGTGATTATGATAGGAAGGTTGTTGCTCCTCTGATCTAACAAAATTAGCTACTATTGCTGCAGCTGTCATAAGCCGAGGCAGGATGTACCGAGTGATGTTCATACGCCACGCAGCTAATCAGCTGTTTCGGTTGAATTAATAGGAATGAATATAGACAAGGTATACTACGTGTGTTATCGTCGCTAGCCCAAGATTGACAGATCGACACATCCCTCAGGGGCAATTGTGAAATTGACATTCAACTAAATGACTATCAGTGTCAAACCGCGGGGCAGTCACGTGGGGTTTAACGGCTTTACGTTATTCTTTTTATGACTATCGCTATTTGTGTAGTATGTTTATAAGGCTTGTCTTAAAAAGCGAAAGGACAGTCTCCTGATTCCATGAGTCCTTTTGGTAATACGTATAATGACAGGGCTCGAATGTGCTCCATTCATAGAACAAGTGAAACAAGCCTAGCAAAGTAAATAATGATACGAGACATGGCATCGAGATCGAGACTCACTCTTTAATTCATGGTGTTATTCTTGGCAATATACTTGACTTTTGGACAGGGTCTCCACTCGACTGTGGGCCAGACTATGAGAATCTTTATGCGGTGATACAACGGCGATGCTTCACTGAAGGAAGGAGTACGAGGTAGCAGTATTGAATGCACTCTGTTGCATCCACTGGTGGAAAAATTCGCCCCCAAACACCAGTTCGTCACAAACAGGGCACGTTGGACTTGATCGTGTCTTCGGACTGAAATGCACACAAGGGCTTCGGGTAATTCCACGAACTGTGTCCTGACTTCGGATGATGAACTGAACTGGCTGTAGACCAACATTGCCGATAATTGCGCTACGAGGGAGCGGATCACCTATCGAGGACACAGGGCAGCGCATCCTGCGTTTTGGTCCACGATGTGAGCTGGTCAACTTGGTCTAGCGTTAGTTTAATTTCATTCGGATAGTTAGTGGAATCTGATTCCGGAGAATCGCCGAGGCGGCATTCATTATATTGGGCATAGTGCGCTGGAATAATTTTCGCATCCTGAGGGGGCCTAACAGGAGAGCATTCATTGGCGGCATATTTCGTAAGGCTTATGATGAAAGTATAACAAAAACTTTTGATCCTTCTTTGGCATGTAAAGCGCCACTCTAACCGTTTCATCGCGGAAAGATTACTACGAAGTTCAACATTGATCATGATGATCATAGACGGGGCTTATTAGCCATGACAGTTCCACTTGTGCAGCCTGCTTCGGCTATCATGAGGCATTCTCCCACGATGCGGACAAGAGCGACAGCCGATCAGCAATAGTCAAGCTTCCGCGCATGATAGTGTCAACGGCGGACATAGAATCGGCGCCGTAGTCAAAATGAGCTCGAGCGATCCGCAATTGTCCTTGACCAAAGTAGAAATCTCAACGAAAGAATCCTAAAGAACTTAATTGAGCTCGCTGAGTATATCGTGCCCAACGACGTAAGTAGAACCGACTAAATTTCAAATATTCTGGTCTCGCATAGCAAGAGCATGTTAACACGTTACGACCTACCTTAACATGTTGTAGGCTGTGAGTGCGCCCTGATCCACCAACCCCGGCTCTCTATCGCCTTGCCCTGCATTTCAGGAGACGATCTAATCTGGTAAGGTTGTAGCCTGCAGATCGGTTATGGGACCAGGGAACCATTGTCTTCTTGCACGGCAGTGACGGCATAAGTAAATTGTGCTTGTGTCAAATGTTCCCCAACCATCTCGACCTGGTCCGTGGGTCGGGTAATGAAGTTGAACATTGAACCAGTGAAACTTGATTGGAGACACTGCGATCTTTTTCTCAAAACGGTTGTTGTCGAGTGGGGATCAAGATGTCCAACCATGGGCTGGGTGATATGTGATCAGTTGCCGGTGGGACCTCAGCGTACTCTGTCAACAATAGTTGAATATACCACATACAGCGGTGGAACAGGACACGCATACTTGTCAATGTGGTTGCTGAGAGATTTTTTTTTTTTTTTAAACTTTGTAGCAGACACAGCTAGTTTCTCCTTCTCTCATCCGGTTCGGCTGGGTATTGCAGCACAGCCCAAGAATACCGAAATCGGTAAGGAGTCGATGGTGAGGGATTTCGGGTGGTATCCGTGCCCTTTCTAATAACTTTTCTTTCCAATAATATTCCCAAAGGCCTAAGTTCAACGATACCCAGCCGCTGTAACTTTGCAGGATATGGAGTTCATCGCGGTTGACCAGGAGAGGTACTACCTGTTTTTGAGGAAGTTCAACCCCGAGGTAGGTCCCCTACGAATTTAAGGACCCGGGATACTCCCATGGAGTTCTCTATGGTGGAGTAGTATGTGTGCCATCATTCTTCTTTGTTTGGTGGAATCTCTTTTTGAGCGAGAAAAGAAAGATCCAGAAAGTTAAATGCGGATAAAGGTCGGCAATCCTTTCAACTGGTCCTTGGGTAATATGGAAACACATTACCAGGGAGGGTCAGCACTGCTAAAGGTCAAAATTACGGTAACCAATCCACGATGGGACCGGGAGATCTGCGGTTAAAAATGTCCATCACAGATAACGATAAGAGGGTAAAGCATGAACCAAGTCTTTTCATTCCATAGCCACTGAATCGCAATTCTGAATTGTTTTTGCCCTTATAGTCAAAAACATGGATAGCCGTATATGCGTGTAAGCCCTCGAAAAATCAATAATGTCCACTCTAGAACCATGGTCGTATTTGATACTTTCCTAAGACGGACCCCCACACCCCGATGATCAGTGAGCGATGTGCGCTGACGGCTGCTCCTTTCGGAGTAGTGTCTATGTTTATGTACAGTACATAACATGACATAACGAAGAGAAGCAGGTATCTAAACTACTATGACGAACGAGAATATATACATAATCCATTCCAAGGAGTAACACATGGGCAGAAAATGGGACGGAAGAACATACCAATATATACAAACGAAAATTATTCTATAGAGGTGTTGAGACAAGAATCGTGTGTTTCGTTTCATGACTGCGGTTGATGCAGTCCGTCTGGGCTTTGGGTCTTGGCATGATGGGATCCCCAGAATTCGGGAGGCAGCGACTCGCGCTCCACCGTGACAGTAACGTCCTGTCGAATTCTCAAGGCTCTCTCCGAGCCATCGTCACTGACATCCCGATTGTCGCTCGCTTGTATGCTGACGTCAGAAGCCGGCTTGCGAGGGGTGATCGTGCTTCGGTTGTAGTCTTGCATGCTAAACTCGCCTGAGCGTAGTTGACTCGCCGGTCCATAGTGCCGGCCGTACCCCGAGGCTTTGCTAGTCCAAGGGCCAGAACGATACCAGTCAGTAGCTCTTTTGGACCCCCCTGTCCAGCTTTTGAGGGCGGGGAACACATCGCGAAGGAGAGACCAGATGAGCGGTAGATTGGTGACAAGAACAGCCACTGTTGCTTCCCGGAAGTACCAGTTCATGTAGACGTATGAGATGAGCGACGGGACGAGACAGTAGACTTTTGTCAGGATTGCTGCGACAATAACGAAAATACCCATGCCGAAGATAACCACAAGGATCAGCTTCTGCTTAAGAGGCACGCGCACTTGCAGAAGGAGTGGAAGCCCAATAAGGAGCATGAAGATATCGGCGGAAATCGATATACATCCTTGGATGATTTCATAGTACTGATAGCTCGAGCATTGGTCTACTACCTAGTTAGTTCGGCCACCTCTCTGTCACGGTACTTGGAAGGGTTGAGAACTGACAGTTAGGTGTAGGTACGGCCCAGTAATTTGATAAAGGTCGGCATATCAAAAAGAGAGACAACTCGCATCCAATAAAACCGAGGCCGACATATATGGCGAGATAGTTTACCCATTTCCTCTGCCGTAGCCCATCTCTATTCAAGCATGTCAATAGCATTGCTCGTGTTAATATTAAATGGAAGAGACTTACGTTATACGTGCGTAGATGGCCAACATGCAAGCTTTCATCGCCCATACTGAGAGGACAAATGAATGCTCAGACACAAAGACCCATTTACTTCCTTTCACTCGATCTGCTTTGATGGCCGGTGTCAAGTTTTGCCTATCTTCTTCGCTCATCAGGTTCGAACCCCCAACGATAACGACCTCGTTCAGAGCAACACATAGAATTGTATACCAAACCACCGCGAAGACCATCAAGTAATCGTCCATCTGGAGGTTTCGGATTCCTAAACGACGTATTCGGGCCACACTGCAAGGAAATATGAAATCAGTACAGGGCCAAGCAAAAGTATCAGATAGCATGCGGTCTTTCTTGCTTTAGCAACAACAACTTACAATCGCAGGCAAACACTCAGCATCCCTACTGCGTAGAGAGTCCATGTTTCTCGTGCGAAGCTTCGGGTGAACTCTGGGGTGAAACTTGACATTTTTTTTGAGTATAACCTATAGATTTAGGGTACGACGGGTTAATTGGCATTCATTTCTTGGTAGATTCATGCAAGGGACCTAGGGAGGGAGTATAAGTAGAAATATATGAAGGAGAGGTAACCGACATCTTCGGGATAAGCTTTGCACAATTCGACACATTGGCCGAAGTAAGTGCGCGACTGCAAGGTCTCAAACGGCAGCCCTGGATTAAGGTACAAGTTGTTGCTGTCGAATGGAAATAGAATTGGAAGAAAAGCCAGAAAGCACGGCGTCCCATGTTCGTTCCAAAGTGACGGGAGGATTCCGGTGATCTCATAGGTCGCACCAACAAACAAAAGAGGGAAAGGTATTCATCACTGGATCGATTGCGGGGCCAATTTGGCTCCAGGAACTGGGATTAAATCCATCTCGCACAGGTGGAAGTCGGTCGTGCTTGCTACCATCTTGGGTTTAATGTTCCTTGGTGCCTTTTTCATTTCTCTCTCATTTCACTCGGAGTAGTACTTCCTAGGCATGGAAGGAGACAAGGTTGGCTGCACCATTGAACCAGCCAACCATTTTACCTGAGTAATATTCAGTCCGCATCTAGGTAGTATTAGCTGACTTTCTGTTGTCAAATCACGCCTTCCACCTACGTGGTGAGCTGAAGAGAAAAAAATATTTTTTTTCTTGATTAGTATTGTGGGTAATAGTGTTTCGAAGGGAGCTGGATTCTGATAGGTAGTCAAGAATCATACTATGAATCTATGACACCCAAACAAAGTGTTATAGTTGAACGTGCGATGGTTATAATTACCGCCATTACAACTCTCAATCAAGTATTAAGTATTGGGTTTGCCCAAGTGGGCCCTGCGCTAGTCTCAAGTTAATTTTGGTCTAATCCCATTGAGTACCAGAACTTATTTAGCACCTCTGCCCCTTAGTGTCAGGGAGACATGCACTAATCCGAGGCCGTCAATCATATACTTAGTAGCGTAGTACTATTACTCATAAGAGTAGGACCTCGACCGAGTCATGAGCAGCATTTCAGGTCAGAGGTTAAATCCAACCGATATAGTTCAAGACTTGATTCCAGAGCATTTTAGTCTCCGTTCGGAAGGATCGGAGATGAACTTTGTTCTTTTTTCTTCCTTGTTTCTCAATTGACTTTGGAATACAAGAGCTAGAGGCCGAATCCCTGTCACCCAAGTCTCCATCGATAGAATCTTCCCTGTGTATCCCACTATATTGATTAGCGATGGGGCATACCACCAGAGAAGTCGGCCGGGCTCTATCCTTGATATTAATAATGGAAATTAACGGGCCACAAATTATTCCGACTACGCAATCAAAGACAAAGGATTCACTTTAGGTCAGTAAGGTCTCGGAGAAGCCGGCGATGGCCACGACTGGTTTTCTGACTCGCCGAGACTATGCTAAACCAGGCATGTCACACAAACCTCGTGTGAGTAGCTACAAAGTATTCCTGAGACGCTTGGCTTCCAATCGACATGATATGCTGTAGGATCAGCTGCAGATAGATCGGGGTTTATGGCGAGGTATACCGCGTATCAGTAACACGTTATATTTCCTCTCATTTTTCAACAAGGGATGAGGGAGAAAAGTCTCCATCAAAAGGATGGTATCAGTAAATTAACTGCCGAGTAGGTTGATACTAGCGAAGAGATACAGTATACCACGAGATAATAAGGGTGTACGGAGTACGTACTACTAGTAGTAATGAAAATGAATAATCCCGCGAGATAAGCGGGCTGCGCGCAATCGCCAGATTTAGATGGACGGTTCCGCTGGGGCCCCGTGTCATTGGCCCCGGCCCCGAAATAAAGTTAACCCCAACAGTCATGACTTTCTTGGTGGCAAGGGGTTAAAAGTGGGAGCAATGTTATGTGTTCTTTAATTGCCTGTATGGGACCATCAAGGTCTATTTTATTCTTTTTTCCTCTAATTACTATTACTATTTCTCATAAATTAACCTATGTAACCCGATGAGAAAAAACCCTCCCCCCCCCCTTCAATTGTCTAGAACATACTAGGAGTAAGAGGAGCGGACGTGCGACTGAGAAGGGTTTGATGGTCCTACTACGGTAGTATCACCCTTCTCCTGAGGTAGTACCAGAAGTTGCGGCGCCCTCTACTACTAGTATCAAGTGAAGGTTATTCTCCGTAATTCTGTGAGCTAAATTCCCACCCTTGATTAGTATTCAGCCAACAGCCGGAGTATGGTCTGATATACGTTACCATCGTATACACGGTAATATACGAAAGCTTTGAGGACTTAACTTGTGATATCCTTTAAAGATAATCAATCAATGTGGGGATCAGGACGTTGGATAAGCCTCCATTTCAGCCTTCGAAGACCAACAAAAGTCATGCATAAGTTTCTGTTACTTCCTCAAACCAGGATCGCCATCCTTCCAGGAGATAGATAGATAACCTAGATACTACTACTAGGGCTGCCCCCGGGCCATCTGCTGAAGCTCCCCCTTCAGGTAAAGGCTCTGTCGCGCTTAGTATCCAACCAGCATGCTTCCCCGGCCCACTTCATTGGCCACCGTGGGCGATGATTTGCTACGTACGGACCATTTTTCCACGCCCAACTGTACTCAAACTACTACTCTCTAGTAGTATGCTCCAGTGTATAAACTCTTCGTCTCACACCAAATTCATACACTTCTTGAGGATTCCTACCTCTTTCTACTCTTTCTTCATAAGCCTCTTCTTTCACCTTCTATTTACGGCTCATATTTAGATGCGATGCCCAGCCATTCTTCCTAACCAAATCTTCATAATTATATATTCGTGTCCATCATTCACGCCCCACGTCCCGACCATCTTCTCTTTCTCCTCTAAACTTTCGGCTCTTCCTCCCCCCTATCTTTACTTCATATAATTTACTCATTTCCTGCCCCAAATACGTCGCGCTAGTAATCATCATTTTTGTCTCCGAAAATGGCATCTGCGGAGGGTGTAGGGTCCTTGGGATCGCCGACAAAAAAGCAGGGAGCGATTGAGTCTTCTGCGGAGGACCAGGCACCGGGAGAATTGATCAATGCATCCGGACATCGTCAGGAACTCGATCGAAACTTCAGTTTGCTGAGCATCTGTGCTGTTGCTGTCACAACTGGAAACACATGGATCGCACAAGGAGGCAGTCTGGTATGTTATGCCGCATTGCGACAGTGGGGAGGGAAGAAGTAATGGTGGGACTGATTGATATTGATCGGGTTAGGTTACTGCTCTGAGTAATGGAGGGCTCTCGGGTGTTATCTATGAATTGTACGGTGAACTTTGCCACCGTTCCTGATCGCGGAGGCGCTAATGTGGATGCTAGTATCGCCGTGTCGGTCTGCTACTGGTTGGTAGCAGCTTCTATAGCTGAACTCGCATCGGGTATGCCTTCGGCTAGTGGTGGTACGTTGCCGAGATTTTGAGTTGGTCGGTTCACTTGAAGGGGTCGCTAATTTCATCCCCAGTCTACCACTGGGCCTCCGTCACTGCGGGAAAATATGGTCGTGTATGTGGATTCTACGCTGGCTTGTGGAACTGTCTCGCCTGGGTCCTTGGTGCGGCGTCTATGTCTGCTATCTTAGGACAGCAGACTGTCTCCATGTATGCTCTGATGCATCCCGGATTCGAGCCCAAGCCGTGGCATGTATTTGTCAGCTTTATCATCTGCACATGGCTTTGCTGCTGTATCGTCCTGTTTATGAACCGATTCCTCCCGCATATCGGTAATCTTGGAATGTTCTTCATCCTTGCGGGCGTGTTCATTACAATCCTTGTCTGCGCTGTTATGCCCCATGTGAACGGCACCGGCTATGCGTCCAATGTGGACGTGTGGCGCACATGGCAAAATAGTACCGGGTATTCGAGTGAAGGCTTCGTTTTCGTTGCGGGAATGCTCAACGGCGCTTACAGCGTGGGTACACCTGACTGCTCGACCCATCTTGCAGAGGAGATCCCTAGGTATTTTTTTTTATAATGGACCCGATAATCCTATACAGAATTCTAACACAAATTGGCAGACCGAGTCGGAACATTCCAAAGGCTGTTCTGGCCCAGATGAGCGTAGGATTCGTCACCGGCGTCCTCTACATGATTGCAGTGTTCTACTCTATTAACGACCTGGATGCCGTTATCTCGAGTGTTTATGGGTTTCCTCTGGCCGAGATCTACCGTCAGGCAACAGGGTCTAGGGGGGGAGCTCTTGGCTTGCTGATCGTAGCCTTTCTCCCCACCGTTATCACTTGCGCCGGTTGCTATATTACTGCTGGTCGTACCTTATGGACCATCTCGCGTGATAAAGCGACTCCGTTCTCGAGCTGGCTTGCGCACATCAACACCCGCATGCACAACCCCTTCAACGCTACTCTTGTTTGCGGTGTTATCGTCACGATTCTTGCTTGCATCTATGTCGGCTCTACCACTGCTTTCAGCGCCTTCGTCGGCTGCTTCGTGCAGCTGTCCAGTCTTTCTTACTGTGCCGCCATTCTTCCACATCTTCTGACTCGTCGCTCTACATTCACACCCGGTCATTTCTGGATGGGACGCATTGGCTACGTCATCAACGCCTTGTCCTGCATCTATATCCTCGCTTTCGTTGTGATCTTCTGCTTCCCGTATGCTTTGCCCACCGACGCAGCTTCGATGAACTACGCCAGTTTGATGACGGGAGGATTGACGATTTTTGTGACCATCTGGTGGTTCATTCGGAATGGGTCCTATGAAGGACCGAAGTTCGTCCCTCTGACAGACAAGGTATTGATGGATGACGCTAAATAAGCGCCATTCTTCTGGAAAGGGCGAGAGCTGAGTAAAATTTTAGACATACTAGTTTTGTTGAGAGATGGTTCATCTCAGCCGTTAATTATATGCTTGCGATCACGCAATCGTATACATCTATGATCTATACATTTTCTTTGGTTTGGACAGATAATAGGCTGTTGGCCTCGTTCTATGAATGACATGTGATTATCTTTGTTGCCTCATGTTTGGATAAATTAATATAATGCCTCATCTAGCACTAGAAACAGGAATATCATTGATACCTTGCTAGATCAGATCCATGTAGCGTATTCCATGAACCATATAATCGGGTAAAGAGTATTACATAGTAAAGCCATGAATGCACATACACTTGATTACTCGTTATAGTAATACAGAATCATGTGACCACGCGTTCTGTGCCGCGTCCCGCAGGCAGAGACACTCGTCTACCGGATAGCACGATACAACTAGCGACAAGTCTAAAGGTCAAACGATATGGTCTATAAACCATTCAAACCTCCTTTGATAAGGAAGCCTGTCCAGGAATCGAGCGCAAAGTCAAACCTCCCCACTGATACACAGGATAGCCATGGCCCGCCAGCTAAGAAACCGCGTCTGCACCAAGACCGTACCGTGGACAGCACAGATTTATCAACAACAAGTGATAGGAAGCCTTTGGCTCAGGTGAGCAATTTAGGTGAATCAGCAGGTGGTAAAGTCAAGGATGATGTGTCAACGGGGGAGAGGTACTTTAATGCTTTGTGGTATGAATTCCTAACTACAAAAAATGAAAGGTTACTTGAAAAAATATCAGATATATTCTCAATTCTTATAGGAGAAAACCAACCACGAAGAAGAACAAGACATGGGATGGTGATGGTATTCTCTCAGTCCGTAATGGCTTTGCCTACTTACGGGACATCTCAGGTAAAGACATGGGCCGGACGATGTACACTTCTCACCCTGAGCCCGGGACGATGCTATCGATCGGAGGCAAAGAAGTCGAGATCGATTCAGAAATTCCCAGGAAAGAATATCTCTCTGGGAAACAGTTCTTAGAAATGAAACCTAGCCCAGCTTCTCCGGTAGCGCCACCGAAGAAAAGGTCTGTGCCTGTGTTGGGAAATAAATCGAGTACATCTATCGAGAGTCAAAGCGAGAAGGGACGAACGCAGACAATCCCTAATCCTGCATCAAGAAAGTCGAGTTCTATATCTGGTGCATACAAAAGTCCCCTTTTGGAAAGCACTGTGACCCCGCAGGCATCAGCCGAGGAGCCTATTCCTCGCCATGACCCCAAACAGCCTGGTGCACTAGTGATGAAGCGGCCAGTATCCGCTCCTACAGGGAAAAGGATTGTCGATGTCGTGGTTGACCCCATTCTAGCCAAACACTTACGGCCGCATCAGCGTGAGGGAGTCAAGTTCCTTTATGAATGTGTTATGGGGATGAGATCATTTAATGGCCAAGGAGCCATTTTAGCGGATGATATGGGTCTTGGTAAAACGTTGCAGACAATCACCCTACTATGGACCTTACTAAAACAAAATCCGATATATGACAACCCTCCTGAAGTTAGAAAGGCACTTATTGTATGCCCCGTGACTTTGATTAACAACTGGAAGAAAGAGTTTCGCAAATGGCTTGGAAATGAACGGATTGGTGTATTTGTCTTTGATGACAAGCGGAAGCGACTGACGGATTTTACAAAGGGTAGGGCCTACAATATCATGATTGTCGGTTATGAAAAACTACGAACAGTGCAAGAGGGGCTAGCAAGAGGGGCTGGAGTCGACATTATCATCGCAGACGAGGGTCATAGACTCAAGACTCTTCAGAATAAAAGTGGACAGGCGATCCAGTCGTTGAACGCTTCTAAAAGAGTGATTCTTTCAGGTACTCCCATTCAAAATGACCTGAAGGAGTTCTTTGCAGCGGTGGACTTGGTTAACCCGGGTGTGCTGGGAACCTTTAAGGCATTTGTGCGCGAATTTGAGGGTCCTATCGTGAGAAGTCGACAACCAGAAGCCACAAAGAGAGAAATAGAGAAGGGGGAAGCTAGAAATGAAGAACTCCGGGAGCTTACCTCTCAATTCATGCTACGACGAACAGCAGACATTCTGGCAAACTACCTTCCGCCAAAATCAGAATACGTACTCTTCTGCGATCCGACTCCCACTCAAGCGAACATATACCAAAACGTGCTCGCTTCGCCCGTTTTTCAATGTGCCGTCGGCAATACAGAGAATGCTCTGCAGCTCATTACCATCTTGAAGAAGCTCTGCAACAGTCCCTCATTGCTCTCCCCAAGAAATGCAGACGAAAAGCCCGGTGAAACCATTGCTGCTCTATTGTCCTCTCTACCCCCGAACCTACAACGACACTTTTCGCCATCCTCTAGCGCTAAGATACGAGTACTAGACCAACTACTTCATACACTACACACCTCAACTTCGGAGAAAGTTGTTCTGGTCTCAAATTACACATCCACCCTAAATCTATTAGCCACGCTTCTAACATCATTATCACTCCCATTCTTACGGCTGGACGGCTCAACTCCCGCACAAAAGCGTCAATCCCTAGTCGAAGACTTCAACCGCTTCCCAGCGGACCGCTGCTTCGCATTTCTGCTATCCGCCAAGGCAGGAGGCACCGGGCTGAACCTGATAGGCGCCAGCCGCCTAATCTTATTCGACGTGGACTGGAATCCAGCCACCGATGTCCAAGCAATGGCCCGAATCCATCGCGATGGCCAGAAACGACATTGTCGTATATACCGCATTCTGCTGAAAGGCAGCTTGGAAGAGAAAATCTGGCAGCGCCAAGTGACCAAGATCGGACTCGCAGATAGCGTCATGGAAAATAAGAATAACGCCTCCCAGTTCTCCAGAGATGAGCTGAAAGACCTCTTCCGGTTAGATCAGAAGAGCAAATGTCAAACGCACGAGCTTCTAGGCTGCGATTGCGGAGGTAGAGGACAGAATGTCTCAACTCCCGGCTCACCGAAAAATGGAGACGGCGAAGAAGACGTCTCAGATTCGAACCACTCAGAAGCAGAAGAGGACGATTTTCCAGACCTGCCAACCCTCATTAAGGCTTCCCAACTGGACATGGAGAAACAAGAGCGACTGATTAGGACAAAGCGTGCGGCACGCACCGGTCGTAGATCGTCCGAAAGCTCCGGTGGTACTAAACCTGCTAAACAAAAGAACAAGATGCAGCAATCGCTGTCTCAGTACTCTCATATCGACCCCAGTCATCTCTCAACTGCAGGCGATGAAACAGAAGACATCCAACAAGCTATTGATGACGGTGTACTTCTTTCTTTGCTGAAAGATGATGATAATAGAATTGGTTTTATTTTTAAGAAGTCCAGCGCGGCAGAGGCAAAGGATACGAAGTCGTCAGTACCCGTTGTTTTGTCGGACTGAGGATAGAATATCCTTGGTTTGATGATCATTTACTTGTATATGCTACTACTTGCATTGGGGGCTCATATGGATAATCAGTCTTATCACATATATAAAAACTTATGGTTCCAATCACAAGACTATAGTTTGCACAAGGAATACAAAGATAGTACCATGACGCGGCTCGGGAATATTCACAGATGATATTATCTTAGGACAATAACCGACGGAAGAGTACAACGCACAATCATTTCTTGCCTCGTAAACACACATACATACATACATGCAATGACATCTGGTCTCGTAACTCACATAGAGAAAAATGTAGCAACATCGGCTAAAGGAAGGAAAACAGAAAAGAGCAAAGCGGCAAACTAAAGGGGGTATGGGTATGCAGGGTAAGAGTATCTATCAATAGAAGAGAAAGATAACCGGTGCGGGGTTCAAGACCGGGATAAGTCATAGAACGAGCCAAGAAAACAAGACGGTGATAGAATTCGAATAAATGAGTGGTAAAGGGGTCGTGAAATAGATAAAATTGAAGGCGACCAAGCAGTCAAGGAATCTAATATCTGAGTTTTCCGACGAGGCCAAAGGTATATGCTGCCTCGGCTTCGCTCTTCATTTGGATCATGTAAATCTTAGACGAGCCACCGGTAACACCGCCTTTCTCAGGCATGGCGCCGCCTTCAGTCTCTTCCCAAACTGACACAGCGATCCCCGTTCTCGCTACTCGTTCGAAGGAACTTTCAGGAAGGCAAACGTCAAGGAGAACTTCACCACGTGTCTTGCCGCGGATGAGGATACGCTTCTCGGAATCTATAGCTCGTCGGGGCGAGGTGGTCCCAGAGGCTGGTGGGCTTCCATCAACAGCTTCTGCTCCAGTACTGGTATCGCTGGGTCCACCGGTGGCTGCTTCTGATCGTCGAGGATCCGTGGTCGCCGGCATGATTGTTAGCCTAGCGGCACCCATATCACGCCATTTAGATTGAGTTTCGCGGATGTAGAGTCTAATCTTTGCGTTCGAGAGACCGATGCCGTCGACGTTCTTAATAGCGGCCGCTATCCGGCCAATTCCAGAAGTGGATGTACGGTTTGTTCCTGAGCCGGCAGAGCTTGAGTATAAGCTATCTTCTTTTTGGCCACTCCGAGAAGTCACTGAGGATCGTGCAATGCTGAACATCTTGCTTCCTGCGCCAAATCGTTTCAGGGCTGAGAATGCACTACTCATGGTCCCAACGCTACTTTCGGAATTATCAGCAAGTGAACGAGGGGAGCTCGACGCACGGTAGCTCTTCCTACGACGTGGCCAGCCGAACAAACCTCCACTCTTGGCGGGACGTTCAAGTGGGGTAGGCTGTTGTATGAAAGGACCTCGGGCATTTTGCAAAGCTATGTAGGTGGGGTTGTTGATGCGCGCCTGATTTATGAGACTATACAAGGCTTCGCATTCATCAGCATTGCGGGAGCGAAACATAATATTGTTGCTCCATGATACCTTAGACCGTTCAGTAGGAGGAGAACGGATACTGATATCAATGGCTGTACCACGCCGGATGGGTACAAGGGGAGTTAATTCGAGAGCGATCAGTGGTTGCTGCTGCTTGGACAACGCACCATCGTCACCCGCCGATTTTGCGCTGTATGCTTCCACAAGCCCAGGACTGACACAAACGTTACATTCATCGGGCAGAAGACTCTCCCAGGAGCCCTTATCAGACCATGCGAAGATGGAAGCAACCGCGGTGGACGACTTGTTGGGCTGTGAAGGGACGGACCTATATCCACCCTGGGAGACAGAATTCGATGGAGACAGAGAGCTGGTTGCCGACGTGATCGCGGAGGCCGGTGCGGTCAATTTTGAAATGTGGTGCTCTTGGAGCGCAGGAAGTTCATCATCTGACTCATCATCAGAGCTGTCCGATCCCGAGTAATCCGATTCAGAGTACAAGTCGTAGCGTCGCACAGTTGACGTTTCCGAGTCAGAGTAAGTTTCGTCGGATGCCGTGGAAGGCTCGTATTCATGCTTCAAAGGAGAAGACCCACGGCGCCTTGGCAAGGGTCCACTTGGACTGAGAACTGGTGCGTTCGAAAGACTCGACCCTGTCGAACTTGGGGAGCGAGAGTGTGGCGGGGGTGGAGGGGGTTCTTCACCATTTGTTGGTTCGGAAGTGTCGGATTTGGAGCGAGAGTGACCTTTCCTCCGCGTAGGACTCTCGGGTAAATCATATGGATCTAGCACGAATTCGTCGTCCGACGTAGATTCCAAGGGCTCAGCAATATAGGTCTGACTGCTTCCTGTCCTGAGCTTGGGGATAAGAGGTAAGTCCATAGACGGTACAGATGAGACTCGCGGAGAGATCGCTTCGGGTACATCCTTTGTAGGCGTCTTCGGGGGATGAAGTTCTTTATGGGCTTTCTTTTCGTCATGATCTGGGCGATGAGTTGTAGGGGCTGCCTTAGGGCCACCGGCATTGTAATCTTTTGGCAGACTAGGGACTGGGGGGTTCTCCTCGTCATGTCGTGCAACCCTCTTTGCTTTTGATCGTTTGAGGCTAGTGGGGGATCTCGGATCTCCAGTTGCAGCCCTTCGTGGGTCCCTTGAATGTAGTATGGACGGCTGAGCTCGTGGCGACCGCTTTGTTGGTGAATCTGTTTCTTCAGCAGCGTAGTCCGATTCACGAGTAATCGCAGTCTGTAAGGAAATTCGTGATTCCGTGGCTGAAGACGATCCCACCGTGCTCGGGTCTGACAAATGCTCCCTAGGCGAAGAGCGCCGCAGAGTACCCTGAATGGGCTTCTCACCGATAGGAATGTCGACACTGGTAGGGTTCGGTGGAGTTTCTTCAGTTGAGAAATCGTTACTGGAGGAAACAATTCTTGCTCGTTGCCGCTGCTTCGCTCGCTCAACGAAGCTCTGGGTTCGACAAATCGCTGGCGGCACAGGGTTCAATCCTAACATTTGAACCCACTCAAATCCAATATCCTCCTCGTCAATCCGGAGAACGAGTATTTCCTGCCATGCATTTGGTTGGCCCGGGGGGCTGCGCAACATGACTACGATTTCTCCTTTCATATCGCCACTGCGAGCAGAGACAAATGCAAGATCCATTGGGGGAAAGAGTAGCCAGCGGTCTGCATGGTCTATCTCACAGATAAGCAGATCTCCCCCAGCTCCATTCTCAGCGGAATTGTCTCTCAATAGCAGCTCTGCGCGACAGTCTATGACCTGGCCGGTAGAATGGTACAGAGAAAGGTTAAAGAAATCTCGAGCTCGGACCCTTCGAGCCTTATTAACAGTCACACTGGCAAGCGGTCCTAGAGTCGCAGGGTCACGGGCCCGTGTTGGATCAATGCTAGCAGCGGATTCATCTTCTAGTCTCGCCCGCTCCTCACGCGCACGACGACGAGCATCGGTTACCAGGTTCTGGTAGGCCATCGATACTTCATCGGCCCTTTCAGATGGCTGGAGCATATTGATCCCCTTGAAAGTCTTCGCGAGATATTTAAGACGTACCAAGGGTCGTTTCAGGAGATACGCAACATCAACCTTCTCGCCATCACTGTCAACGACATCTCCATTCTCGTCCCTGGCCATTCCTTCATCCAAGCTCTTGGTGTCGGCATTATCCATTGCTTCGCTTTCATCGAGGGGAGCTAGGTTTACAATAACATCCTTGAACCCCAATCTCCAGGACTTGAGGTAGTCACGATACACTTTCTGCGCCCCCTGCGCCCATGTAAGCAAAGCATCCGCATTGTCCTGGGGAATCCGCTTATGCAGCGTCTTCAGGCGCTCAACCGCAACGCCCATGTCTACTATTGGCTTGCTAAAATTCAATTCATCCTTCGGATCCATCGATGGCCGAAAGAGACCAGCGGCAATCGCGGAATCAGATTTTGAAAGAACACAAGTAAGTAGGACGGGAATGACTCCACCAACGAGTGTCTTCAGCTCGCGCATATATTTGGTCTCGTCAGCCGATAGTTCTTTGAGCAGGTCAGACACGGTGGCATTGGGGATGCGGCTTTTGTTCGTGCGGATGCTCCGGGCCGACCTGATACTCCTACTCCTACTGTTTGGAGCGGAGAGGACCGAAATAAGGTCGTCATGCGTAGTAAGTCGCCTCTTCAATTGGGTTGATATAACTGGAAGAGAATTGAGATCAAATTGGTCCCTTTCTTCCTGATCTTCCTTTCCCTGGGCTGAGGCCGACTCACCCTCCTCTGATGGGTTCTCAGGAGCGGGAGCCAGGGACGGGCCCTCGTCGCCTGTCTTCATTGACTCAACAGACGCAATAGTGGACAGTCGGTGATCTCCGGTACTGGGAAATGGTCGTTCGCGGTGGAGCGGGACCGGAGCATTGTTGCCGGACACCTCAGAACTCTCTGAGATAGTTTGTGTTTCTGTCAGCGCAATGTCTTGGACCTCTTCGGATGCATCCTTTTCGGTGGAAGCATTATCTTTATTACTAGGCGAAGATCGACTATGTTTCTGTCCAGCAGATCGCGTCTCACTCATTACCGAGGCGGTGTCCCTTTGGGCCTCTTGTGAAGCAATTATCTCCTCTGTCATTGACTTCACTCGCTCCTCCCTACTGGGCACTCGTCGCTTGCTTGTGCTCCTCCTCCCAGAATCGCTTTCCACCACTGAGTCGGTGATACGGCTATGAACTTCGTCTCTTTTTGTTGACAGCTTGGCCCGATTACTCTTGGTATTCAAAGGCGCAGGAACTTCCACTTCTGGATCAACATCGTCAAAGAATGGATCCGATGTGCCAGATAGCCATGCCTCAATCTTTGAACCCCGAGTGGGAATGGGTTTCGAAGGTTCAGGTTTTGTAAATATCTTCCTTGATTCACCCAGCATGTGCTCGAAAATGCCACCCTTAGGTATCTTCGGCGGGCCACGTGCTTTAGGGGCAGTATTTGGATTTGTACCTCGCGCACGGCGTCTTGAGAGCTCGGAGAAATCAGCTTCACTTGTCGTCCACTCAAAGTCATCGCCATTGACACTGCCTTTCTTCGAAGCATCTTCTGCCAATTCTGATCTGGTGCCCACATGCGGTTTGCCCGAACTAGTCGGTCGCGAGGCAGATTTAGTCGATCCGTTATGCGACGTAGTTTCTTCTTCAATCTTGCTCCCCAACAGGGAGTCGCCCTCCCGGTATACCCTCGATTTCCTCCGCTCTCTGCTCCTTGAGCCCGCTCCCGCTCGCTCTCTCTCCACGCTACGGGCAGATGGGGAGGATCGCGGTTTATCAGCTTTCTTAGTCTCGTTTCTCCCAACCCGCGAAGTCCGTATTGGTTCATTAGTCGTGTACTGTGAAAGGCGCTTAGGCGGTGGTAGTTTCGGAGAAGGAGCATGTGTCGGGGTGCGATTCAATTTCCAGTGTTCGTCGCTTATTACCCGCTTCCGAGGAGTACTTTTACTTCGTTTTCTCGTTGTGGGTGTCCTCGTGGGCTTAGATTTAGTATCGACGGTGGAGTTCTCTTCATCTTCTTCGTAGTAGACAACCTCGTCGGCTGTGATCACACCCCCTCCTTGTTGTTGCCATTGTCGGATCTTCGCCCGCACCGAATTAGTGTCGTATATCCCCAGCGGCTGACCGATATCCAGCGGTTTCTGCTTCGTTGGGGATGATTTAGTATTTTCCCCAGGATTGGAGGAGCGATGCGGCGTTGCAGGAGACGGCATCGATGCCTGCGACCGATATAATCGTTAGCATAATTTATGAGAAAGGCAAGTTAGAGTATATAAAGAATGAAAATAGTAATGGTTTCGAACTGTTGCTCCTGAAATGGCGGCTGGTGCTTTTGTTGATAGCATGTATTGTACCCGACGACGTCACTCGGAGATTGTTTGTTTATTGGCGGTAATTAAGGAACCATGCAGGGGTTTTATTACTTACAACAACGGAATCCCAGTTGATCTTCCAGAGAACACTGTCACAGAAGGAAGTCGATCACAGCTTCCAAGAAGGAAAGAAAAAGAAAGAAAGAAGAGGGAAAAGATGCAGAAAGAGAATGGAGAACAGGCGGTGGGCGGGTGGTGAAGATGGGGAGGTTCCAAGTGACTGACTTTGACTTCCTGCTGATGATGGAATTGCGGGTCAGCTGCCTAATTCTTTTTTACGTTGAAGATAATAAGAAAAAAATATAATTCTAAAAATATAATAGATATTTTTACGATGGTCATAAGGAACCGTACTTGTAAACAATCATGTATAATATTCCCACTATCGACGATATTCAATGCCTTGGGTTGGGTAGGGAAAGTACGGTCATTGTCCAATGTGGTAGATGATTCGATGGCTGTTCAAGTGCAGGTATCAGATACCAGTCAGGTACATACAGAGTACACTGGAGCTACGGGCTGCCGGGGAAACCAAAAAGATCAACACTGAAAGAGTTGGCACCAAGGCAGGAGTGGAAGAGAATTGGTCTAACCGCTTCCGGTTTGATACATGGGCACTCAGTGCCCCTCACCTATTTCCTATTGGACGCCTGCGGTCTGGACCGTTTGAATGCTGCCAGTGTCATGGATCCCCTGCCGCCGAGGAATGAGCTTTAACCCTATTAATATATATATATATATTTATTTGGACTCCAGATACAGTTATGTCTTGTCCCACGCAGACGGCTATTCAAGTGAAACAAGTTAACCCTGTAGTATCCTTGACCGGCGGTGCTCCAATGCACTCTACCGCTGTGATTCGTTCATGATCACGTCGAGTCCATATCATCGAGGGGTGCGAGTCGAACCAGGTCAGTTCATGATCAGTGCCACAGTACCCTAAGACTAGACGCGTCGGAATGGGGGGATCATTGGTTGGTTGCATGTCTATCAAGACATTGGACAGTCAATATTATCATGACCAAACAGCATTGTCGGCAGTGATCCACTCGTTACGCGCCTCGAGCTGAGAACCGATCCTATCTACAGTAGCTATTTATGTATCGACGAGTGTTTAATTTGTCTTTTTTTTTCGGCGATTTAATGCGTATTAATTTATTTATAGTTTTTTGGTGCAAATCATCCGAAAGGGTGTATAAATAATTAAATATATACCCGATGCATAGAACCCAGAACCCATTTTCACCTCCATCCTGCTACTAGTACTCAGATAGATACTAGTACGCCACCTTCGCCGACCCTCATTGGGTCTTACGGCCAGATGCAGTCGCCTCCAGCCGCTCGAATGCGTTTTTTACTGTCCTTACACTCTGCAAGAAATAATCTAAATCCCAAGGTAAGCCGTTGCTCGGCGGAGGCAGCACGATAAACATACAGAGTGGAACCACAATCCAGATAAAGTTCATGAAGAAATAGTACACCCAAAAGTAGAAGCGTTCTGGCCGGCAATACGGGCGGTCGTGAGCGTAGTGATCATACAAACTGGTCGCATAGTACAACGAATCGCCGTAGAGGTGGCTCAGGCAGACGGTCATTTGTAGCGGATGGCGGAGAGAACTTCGAGTGAAAATGGAATATGCGACCAGAAGACATAGAGGACCCCAAACGAGCTGTTCAGCAGCTCAGTCAATTGCGTTGCCCATATTTTACCATATGAGCTTTCAGGAGGGACGTACCACAGTGATGGTCTCCATGCAGAGGACCATTGTGTCCGCTATCATGTATCTCGAATCGGACAAGGCATACTCTTTCCATAGTTGCCCGAAGAAGTCCTGGGCAGAAGCCATGTGATGATGATTTAACATAAAATACCCTTCAAACATGCAATGCGTAGAACCCGCTATATGCTCACAATAAATTAGTGTTGAACCGTGCCACAGGGCCTGAACAAGCTGAGAGGAACCATACATAAGAAGAACCACAAAATAGCAAACCGATCGGCCTTGCTTAGATTTGGTCGAAGCACGCTAGTTAGGCTGAAGACTGTGCCTAGTAAGGTTGCGGTGCCAATGCTGGCTGTCGTGAGGAGCCGGAGAAGTGAGGCATCATTGGGGACATAGTCGGTAATTGGTGCATCGAGAGGATAGTACGGGTGCAATGGATGTTCAGAAAGCATCATGGGCAAAGAATGAATACGGACAGGATCTTTTGATGACCAAGAGAAGAGATCGGGCGTCTTATTGTCTACTCTTGAAAATGTGTTACGTTGAGGCAAATCGCGGCTCAAAAGACTATTGATATGCCAAGACAATGGGGCTCAGGTGAGCGATATCGATTAGGACTGCTTCAACCGGGTTCAGCCATCATTCTAGCAGAAGAGTCTGGATTAGTATATAGGGTAGCTCCTTACCGATTGTCTGGTCACTGAGAAAGATTGGATTAATTGTGCCAGTGTGATGATGGGTTTCCCAAAAAGGTTAAATGAGATAACTCATACCATACTAACCGGGTCAGGCTAGACCAACTCTTCCTGCCTCAGGCTGTAACCCAAGCTCCATCGGGATCTCCACAATTCCCTCCGTGTTATCGTCAACGTCGATGGTCGGGTCCAAGGTCCGCATCTCCTCAATGCTACCACACCCGTGAGGACGACCATTTGGACCATCTAATGGAGTCTGGAAACTCCTTTTTTCACGCGCGTTCCTACAATGGCACCTGGTCCTTTTAAAAGAACGCCTCTGGGGCTTGATGTGCCCCGCTCGCCTGCCTTGGAGGCGCCGCCTCCGATTGCCGCCTTATTCGTCATCCGCTTCGACATCAAGGCCGGGTAAGTTAATTCTATTTCATCCACCGAGAGCGTACTGACTGTGGAGGTAAATATAGCTATGTGGTGTCGTGGAAGCGTACGGTTGCTGGAGGTGAGTAGTATATTCATAGTGATCGCTGCTCTCCGCTCGAACTTCGCTAACTCGCTTCACCCGGATGACTAGCTGAAGTTGAAGGAATCGTCGAATACAAGTCATTGCCATCTGGTTTGCACAATGTCTCGGAAGATCTAGTGTACGTTGGAAAATGCCGGTCGCGCTCATTCTCCGGTTAATGGTCATTTCAGGTACTTCGTACATGAACAATATGCTGGAATTAGCGCCTTTGTCAATCGGCCTGCGGAGGAAGTTGAACGTAATGCAAAGATGTTTGCTGTTGGAGTTCTAGTACCCTTGAGCTCTGGAAGACTAGGGAAAAGCTGGCGGCATGCTCCAAAACTCAAGGAATTGGCACAGTGAGTAGATCCCTTGTACATTTCCCGTGGGCGTTCGTCTGTTCTAACCTCTGCAACCTTATTGCAGGAGTTATGCCCCTGACATGTCTAACACTGAGTTATTATCGAAGTACTGGGAAACATATGAGATCCGTGAGAGCGACTTCTCGGGCATGCCTCCGGATTCTCCTCTTGAATCACCTCTTAGCCTCCGGCTGCGCGCACATGGAGAGCGACCAGATAACTCACACAGAAGCCGTACATTCAGTGACGCTATTGTGCTGGAAACGCCCAGGCCGGCCCTGACGCCTTTCCATCCGGCTTCATCACTTCCCGGGTTTCTTGATTGTTTTGGGCCTCTCATTTACCCATTGTACAGAGCAACATTACTACGCAAGAGAATACTTTTCATGGCTGAAGCACCCGTCCATATGCCTTGTAATTATGGTAAGCCCTATATTCTTGCTTTTTGGAACCCCCGTTGACCTAGGGTAGTATACGATTTGTCTCTGTTAGCTTCCTTGCCTAATTCGCTTGTTCCACTACTCCCGTCAACTGGTATCCCTAGTCTGCGACCTCGACCACTCTTCAACGTTGGTATCCATGATATCCCGTATCTCGCATCTTTTGCAGGTGTCCCAGCCAACGCCCAGCCACATGCTGCTTGGATTGCCTGTAGCACGGATAGTGTGCTAACCATGAAGTCCGAGCTCTTCGATGTCCTTGTTACGTTACCCCCACCTCACTCTAAGGATGCAGCTGAGAGGGTATTCCCAAAGATTTCTGTATTGCCGTTACCGACTGCGAAACACAACACACCTCAAGCGATCCAGTTGAAGGCTACGCAGCGGGATGCGCGCCGCTATGCTATACTTCGCAAGGGCTTGCACCAAGTTGCCTCGAGCGACGATGGCCAGGCTGGAGAGGACGATGATTTAGATGCAGTGTCAACCTATTCGTCTAGTCCCATTGTTGAGCCGATCTCTTGGACTCGCCTAGCCTACACCTCATTTATTTGGTGGGCGTCGGCTGGTGAGAAGCGGGATGGGCTATCAGAAGAAGAGGAGGAAGAGCATCAAATTCAACAAGATACCCAACTTCTAGCGAGCGTAGAAAGCCCCCCTAGCCCGCCTTCTGGATCTATCAGCCGTAGGAGCTTGCAACCATCGGATACACCTCGCCAGCCTCCTGAGATTGCAATTGTGGCATACTTCCGTCGCATGACTACTCAGCTTTTCGTTACCCTATCCGATGCCATCGCACGACACGACAGTCAAAACGCATCTGATGAAGAAGTGGAACCCAATGACGATGATCATATTCCCTACGAAGACGATCCGGGCGATGACCTCGAACCTCCTGTTACTATAGGCCGCCAATCTACTCGAGAAGATGATAGATCTCCACTACTCCAAGAGGAGCCATCATCTGGCTCATCGCGCGGCAAGGACGAACCAATCAAAATTACCACGGAAGACATGGCTGAGATGGGACTAGATGTTTGGAGCGCAGCAGACCGTATCTTCGTCGAGGAACTGGTCCGCTGTTGGTGGGGTCGCAAAGCATATGTGGACTGTGCCCGTATACGGTGCTGTGGGATTTCCATTATTTAGATATAGAGTCATCCTATGGATTGTTCTTTACTCGAGGGACTTTCAGGTAACTTCCGTGTATAACAACATGCATATTATGGAGTATACACTCAGTTACTATAGTGTGCCTTAGAAGAAACAACCCAACTGTATCGCCCTTCCACTTGGTTCAAAAACTCAGGTCTCGTTAGCTTGGGTGGTTGTCCTGCATAATATGCAGTTCTACTCAGAGTGCTTCCCCGGTGGGGTCTTATGTTTGTTTCGCCCGCACCCCCGTGATGGCGGTGCGACTCAACAATCCATATTCCCGTGGAGGTTTTCCTCGAACTTATACTGAGTTCACCAATATAAGGTACCGGATTACGTCGTAGATACAACGCATTCAGGTTTTCGAACCCTACAAAAAGCTCCCAAAGTACTGTCTACCATCTACTATCCGCATAAAGACCAAGGGACCTCTTCCCGCCATTGCAAATAGGCAACGTTTCACCTCTCCTTTACCTGGAATCCATCTATGCCTTAGTCAAATCACGCAAATATTTCTTATCTATTCTTCCCCTACGTAAGAGCCATTCGCCTCACGAAGCATTGTTGAGCTCTTTCTAATGAGACATCTAAACTCAAATATATCACGTGATCACAATAACCCTGGATATAATGGTCACGAAAAGAAAAATAGGACTAATCATGCCAAGGATGAAAGAATGATAATTTCATGTCAAATCTATGGCATTTATTACCAAGAGATAATATGTCAAATGGTATCTTTTCTGACCAGTTACCACTCGCCACAACGATACATACGGATCTTCTATAAGCCTATCAGTGACAGTGACAAGAGTGCGAGTGAGAAGAAGACCTGCGAAGCCTACAGCACTACAGCATAATCTATCCCCAAAGTTTCAAGCTCATTCCCACAATCCGCCCCTCACCTAGAGATCAAACGACCGCAGAATACCATGAAGCTCCACCTTCACTGCAGACAGCGCCACTTCCCTACAAGTCTCTTTAACACGCCGAGAAGCCGTCGCTCCAGGTATAAGGACAACGGTGCCACAAACCCCCGTATTTCGAATGTGCACGAGTCCACACCAGACCTAACTGCTTGGCGTGACCCCGGCGCCCAGGGAACACATTACGCCCGTCAACCAGGTCAAGGTTTTTAGAAAGCTTCTGTCCCACCATCAGTAAAATCGTACATTCACCAGAGAGACAACCCGCAAGTATATGCAGACCCACCTCGGGTTAAGACCCCCCAAATATATGCCGAATATCATTGTGTAGAGTATCCTCCAGCCTAGTAACCCCCGTATCCCAACGGCGCATAGGCCAGAATCGGAACCCCCAACTCCTACATGCGGCTGCCACCCCGTTGGTAAGTGTCTTGGTGCTCCAGAAGGAAATCTCGACATCGACAACCCGGGCGGGACACATAGCATGCGCATGCCGGATCTATCGTCGCAGCACCTACTTCCAACAGTCCGACGGCGCCTATCTGACCCTCGCTAACGAGCTCCTTGAGCGCCCCCAGCGTCCCCTCGATGGGGACATCACGGTCCATGGCGGGCCCAAAGATGTCAATTTTCTTGACCCCGCCCAGAATGCGGTTGTGTTCTTCGGTGCTGGCGCGGATGCCGTCCCTGGTGGTGATTGGGGATAGCGTTGTGGGAATAAAACATGCGCGGATAAAGAGGGCTACGTTTGAGGCGCCTCGGGCCTTTTTTCGAAATAGCGGCGGAGCAGCCAGAGGCCTGCGGTTGGTGGCTCTGAGGGGACATTCCATAGACCGAGGAGGATCAGACTGTGGCGGAACTGGTGATGGCCGCTTTTATAACAATGAAGGCTTAGTCGCATCGCGTGACTTGGGGGCGTCATGTCATGCCGAGTAGGCCAAAGCCTGTGGTGGGGAGAGGATTCGAGGTGGGCATGACGGTATTACTTGGAGTAGGCCCCTTTTCATGGACTAATAGCAATAGAAAAAGTAGATAGGGCTATTACTTGGTGATCTTCAGGCTCGGACGAGCTGTTCGAATTGTCCGTCTAACATTATAGCAGGCCGGGGTTAGTATGAGTTTATCGGACTTAGACACGGACAATGAAGCCGAATTTAGGGATCGTGATGGGTGCTGTAGATATCATGGTACACTTGTATTCGTCTGGCTAGGGAACAGGAGCAGAGTCGAGTAAAGCAAATTAACGAACCCCAAGTGTTAGTTTGGTAGTTAAGTAGAAGATTATTACAAACTGTGCTTGCTAGCAAGCCCATGTATAAATCTCCCCGAAGGCCGAAAGGGACCCATCTGGGTGCTCAGTTGACCATTTGAAAGGCATTAATGGTGTCAGCCTTTTCATTTGCCGTATCGTAGACAGTCGCTAATTACATAAGGAAAAGTATATACAAAACGACAAAAGAAAGGGAAAATGGTGAAATGAAAGGATTAATGCACGGTAGAGTTGGTACGATGCAAGCTAAGCATGCAAAAAGGGAGGAGAGTATTCTAGCCTGACCAAATCTCTCTATCTTTAGGGATTAGAAATAAAGATAGGCAGAAGACCATCAGGCAGAGAAATTCGTAAAGGCGAATGAGGAAACTAGAAACCACTGAGCGGTGATTGAAAGATCCGTTAAAATATTAGTCTAAAAACTTCCCGAAACGCCGTCATCTTGGGTCACCAGGGTATCATTCGAATAAGGTATCCAGAGTAAAGAAAGACTCAATACAAAATGTCGTAAACATCCAGGAGGGCATGTGAAGTAGGGAAGATGTTACCGGTGGTACATCCTAACTGGCGCACTCATGTCCCTTCGACTCCGTGTCTCGCTGTGCCTTCCGTCTGGATTCTGAACTGCGGGGATCCGGCGTGCTCTAACAGGAGTCACGCCCATGCCACCAGTGCGTAGTGTACTTTCATTAGCACTAACAGATCTCTTCATGGCCCTTCGTGCTCGGATTTGTGCTAAGGCTTCCTCTCGGTCGATAGGCGTTCCCGGGACACCGTGTAAGTAATTTTGCTCCAATACTTCATTTCGCAACGGTATTCTCTTGATACTATCACGACCATCGATATTACCTTCAAGCAGATGCTGCTCTGGTACTTCAGACTCCCATGGCACGTCACTAACAGCGGGGCAAGGGCGAGCCTCAGAGGCGCAGAGCGGAGCAGTTTCATGGACTGTCTCAAAGGGTGTCTCCTCCCAGGGTACCTCATACTTTGCAAGTGGGCTATTAGCCTTGGGCTGAGGGGTCGACTGCTTCTCAAGACCAAATTGGGAAACCTCTAAAATATTATACTCCGGCTTTTTGATCGGAGACTTCCGCACAGGAGATGGGATAGTATGGAAAGTCCCGCTGGTAGGTGAAAAGGTGATAGTAGTCTCCTCGGGCGGTTCCTGATCTTCTGTATCCGGCTCCTCGGCGGGTTCATTCGACTGACCAGAGCTATTATTCGGAGCCGAGAGGGAGGCTTCAATATCTGTATTGGGGATGGGCTGAGCATCTTTGTCACCCACATTTTCGCCTGCCCCGTCGGCCCCATCGGTGCTTTCTGTTTTGTGGTCTGTCGTTTCATGCGTGTGGCTTTCTTCCAGCATTTCTTTGATGCGGCAAGAGCATCGTTTAAACATGCATTCCACATTCATGAACTGAATCAGATCTTCCGCATCAACCCTCCTTCGTCGCTCGGTTTGTAGTTCCCTTTTCAATAGAGCCATTTCATCCATTTCCCATTCGAACAGATCGTTCTCTATCCACACACCCTTTTTCTGAGTTTCATTCCAAGGCCTAACATTTGAGACTCTTGGCCTCTTTGGAGGAGTATCTTGGGCAATAGAAGTGTTGGGGCGATCTGTCGCTGGCGTATCATCAGATTCTGCCGCGGATCGTTTCGGCCTTCGAGGAGTCGGCGTCTTAAGGAATGCAAGGTCGCCTTCCGCGAGTGATAGTCTTCCAACATTTTCTTTGTGCATCTTCCGAGCACGTGCTTCTAGGGCGTTTGCATGGTTGTTGGCATCCGCTGCTCGCAGGCGTCCCTTCAATACCTCAATTTCTTCCGTAAGACCTGCAAGTGTGTATGCACGCTCGAAGGCCTCCTGTTTTGCTTTTTCCTTCGCTTCCCGTTCTGACTGTACTTCATCCTTGAGCGATTTGGCCTCTGATCTTGCCTGTTTCAAGTCTTCCTGGACTTTCACCAATACAGATCCTGCGCGAAAAGCCTCTTTTCTTGCCTTTCTAATTTCCTTCTCAAACACTGCCCTTTCATTCGTTTGGCGTGCCTTTGCTTTCTGTAGTTCTTCCAGTAATGACTCGAGTCTCTCACTGATCCGGCGCTCACGGGATTGGGCTTCCGAGAGTTCAGCAGAAACATTCGCCAGTGCAGACTCTGCCTCCTCACGGCCAAGGATGGCACGTTGAAGGGCTGCCGAGTTTCCGGCAGATGACTGTGACTGGGCTGCCGCCGGACTGTTCCCTCGCGACAGATTGTTCAGAAACGCAACTTTGGCTTGGACGTCTGAAAGACCTCTAGGCTTCCGTTGCATACTGCGTATATCATTAGGTAGCGATGGTGAGTTGTGAAATGTTTGTTGATTCATACGCTCCGGCGAAAGAGGATTCAGTACCTTCGTTGGACTTGAAAGAGGATTACTGAGCACTTTTGAAGGGCTAGACATCACGCTTGACGGGGAGTCCATGACCAAAAGCTATATATATTATCCGGTTAGTAGAGTAGAAGGTATCCCCACGTTGGGCATGACAGTCTGCCTTGGGAAAAAATGTATTGAGGGGAAGAGCAAGTCCCGTCGTTAACTGATCGTTGTGGAGGTGTTCGGTTGATCCCTATCGGTGACGCACCCACAACAACGCCCTTTAGCTTGTTTATTGCCCACCAATAGAGCGTCAGGTGACTGTTGCCCTTGACGACAAAGCCTTACCGGATGCGGTTACGTTACTGTCACGTGTATGAATATATCCGCTAACCCCTAAACGGAAGCGAGTATTCCACGTGGTCTGTGCGTTTGGCTTGTGATGCCGTCAGTTAAATCTGTATAAATTTGTATAGAGTGTCTGTCTACTTCTTCAAATATGGTAGGCCCTTCTTCGAGAACCTCTCACAATCATTCTATGATATAGTCTCATCTATTTCCTAGATATATACCGTGTATGTACTTCATGACTGTCAAGATATCTGGTGAACCTGTCTGCTAATAATATCACTGTGCGTACTAAGTTCTGGTTAAACATGCGTGAAATCGTTACCCTTCAGCTAGGGCAGCGAGCCAATTATTTGGCCACTCACTTCTGGAACCTCCAGGTACATACTATTTGGAATCCAAGGCCCATGCACTAAATACTAAACATACTCACTTAACTCTCAAATATATAGGAGTCGTATTTCACTTACAATCAAGAAGATGAATCCCCCGTGGATCATGATGTTCATTTCCGTCCGGGCATCGGAGCAGACGGAACAGAAACATTCACTCCTAGGACCATAATCTATGACTTGAAGGGTGCCTTTGGTACTCTCCGAAAATATAATGCCCTATATGAATTAACAGAGGATGCGAACCTTGGCCAAAGCTTATGGGACGGGAAAGAAATAATACAACAACAGCCGGCAATTCCTCAAAGTGACTATCAGAAGAACCTAGATGCGGGATTTCCCGCTCCCCAACTCACAACTGAGACAGTCCGGTACTGGTCGGATTACAATCGGCTCTTCTATCACCCGCGTTCAATTGTCCAGCTGAATGATTACGAGCTAAACAGTAGGATCATGCCATTCGAAGACTGGAGTGTCGGAGAGGATCTATTTGGTGACCTGGACAAAGAACATGATCTTCTTGATAGAGATGTACGACCGTTCGCGGAAGAGTGTGACCAACTACGTGCGATTCAGTTGTTCACAAGCGCGGATGATGCTTGGGGTGGCTTTTGTGCCAGTTACGTCGATAGACTACGAGATGAATTTGGCAAAAAGCCAATCTGGGTATGGGCAATCGAGGGTGGATCGAGGGTGTCTCGCGTGAGTCTTTATTTTCTCTCTTTCCGATGAGTCTAACTTTAAACCCGGTCTCAGCAAACCCAAGTTAAACGGGAAATGAATAAAGCTCGGTCCGTATACAACATTTCTCCCCAATCATCACTGTATACCCCAATTATAGACCCGCCCAGCCACACTCCAAGCACTGTGCAGTTCGACCCAGAGTCTGAATGGCACACAACTGCACTAATTAGCTCTGCTATGGAAAGCGTCACGCTTCCAACTCGCCTTCGTCGCTACCATGACTTCGAGTCCTCCTTGGCTGGTGATGATGGTACTCGCAAGATTTTGGAATTGCAATCCTCTATTATTCCAGACAATGAGAATGATGAAAGGGACCTCTCTGTTTCTAAAGGACCATTGGCCGAGACAAAGGCTTCCGAACAGGAAGCACCGAAACCTCAGACACAGTTTGAGTTAGATTTTAGCTACGATGGCAATAGAAACGGTAACTCACATATATTCAACCAGCTTCAAGTTTGGCGTGGAATAAAAAGCAACCAGGATGATGGGTCCGCACCTCAAGGCGACCTTGGGCTTGCTCGGAAACAGCGCTACTACAATTCGGCGCCCATGTTCCAGAGGTGAGAACCAGCTTCTATACGTGATGAGAGTTCTCGATCTAACATGAGAAATAGCTTCCATACACCCCTGCCGTTCCCGATCGTTGACAGCTACCCCCGAGATATGTTCCTGAGAGCAAAGCAGGATAAAATTAACATTCTTGCAGCGCTGACTGTGTCTTCTCGGACGGCGGAAAAAATCAAGCTAATGGAGATAAGCGCTGGGCGAATTATTGGGGTTGATGAACGTGAAACTCTGGTGAATGGGTTAGCGGAAATCCGAGAATCTTACGAGACCGGATGGATGAGCGACTCTGATTTTGACGATGAGTAGTGGCTTGACGGTATAGTGGCACTTGAAATATTTTATTCAATTTCTATCTTATTTATTGGGACCGATTCTCCGAGTAAAACCGAGAGACAAAAAGAAACAGAGAGTCCTCAGCTAGGGCTGAATTAGTACATAATTAACCAGTAGTTAAGTGGCCCGTGATCTGCAGGGACCAAGGGTGCAAACACATCCGGCAGTGTTTGCATCCCTCGATCCCAAACGTGTCCTCTCCTAGAAAGTTCCCTTTGATATTTCGGCATCGCAAACTATTACTCATGCTTACTGCCAGGTGGCCAGTAGTTCAGTGCGGGATCGCGTTCTGGATGGCTTTATTGACTTAAATCTAAATGTACGCCGCTTTCCCCTCTTCTCATCCAGCCGGTTATCTTCTCCAACTGACTCGTTTCTCATAGTTTACCACAAAGCTAGCCTCTACCGGCACTTTAGGTGCATTTTCGGCATTTGGCCCACACACCCTTTTGCACATATTCTTGAAGGTTGTCTAGACCTGTCGGGTAGTGGCGTTTTCTTTATTACTCGCATATTCAAAGTAAAGAGACCCCTACTCCGGCAATTGTGAAGTGAGGAGAACTAACCGTTTAATCACATCAAGCATATAGACAATGGCTCCCAAACTACGGCATGGTTCGCCGCGATTGTTCATGTCCTCTCCCATTCTTTCCGTCTTAATAGTACCGTTTTTGCTATTCTTCCTTGCCTTTCCTGCCCCTGTCGCCGCTGCTGGGTCCGCAGTGATCGGTATCGATGTCGGTACAGAATACCTTAAAGCAGCACTTGTGAAACCCGGGATTCCACTAGAGATTGTGCTCACCAAAGACTCAAAACGTAAGGAGTCGGCCGCTGTTGCGTTCAAACCCACCAGGGACAATGCACCATTTCCCGAGAGGTTCTACGGCGGCGACGCCCTGGCACTTGCCGCACGGTATCCGGATGACGTCTATGCGAATCTGAAAACACTATTGGGAGTTCCCTTTAACGGTGACGGGAACGAAGCGGTTCAAACATATCTTAGCCGATATCCCGCATTGAAGCTGGAAAGCGCTGGTGAGCGGGGAACCGTTGGGTTTCGGAGCAATAGGCTCGGCGAAGAAGAAAGAAAGGATGTTTTCCTTGTGGAGGAACTTTTGGCGATGCAGTTGAAACAAATCAAAGCCAACGCCGATAGCCTTGCCGGCAAGGGTTCGGATGTTAGGGATGTGGTGATCACCTATCCCTCCTTTTACACGGCTGAGGAGAGGAGAAGTCTAGAGCTGTCGGCGGAACTCGCGGGTCTGAATATTGACGCTCTTGTTAGCGATGGTCTCGCTGTTGGGTTGAATTATGCAACAAGTCGGCAGTTCCCTAGTGTTTCAAATGGGCAGAAGCCCGAGTACCATGTCGTCTACGATATGGGTGCTGGCTACACAACCGCTAGCGTCCTCCGCTTCCAAAGTCGCTCGGTGAAGGATGTTGGAAAATTCAATAAAACAATACAAGAGGTTCATGTCCTGGGAACGGCCTGGGATAGGACCCTCGGTGGGGACTCTTTGAATGATCTCGTGGTCAGGGACATGATCGCAAGCTTGGTTCAAGACAAGAAGTTGAAGGACCGTATTACAATAGCTGATATTGAATCTCATGGAAAAACTATGGCGCGACTTTGGAAGGACGCTGAGAAAATTCGACAGGTCTTGAGTGCTAACACTGAGACTGGAGCTTCATTTGAAAGCCTCTACGAGGAAGACTTCAATTTTAAATACCGCATTACTCGCTCTACATTTGAGCAGCTTGCTGAACAGCATATTGCTCGAGTTGGAAAGCCTCTGGAGCAAGCTCTAGCGACCGCTGGAATGCAACTGGATGACATTGATTCAGTCATTTTGCATGGCGGAGCTATCCGCACCCCATTCGTTCAGAAGGAGCTAGAACGGGTCTGTGGGACTTCCAACAAACTTAGAACAAGTGTTAATGCAGATGAGGCTGCCGTTTTTGGTGCTGCCTTCAAGGGAGCTGCCCTCAGCCCTAGCTTCCGTGTCAAAGAAATCCGAGCTCACGATGTCTCCGGTTATCCCGTTTTGTTGAAATGGCCTTCTGAGTCTCGGGAGAGACAGCAGAAGCTATTCACTCCGACCTCTCAAGTTGGTCCTGAGAAGCAGGTTACAGTGAAAAACCTTGAGGATTTTGAGTTCAGTTTCTACCAGCAAATTTTCTTGGAGGGTAACGTGGTCGAGTCTCCGATTTTAGATGTACAGACACAAAATCTCACTGCGTCTGTCGCTAAATTGAAGGAAAGCTTTGGTTGCTCTCCTGCAAATATGACCACCAAGTTCTCTATTCGCTTAAGCCCTGTTGATGGCCTACCCGAGGTTGTCAGCGGCGCCGTGAGTTGCGATGTTGAGAACAGCAAGACAGGGAGTGTTGTTGAAGACGTCAAAGGCTTCTTCGGTTTGGGATCTAAGAAGGAACAAGCCCCCCTTAACGAAGATGGTGAAGCTAGCGAGTCGATCACTTTGGAACCGGAGGAACCCCAAGCCTCGACGACTTCCTCGGCAAGCGATGCTACTTCTACTACAAGTGCGAAGGAAAACAAGAAGGCTGCTCCCTCGATTAAGGTGGAGACTATTCCTATTCGCTTCACCTCGTCTCCTCTAGGAACCCCTGCCCTATCCAAGGCCGAGTTAAGCCGTATTCAAGCCCGTTTGGATGCATTCGATGGCTCTGACCGCGATCGTTTCCTACGTGAAGAGGCTTTGAATGAACTGGAGTCGTTCATCTACCGAACCCGGGATTTGGTAGAGGATGAGGAGTTTAACAGAGTGATTAAACCAGATCAGTTGGCCGCTCTCAAGGAGAAGTCTGCTGCTGCCAGTGATTGGCTTTACGATGACGGCGAAAACGCCAAAACCCCAGAGTTTCGAGAAAAGCTCAAGTCCCTTAAGGACATTGTCAAGCCCGCACTCAAGAGAAAGCAAGAAAATGCCGCTCGCCCAGCTCGTGTTCAAGTTTTACAGGACGTGCTAAAGAACGCCAAGACAGTGATGGAACTCATGGAGAAGCAAGTCAAGCAGGACGAAGACCTGTACTCTGCATCTCAGTCTGCCTCGAGTGCGCCTTCCACAGGTGAAGAAAGCACTTCGACTACCTTGGGCGAGCCATCTTCTACCACAGAACCTCTTCAAGATCTGGACGAAGACCCATACTCGTCTACAGCATCTCAGTCAACATCGACTGCCTCGACGGCCAAACCCACAGGGCCGAAGTACTCGATCTTCCAGCCATCCGACCTTACTAGTCTGGCTCAGACTTACGAAACTACCAATACATGGTTCGAAACCCAGCTTGCTCTTCAGGAGGAGTTGACCGAATCTGATGACCCAGCTCTGACTGTGGCCGAGCTCGATACCCGTCTCAAGGAACTCGAACGTACCATGAACCGGGTCTACGAGAAGATGGGTGCGGCAGCAGCCAGGTCCGGAAAGGACCAGTCAAAGAAGAACGGCAAAAAGACCAAATCCGAGCAGGCAGGGAAAGAGAAGCCCGCCGAAAAGGAGAAGTCTGAGCAGGAGAAGCAGAAGGCCAATATTAAAGATGAGCTGTAATAGTGCTTCCAGGTGGAATGATGGAGTTTGGCTTGAGCGTTTTGTTTCTCTGTTCACATATATTTTTTCATTTTTGTTACAAACCTACTTCTCTCTGAACTGTGTTTCTTTGGTCTGTTCAAGGTCAGGGCTCTTGGTTAGCTTTGGCCTTTGCAAGACCTTGACCGTGGCGTTCATCGCGCCTCATTACTCTGCTTAGCATCATCTGCTTTAACAAAGACGGGTCTGTAAACTAGATAGAATATACTGTCAATGTGAAAAAGAGAAGGCAAAAATAAGACTATCGTCGTGTCATAAAGTATCTGGTTGCTATTCATACAACTAATATTATTCTGAAAATCTGAAGCCTATAATCACAGGGCATGATTGGCGTAATCATGTCCCAACCAGTCCGGGTATTTGTATGTACAATCGCTTGATGTTAATCAAAAGTAATAAATGCTTCTCACAAACATATGCAAAGGAGAAAAATAGAACGTCAACCGCAGAGAAAAATACATCCATGAAAGAAAGCAGGTCGAGCTCAAGCTGAGCAGCCCGGAAATTCGAAGTGTATGACTGGAGTCAGTCCATCAATGATATCGTGCTCATAGCTGCTATCATATATCGCAGAGAGCAATCGTTTTCACGCAACGCTGGTCCAAGACAAAGAGATACCAAAACATACCACACGGCCAACCACTTAGGATAGGTCCATGTCGATTTCTTCGCGTCTGCGAAGGAATGCGGGCTCTTCAAAATCATCGACGTTAATAGTTCCTTGCGTATTCACGGCGACAAATTGACGCCGTTGCTGCCCCAGAGCGGGGGTAAGGATGGTACGGCCAGGTACCGAGTTCATCCTTGTACTCGGCTCCAGAGGACCCTGCCAGGTAATCCCCCAAGGAGTAGACAGGTCATCCAATTCATCGTCGAAATCATCTTCATCGCGATCGTAAGATCGCTTCTGCCCGTTTATATGGATAGACTCGATAGACTCCTGACTGCTCGGCGGCAGGGAGAATGCATCCCCGTCATCCGTGATGAGTTGATCTTCGTAATCCACTTTGTTATGGGGCAAGGAGAAACCCCGAGACGTGGGTTGGATTGCAGATCCGCCAGATTTTGACATGCCACAAAAGGGGGCCAGTTCGGCATAGGCAGTTGGACATCTGACGGTCGGTGTCACGTTCGAGTAGAGAGTTGGTTTGTCTTCTGACTTAGGATTTCGAGTCTTGTATCCTTCTGCGACTGATTTCCGGACGCGCATGCCAACTGAAAGAAGCGACGCTTGGATCTTTGCATCGACGGCGGGGGTGGGGGAGGATGTGATGGTGGAGTAGTGGGTATATGATAAGTGAGGGGCGGAGGCGTTATCGGCAGGATCTGATTCAGTTGCTGCGGGGAAGAAGGAAGTTATCGGAGGTTGAAATCTTCTGCGCTTGGAAGCCGGATTATTGTTCTTGCTCATGTGAAGGGAAGAAGACATTTTGGTCCGGTCTGTCTGGTCTTGTACTGTATGGCCTGGTTTTTTTCCCTTTCCTTTAATTTCTTCTAGAGTTTGGAGTCCACAGAAGCGGTAAAAGGTCGTCGAGATAGCTCTTAATGCAATGTTTCAAGGAAGAATGCAAGGGGCGGAGTATGACAAGTAGACAACTGGAAGCGATGAGGACAAGAGGGGAGAAATGGAAGAGGCTGGGAGAACGCGACGCGAGCGACGCTGTCACGTGTCGGTCTCGAACCAATTTATCTTCTTTAGGCTGGGGCTAGGGTTATCGTTATCATGAATTTTCTCTGACCAGCGTCAACTTAGATATGTACTTTGTATGTGGTTGGACTGGTTTTATTGGAAGTGAACTACTCAAGAGTTATGCAAAAAAAATCCTCGTGCTAATAGAGACTTCAGTTTTGGACTCTTGGTCCACTGCATCTAAATACTCCGTGCACATGAATATATCTACAGCAGACAACCTCAGGTCGAGGGACCTAATATCGCTTTATATACTGATCCAAAACTATAACAAGTACCAACTGAAAACATAATCACATCTATCTGCTCCTAGCCATTGTTTCCTCTCCGGCCACCACGCTTCTGTCGATCTTGGTGGGCCTTCAATATATTGCGAGTCTCCACTAGACTCCTCTTGCCCTTGCTCCTTGCTTTGCCCAAAGTCATGAAGAAGTTCTTTCTACGAGCCTTTTCTTTATTTGTACTGCTCTTGCCTTGTTCTTCCTTGCGTTCCTTCCTCTTCGCGGTGACACTTTTATGGTCAGCACGGTCAGTCTTTCCTTCCTTAGCATGAGCAATTCGTTCTTCGCGAGTCGCCTTTCCGGCAGACAAAGCGGCCAGTCCTTCAATCTCTTCAGCTGTCAGGGGATCATCCTTGTGGCGAGAAGCGTTAGTCTGACCACGGCGCCCTTTAGCGCCTGGAACGAGTGAGTCGATAGCTGCCTGAGTACGTAACTCTTGGAGCTTCGCCAGATCTGCCGGGGTAAGAATACGAGTGGTTGCAATATTTTGCTTTTGAGTCTCTGATTTAGCTTGCGCGGTCTCGGGGTTGACATTCTCCTCATTGCTGTCGTCCTGCTTGGCCTTCTTCGATGGGCGGACGTCCTTCTCGTCGTCCGAGTCGCTCAGATCGATTTCAGCGTCGCTTTGGACATCAATCCAGCCACCGGAATCATCGCTGTCCTCGTCATCCTCCACATTCCAGGCGTCCCAATCGGCTTCATCGTCCTCATCTTCGTCGTCTTCTGCATCAGACGGAAGACCCTTCTCAACCCGCTTCTTCTTACGTTCTTCCTCCTTCCACTGCTCAAGAAGCTCCAAGCCCTCGATGCCACCTGTTGTTTCCTCTCCAAACCGTTTCTCCTTCTTTTCTCCCGAGCGCAGACCCATAGATGCCTCCTTACCGCGGTCTCTTCTCTTTAGCATTTCTGGATTCAGATCCCTGTAGAGACCGAGTAAACCCCGGGCTGCCATCACAACACCCTTGTCCTTACTCTTCCTGTACAACACAAGGTCTTGTAACAATGTTTCGTCTATTGCAAGGGGTTGTCGTGCACAAATCTCCCTGATAGCATTGAGACCAGCGGTAGCAACCAGTGATGCCGATGCTTCAGATACGAACTCATTTGCAATCTTTTGGACAAGCGGTTCAAGGACATCCGGGGGGACCAAGTCATGAGACGCCTGCGCAAGAGATGCCAAGAATGAAGTGACTGAAGGTTGTCGTGGAGTTAGGTATTTCTGGAAATAAGAGTACAGTTGCATAATATGCAGCTTATGCAATCCGACGAGACGGGTCACAAGTTGCAAAACCTGAAGCCTTTGCTCCAAATTGAGCTTCGACTTGGTATTTTGCAGGTGTTTCGAGAACAAAGTCTCTGCGAAGCCCTGTGGATCATGCAGAAGATGCAGTGCAGAAAAGTTCAAAGGGTGGGGTTGATTCTTCTTGCGCTCTTTTCTCTTGACAGTCGCTTTCGCTCTCTCAACAGCGCGGGCCTTTTTCTTGGTCTTCTTGTTAATACCGACCTGATGCTTGACCTTCCCAATGTCTATAGCTTCCTCATCGCTGCTCTCATCTTCCATATCTTCGCGCTCTTGATCTCCGCCCAAGAAAAAGCGAACACCACCAATGATGACCTTCTCATTCTCTGATAAACTAGCCTCCTTCATGACCTCAACAGTCTTCGCATCCGACCAAATCTGCCGCTTCCATAACTCACGGATGAGCTTGATAGCCCATAGGCCCTTGGATGAGACACGATCTGATGTCACCAAGTTATAGAGGACAGTCTGCATGGTGCGATTGAGCTTGTGATTTGTTGTCTTAGCATTTGAAGAACGAAGGTCCATTAGGATCTTTTGGAAGATTAATGCTCGTAAAGTTTTGCTAGGCGTCGTGATGAGAATAGGAAACAATGTCTGAAGCAATCTGTAGCCGAAATAGTTAGCATCGGACTAAGTCTAATCCTTGGATTTTATGAATACATACGTAGCAGAGTCAAGAAGCTCTTTCTTTCTGAGCAATACCAGACTCCCGACGATCTTCTCTCGAAGTTCCGGCTCCAAGACCAAGTGGTGCTGCGTCAAGACATCCATGAGCTGCTGAGGGAAGTCCTTTGTGATGTCTGGGTAACAGTCGGCAACATGAGCGACGAAATCAATCAGTTCGCGCAATGAGATAATTCCCGTATCGGTGGCCGACGTGGGTGCCGCCATGAAAATTTCTCGGTGACTCTCATATTGGTAATGTTGAGCGCGGAAATCTTCGATGTAAGACCTTAATAACCACGGATATTAGCAAACCGTAAATCGATTATAGCAAGCCTTTGGTTGTGCATTAACTTACTTCGGATCTCTTCGAATCTTATGCTGTAGGTTGGGCCTGACGAATGTGTTAGTGGCAAGTGAAATCTTCAACTCTCACACCAAAAGCTGAAAACAGGATGCACTCACAGGTCCGCCTCAACCTTTTCCAAGGCTCCCAACTTTCTCTTCACCATTTTGTTAAGATTATCTTATCAAACCCACGAGAAAAATGGTGGGAAGATCGAGGGAGAGGAGAATAAATGGGGTTGGAAGATTTATGGTGTTTGATAACAGGCCCGAACTTTTTTCCTCCACGGGAACGGGCGAGCCTATCGATAAGCGACCAACTGTCGGACCGAAGTCGCACTGCATTGCTGTCTTCTAGCAAGGGCAGAGGTTTATAACTCAATTTCACGACCCCTTTTAAATAGAATTTTTGATTTTTGCTTTACAATTTTCATCACTTGCGCTCTACGAGTACTGATTGAGTCACAACCTACCGATCCTAGTCAAGGGCGAATACGTTGGTCGTCACTATGGAAAATTGGAAAAGATCTTTTTTCGTTGAACAAAAATAAAAGGTACCGACTTAAAAGCCCAAGGTCTTCATGATCGCATCTCAGCTACTATAGAAGAAAGCCGTCCCATTCTCGTTTTTGGTTTTTGCTCCCTCCTGTGACTGTTTTCAGGTATGTACAGTCGCGCAGATGCATGCCAATCGACTGAATCCTATAGAATTCCCCGTCTACTCCAGTACAAATAGAAACAGGACCAAACGGAGAATACACCCAACATTAACCCTTTACCGGTTGCTCTTGGCAACACGCTCAAGCTCGTCCTTCTTCTTGATGGCATAGGAGTTCGAGCTTCCCTTAGCAGCGTTGATAAGCTCTTCGGCCAAGCACTCGGCAATGCTCTTGATGTTACGGAAAGAGGCCTCACGGGCACCGATGGTCAAGAGGGCAATGGACTGGTTGACACGGCGGAGGGGAGAGACATCAACGGCCTGACGACGGACGGTACCGGCGGAACCGATACGGGTGCTGTCTTCGCGGGGACCGCAGTTGACAATGGCATCGACGGCGACCTGGAGGGGGTTCTGGTCGGTCATGATGTGGATCTGCAAAAGCTGTTAGTACTTCTTCATTCGAATACGCCGGCTAATTCCACCACTGAAAGGTGCACGTACGATCTCGAAAGCGTGAGCGACGATGCGCACAGCCAGGAGCTTCTTTCCGTTGTTGCGGCCGTTCATCATGAGCGAGTTGGTCAGACGCTCAATGATGGGGCACTGAGCCTTGCGGAAACGCTTGGCGGCATAACGACCGGCGGAGTGAGGGAGGTAGACGGGGTTACGAATCTGGATGTAGTCGCTATGTGCGTAGATTCGAGTCAGCAAATCTCATTCCGTATATGTGAGCTTTCCCGCGTCCCTCCAAGAATCCATTCCTCCCCTTCCTTGTCGCATCATTTCCCATCCCGACTTCAAATGGGCGTCGCTTCCATACACGGCTCTTCTCGTAGCACAATAAATCGCAAAGATATTGGGAAACACCTACGTCAAGGAGATGTCCCTGATCTCAACATCCTCGTAGCTCCACTTGTTGAAGAGCTTCACGGTTCCCTGCTCCGCGAGAGCCTCCTTGGGGATGACCTGGAAGGCCCCAGTGTTTTCAACCTCGACTTCCCCGTGGTCAGACATTATGGACGCCGAATGCACCTGTTGTCGAGGGAGGGATTCGTAAAAGGTGGCGGACGGTGTCGTTGGGTGAGCGTTCAACGTCGACGATAGCAGTCGGTCGGCTGAAATGTTTCCTTTGGCCGCCAGGAAAATCGAGGTGCGCTCGCTTAGCTCTGTGGGCTCGTTAGGGCACCGGGCCGCACGCCAATCACGTCCCGCGCATCATGTGATATTAGCGCTAGTGACTCCATGTGCACTAAGCCGCTTTCGGATTAGAGATTGGCAATTTCCAATTGAGAAGTAGTCCTATAAAACGCAGAAGTACTAGTAATTCATCCACGAGTATTGACCCCATTATTGTTAGTATATAATCAAAGCGCGTTAGTCTCCTTGCCGATGTAAACTAAAAATATCAATTTACATTCTACTTCGGTAGATAAGTCGTGCCATTATGAAGCCGATATTTCAGTTACTGTCTGTGTACCAGAATCTTGCCCAAATTGGGTGTACATAGTACTCAAGTGATTGTGGGAAAAAAGGCTGGAAAACGCGTTGGATGGGGAGATTCGTAGTTGGTTTGAATCCCCATTTACATATAATACCGAGTTATACTGGGTGTTAGCGAACATATCCATTGTTGTGAATAATCTCTATGGATCATCCTCGTGCCCCTATGCTTATTTTGTCTCAGTGTTGTGGCGGTGCAAGGGACTAAGTGGAATGATTGGCTCCCCTTGTGTATGTGGAGGTCGGCTTTGAGGGGCTTGAAGCCACGGCGGCAGGTGACGTTGTGGCACTTCAAGCGCGGAGAAATACTACAGACAACCCGGAGTGAAATAAGGCCACCTCACGATATCATCGCTAGGGGGCCGCACAAGTTCAAGTGTCTTGAGAAACCCCCCTCTAGCGCTTTACGACTAACGCCTCACGCATCCTGAGATGAGGATCGTTGGACTTTGTCGTCCTGTTATACGCGGATTCGCATGAGAGCCCCTCAATAAGTTCAGGTTCAACGCTTCGAAAATGGCGGACGAGAATCCAGAGCTTCACACCGCTTTGCGGGAGCTTGACAGAGAATTGGAGGTAGGGACGAAGCGGAGAAAAATATAATCTGCTCTTGAAGATATAGGAGCCATACTTGCTTGGTCGTATATGGCTAACGTCTTGTTTCTCAGGAAGGGGATATCACGGAGAAAGGGTAAGCGACCTCTGTCGATCAAACGCAGTGAATGAGGATGGCGGCGCGGAGGAGAGTGTCAGACATACTCAATTTCCCTTGACTTCTTCACTAATGCATCAAGGCATATGCCATTCACTATGGTTGGAGCTGACTTTCTTTGAAGTTATCAGAAACGCCGGACAATCCTCTTATCACAGTTCTTTGGCCCTAACAGCGGCCTCGACTTTAACACGCCCAGTTCAGAAGGGCATTCGTCGCTAACAAGCTCAAACAATGCCCCGCCGGCCATCCTAAACGTTCGACCTCCTACAGCCGACTCTACAGCCCAGGGATACTCTTCTTTCGCCAACGGACGTGACAATACACAGGGCAACGGAAGCTTCGGATACGATCGAAGAATTAGCGCAGATACGCAAGGCACGCCTGATAGAGATGGCGCATTTTTACAGGCCTTTGATCGGACATCGTCCGCCTCATATGATTCTCTATTCCTGCCAAAGCCACAGCAACAAGCCCCGGTCCCACAAGAGGACTCAAGGACAGCAACACTATTGAGCCAGAATTATGCATTCAATCCCGGACCTTACCAAGGACATATTGATGACTCTGCTGGGGGTTATGAAACGCCACTTGGCGGGGTTACGCGACAGTCGACGATGCTTGACTCACAGCAAGGGTACTTCTCTGATTTTGCGGGACAGCAGCAGGATGATTATAGAGATAGTTATGGGGGTGGTGGTCTCCACCGTTATTCCCAGTCAGACGCATTTTCACCCACTGCAAATATGGCGCCGCCGCTAATACCGGCTTCCGAGCTTCCTCATGGACCTGCAATTGAGCACTTGCTTCCGCTGGAGCCTCGCGACATACCTTTTGCAGTCCACGACCCCCATGACAAGAACATGCTGATGTCTAATTTCGACAACATTCCTGCTGTGCTCCGACACCGCGCCCGTATTCATTCAAAGCAGGCCGCGTACTGGGTATTGGACCAAAAGGGCAAGGAGATCGCGTCGATCACATGGGAGAAACTTGCAAGTCGTGCTGAAAAAGTCGCTCAGGTTATCCGAGATAAGAGTAACCTGTATCGCGGCGACCGAGTAGCTCTCATCTACCGAGATTCCGAAGTCATAGAGTTCGCAGTTGCGCTCATGGGATGCTTCATCGCCGGCGTTGTGGCTGTACCAATCAATAGCCTCGAGGACTACCAAAGCCTCAACCTTGTCCTCACCTCAACACAAGCGCATCTTGCATTAACTACAGAAAATAATTTGAAGAACTTTCAAAGGGATATTACCGCTCAAAAATTGAATTGGCCAAGAGGTGTAGAGTGGTGGAAAACGAACGAATTTGGAAGTTACCATCCGAAGAAAAAGGACGACATACCGCCTCTCGTGGTACCTGATTTGGCTTACATCGAATTCTCAAGAGCTCCTACAGGGGACTTGCGCGGTGTTGTCATGAGTCACCGAACGATCATGCATCAAATGGCTTGCTTAAGTGCAATGATCTCCACCGTGCCGGGCTCTTCGAAAATAAGGCCGCATGGGGAAACGATCATGAGTTATCTCGACCCCAGGCACGGAATCGGTATGATATTAGGCGTGCTTCTTACAGTGTATGGCGGTCACACAACCGTCTGGCTAGAGGACAGAGCAGTTGAGACACCAGGGCTTTACGCACACCTCATCACGAAGTACAGGGCAACTATCATGGCTGCAGATTACCCTGGTCTCAAAATAACCGCTTACAATTATCAACAAGACCCTATGGCTACGCGGCATTACAAGAAAAATTCTGAGCCCAACTTTGGAAGTGTAAAGCTCTGTCTCATAGACACTCTCACTGTCGATCCTGAATTCCATGAGATCTTGGCGGACAGGTGGCTTAGGCCAATGAGAAACCCAAGAGCTCGAGAGATCGTCGCTCCAATGCTATGCTTGCCGGAGCATGGAGGCATGGTAATTAGTGTGCGGGATTGGCTAGGTGGTGAAGAACGTATGGGCTGTTCTCTGACTCATGAGATGGACCCAAATGGACGCGAGGGCTCGAAGAAGGAGGAGAAGCAATCTGAGAAGACTAAAGACAACAGCGGTTTTGGTAGCAGTCTGCTGAGTGGGGGATCTTCTCCCGCTCCGGTCCCGAAAGAGCAAACGAGGAATGAGCTCCAAGAAGTCCTTCTAGACAAAGAGGCCTTGAAAAGCAATGAGATTGTTGTTTTGGCGATGGGTGAGGAGGCTAGAAAATTTGCTGCGTCTATGCCACATGCTGTACGTGTTGGCTCGTTCGGTTACCCTATCCCTGATGCCACACTGGCTGTTGTCGATCCCGAGACGAACTTGCTGTGTACACCGAACGTGATTGGGGAGATTTGGGTAGACTCGCCATCCCTTTCAGGAGGCTTCTGGGCGCTGCCAAAACATACCGAAGCGATCTTCCATGCGCGGCCTTACAAGTTTGAAGAAGGTAATCCGACACCCGTGTTGGTTGAACCGGAATTTTTGCGGACGGGTCTCCTGGGCTGTGTGATTGAGGGGAGATTATTTGTCTTGGGCCTTTATGAAGACCGTCTTCGCCAGAAGGTTGAATGGGTGGAGCATGGACAAGAAATTGTTGAACATCGCTACTTCTTTGTTCAACATATAATTGTCAGCCTTCTGAAGAACATACCCAAGATACATGATTGCACGGCCTTTGATGTCTTTGTCAATGAAGAACATCTTCCAATCGTGGTTCTAGAATCATACGCAGCGTCCACAGCACCAGCAACCTCCGGTGGGCCTCCACGGCAACTAGATTCTGTTCTCCTTGAATCTCTCGCGGAAAGGTGCATGGAAGTCCTCTATCAAGAGCACCACTTGCGGGTCTACTGTGTGCTAATCACGGCCCCCAACACTCTACCTCGCGTCACTAAGAATGGTAGGCAAGAGATTGGTAATATGCTCTGCCGCAGGGATTTCGATTCTGGGACTCTACCTTGTGTTCACGTCAAATTCGGTGTCGAACGATCAGTTATGAATCTGCCGGTTGGAGTTGATCCAGTCGGAGGTATCTGGTCGCCCCTGGCCTTGATGTCGAGACAAGAAATGCTTGCTATGCAAGAAAAGCAATATTCTGGGGTAGACTATCGTGAAGTCGTCATGGATGATCGCACATCTACACCATTGAGCAATTTCAAAACTATTGTGGATCTTCTTCATTGGCGTGTATCTCGACAGGCAGAAGAACTGGCTTACTGCTCTATTGACGGTCGTGGGAAGGAAGGAAAGGGCATCACATGGAAGAAATTTGATTTGAAGGTTGCCGCTGTAGCAACCTATCTGAGGAACAAAGTCAAAGTTCGCCCGGGTGATCACTTGGTGCTGATGTATACTCACTCAGAAGAATACGTCTATGCAGTCCATGCCTGTTTCTGTTTGGGGGTGGTTGCCATCCCTCTCCCCCCTATCGACCAAAACCGGCTTTCAGAAGATGCCCCCGCTTTCTTACACGTTATCAACGATTTTAATGTGAAAGCTATTCTTGTGAACAGTGACGTTGATCATGTAATGAGACAGAAGCTTGTTTCTCAGCATATCAAGCAATCTGCACAGGTCCTGCGGATAGGTGTACCAGCGATCTATAACACCACGAAACCCACAAAACAGTCGCACGGCTGTCGGGAGCTTGGCTATGTTGTAAAAGACGCTTGGCTTCAAGGAAGTACACCGGCCATGGTTTGGACTTACTGGACACCAGACCAGAGGAGAATATCAGTCCATATCGGCCATGATACGGTCATGGGCATGTGCAAGGTGCAGAAAGAAACATGTCAGATGAGCAGTGCGAGACCAGTACTAGGCAGTGTCCGCAGTACCCTGGGACTTGGCTTCCTCCATACGTGCTTGATGGGTATTTACGTTGGTAAGAAAATTCAATAAGTATAGAATGGTTGTCTTTGGTATTAATAAAAGCTTCTAGGAGCACCGACGTATCTTGTGTCACCTGTCGACTTCGCAACAAATCCCATGACGCTTTTCGTCACCCTTTCACGCTATAAGATCAAAGATACGTATGCCACTAGCCAGATGTTGGATTACGCCATGACTGCAATGGCCGGAAAGGGATTCCAACTCCAGGAACTGAAAAACCTCATGATATCCGCTGAAGGCCGTCCTCGTGTCGATATATGTATGTTTCTTTTCTTCTCTTATTTCTTACTTAGATCAAGTATGCTAACACGCACTTACCTCTAGACCAGAAGGTGCGCCTGCACTTCGCTACTGCTAGCCTCGACCGTACCGCAATCAACATAGTGTACTCCCATGTCCTCAACCCGATGGTCGTTACAAGGTCATATATGTGCATTGAGCCGATTGAACTATGGCTTGACCTTCGCGCTCTGCGTCGTGGACTTGTGTGCCCTGTCGATCCAGACACTGATCCGACTGCTCTTGCCGTCCAAGACTCTGGGATGGTGCCCGTGAACACACAAATAGCTATTGTGAACCCAGAGACTTGCACATTGTCCCATGTGGGTGAATACGGCGAGATTTGGATTCAATCGGATGCCTGCGCTAGGGGATTTTATGGGTCCAAACAAGACTTCGACCAGGAACGTTTTAACGGGCGAATCGTGGATGGGGACCCTAGTGTAGCCTACGTTCGTACTGGCGATCTGGGGTTCCTTCACACGGTCACGAGGCCTATCGGGCCTGGCGGGCAGCCTGTTGAGATGCAAGTACTTTTTGTTCTCGGAGGGATTGGAGAAACATTTGAAGTCAATGGTCTCAACCATTTCCCAATGGACATTGAAAACTCAGTTGAGAGATGTCACCGCAACATTGTGACTGGAGGCTGGTAAGTGAACTGCCCTAGTGCTCTAGGCCTGAAATTACATGCGCTAATACGTATGTTACAGTGCTGTCTTCCAAGCCGGTGGATTGATAGTGGTAGTCGTTGAAGTTACAAGGAAGGCTTATTTAGCATCTCTCGTGCCTGTAATCGTTGACGCTGTCCTAAACGAACACCAAGTTGTTGCCGACATTGTGGCATTTGTTTCTCATGGAGACTTTCCTCGGTCTCGATTAGGCGAAAAACAGCGTGGCAAGGTCTTAGCGTCTTGGGTCACTCGGAAACTACGTACGATTGCCCAATTCAGCATCCGTGATATGGAAGGCCCAGAGCATCCATTCTCGACGGGTCCTCAGCATCGCGGCAGCCGGAGCTCCAAACCAGGGAGCATGATGGGCAACAGCACTCGACGGTCTACCGTAATCCCAGACTCTGATTCTGCTCTGCCTCACTCACCGGCACCAGTGCTTATGGAACAGCCTGAAGCAGCGGGCTCCTATCATGCTGCACAGGAACGAGAAGCGCCGGCGATTGACAGTCCCATAGCCATTCCCGAAACAGTCCCCACGGTTCCACAGATCGCGGAACCGACACGGCCGACGACCTCTTCCACCACGGGCGTTCTCCCGGCAAAAGCCGAAGCTCCCGCAACAATCGGCAACCCGGACTTCGGATTTGACTTCGGCAATTTTGCTAACTCAGCAACCACAACCCCAATGGAACCAAATGCTACCACCTCAGTGGTTGAAAGTCTACCTTATCGGAATCCTCCTAGGGGCGATTCTCTTGCCTATCAACAGCAGTATAGTGGTGCTTCTGGTGGTGTTTCAACAGGTCAAGCAGACTTCTACGATAGGCGGTCTGATGCGCTGGATGTAGGTGCTGGCGACTGGCCACAAGAAGCTCTCATGTATCAGTCAACGCTGGGAGCTGATGATACATTTGGTCAGAGTGGCCCGGGGGCTCACTGTAACAGTGATATGACAAGGAGGCGATACGATGGAAATAATTACGGGCTCTAAAGGCACCCAACCCAAATTTCACTACTTTAGCATGCGACACTAGCCATGACGTCTAGAAAAGGTTATTACATGCCATTGCGTGCAAGTACTTTGATATCATGTTGGCTACCTTATACTTTTTCTGGTATAGGGTACTTGGAGCTCGTTCTTTTTTTTTTGTTGTTCATCTCCCTTACGCATTTCCGTTGCATCTATGACTTGACATAACCCCAATGACTCTTTAGACCATTCCCGCCGTTCGCATTCATCTTCGCGCAGTTGTCCTCGATCAAACTGAATTGCCTAGTTTGCTTTTGCATTACGAACGATATGTAGCGTTCTGTATATACATACCCTACGAATGAAGATGCTTAGACGCATATAGCTATCTATTGGTCCACCGTCTCCGTCTCTACTCCCCTTGAGTTTGATCAGTGACCCACATCAATGCTCGAACAGGTTCTCAAAGTGTTACGGAGTGGATCCCGAAAAGTTTCATACCTTAACCTTACGGTTAACGCAGAACCGAGGCAATTTATTTGCCAAGATTGATAGGGCTTTTTTCTGGTTCCCACCTTTACTCCCTCTAGAATTCATATCGCGTAAACGTGGGACGCTCTAATGAAACTCGACCGAATCTTTAGTAAACTTTGGTGGCAAAGTGGATGTCAATCGGATGAATGATATTCTAATCACCAGCTTATCTATCAAACGGTACTGGATTCGGGTCTGTAGCCGCTTAGTCACACTGAAGAAAAAGAGAAGTCCAGTTGAAAATGGGGTTCTTCAGCTATAGAAAAAATTCGCCACGTGAGATTCATGGTGCCATTCGGGAACGAGCAAGGTCACGAGCCAAGAAGGTAAGGATTAAATCCATAATATGGAAGTAGTACCAACCCCTACTGCTACCACTACCACTAATATACTACGACGACTACTTTAGCAGCGATCAGGATCCTGCCCGTTTTTAAGGTATCCTAGACTCCCAGGGTCAAGAGATTAAGGTAGACCCACTTTTATTCTTAATCACGACTAATACTTATTTTTACTTTCTGCATATTAAGCGAGGCTGAGCGATATATGTCACCACGGAATCTCAATCCTATTGCTAACTTCTGTGACCTGTTGGACACCTATCGGTAAATATCATAAATCCCTGAAGCGATATGGAGTCGCATCCGCCTTTTGGCCATGCGTTGCGGACCTCCTGTGACAAGTGTAAGGCTGCAAAGGTAATGAGTAACTCATGGTTCGGGATCCGCGTGTATCCGACGGCTGACCGACTCTCTCCACTAGGTGAGATGCCAAAGGGAAGGGCGAAGCTGTGCTCGGTGTCTACAAAGAGGCGATGAATGTGTCACAACTTTCCATCCTCGGAAGGTATCCAAACCGGACAGGTAAGTGTGGTGTGGAATCGTTTGTAAAGGTCTCTCATGGTGTATCCATGTCCCTTACTTTGCTTCCTTTGTCATATAGGCGAGGGAAAATTTCCGATATGGAAAGCCGAATCGAGCGCATGGAATCAATCTTGGCCGCGTCCGGCCTTGCAAGTGAGGCTGCCACTCCTGCCACTACTGGTACATCAACCGATCTAGATGACCAACTTTCCATGCTATTGCTTCATGATGAGGGGTCATCTACTTTTATTGGTAATTATGAAACTTCGCGCAATTCACAGGTACTGTGCTGATAAGCTACACGCTTCAGGCTCAGCTTCCAGTCTCTCTCTTTTCTCGCCAGCTGGACTACAATGGATTTCCAGCCGAACTAATAGCTCGGATCTCCCAGATCTCATCAGGAGGCGAATAAAAGCTTGTCCTCCTCTCCATGAATCAATACGCCTATGGCACGGCTTAGACTACCGAGGACAAGTTCCACTTCCGCCTAAGAATATTGCTGATTCGTTTGTTGCATGTAAGCCTATTCCCACGCATACCAGTTTACGTTGGCTGATGGAATTCAGATTTCTTTGATGCTCTGAATGAATGTATACCTTTGTATCGAAGGGATGTGTTTGAAGCGTTGTACGAGCAGCAGTATACTTCATGCCCCCCAAAGAGCACGTCTTGGTATGCCTCGCTCAACGTAGTACTCGCGCTTGGCTGCCTATTATCGCATGAGGATAATATGACTGCAGGTGCTGAACACTCAATGCTAGCACCGACTATTGCAGTAGACTACCTGCGAAATTGCTGGCATGTCTTCACTGAATTATCTCTCAGCTGTAGGGATCTTATGACTGTTCAGGCATTGTTGGCAATGGTAAGGTTTTTTCCGATCTCGACTTCGGCTCAACACCGATTAATGCATCCCTAGGCTCTTACTACAGAAATCCTTCTCGACAAGGAAGCTACATACATTGCTTTAGGAGCTGCGGCACGGATCGCAACTTCGCTTGGCTTACAGCAACAGCTAAAGGACTCGCGTCTTTCGCCACCGGAGATCTCAGAGCGGTACATTGTTTTCTGGTTCCTTTACTCTCTTGACAAAAGCCTCAGCCTTAGATTAGGGAGGCCCCCTGTTATTGATGATAGAGACATAGAGATCGATATTCCGGAAGAGCAACAGTTAGCTGTTACGAACCCCAAAAATGCTGTCGTGCTTCTCAGTCATATAAAGCTCAGCAGGATTTCGTCTGAGATTTATTCGGAATTATTCAGCGCTCGCTCAAGGAGATATCCGGCTTTGAAAAGATTTCGAGTTATTTCTGAGCTGGATACCAAGCTCCAAGAGTGGTGCCAATCTCTGCCAGAGGACATCCAACCAGGAAAACCAATCGTTAGCACCCAGCAAAACATCCGTGCGGTCATTGCGTTGCGTCTTGAATATTTCAACTGTCTAGCAACCCTACATCGTTGTTGGGCTTTTCAAGATCAGTTGACTGAATATGAGGAATTACATACTGATTTGGCTCGTCAGGGTTGCGGGGATGTTGGAGATCGGGTTTATACCGGGCACTTGATATGCTTGGACTCAGCTCGAAATATCGCACGTCTCTTAATTACAATAAACCAGAATCGCTTTCACAAAAGAACTATGCTCGTCGGGTAAATATTCTCTTCAATGTGTGCATTACCAGATAGCCTGTGTCTAACTGATCTTATCTAGCCTTACGCTATACCACTCACTCTCGGCGTTCATCATTCTTTTCGCCAATGTGATCCAGAACCCCGGAGATTCTTATATCCCTCAAGATGTCCAGCTTCTGGGGGTAATTATCGATTCCCTGTTCCCTGGTCTTCAAGCCAGCGGCATGTTTCTGCCCAGTTTGGTCTGTGAGATTTTTGGAAAGATGAGATCTATGGCAGTCGAATATGTGGAAAAGGTGCAGGCTGAATTGAAAGTCGTATCGAAGCGGCCACGTAGGGATTCCGATGAGGCAAGCGTTCATCTCCCCCACCTTCCCGCCACAAACAACTATGGTCAACCGCGAAATAAAGGGTTTACTCCCACAGCCCATACATACGTACGTATCTGCCTCTGTTGTACGTCCTCACTCCATATAAAATATGCTAATCTGTCTCTAGTGGACAGATGGAAGGCATACTGCGAGCCCGAATTTCACGGAAACTCCCGGTCTAATCGAAACGGAGTTACCGCACGAACTGGCACCCGGAAATAACGCGTGGGAATCATTATACCACGAGCTTAATGATCTTCCAACGGACGAGATGTTATCCGAACATAACCCTTTCGAGGAGAATCATAGCTTGGGACAATTGGCAGAGTCATTGCCAGGCTCTGTCCCTTTCGTACCATGGTCTATGGATTTCGATTTGTCTGATCTCTGGCAATATGGACAACAGCGAGGCTTATCCCAAACAGGGTAGCCAGTGGCGTTGCCAAAGCGTACCAATGATAGATAATAGTTATATAATAGAAGAAATGAATAATGAGAGCTGCCGAATAGGCCAAAATTAACATAGACAAGGTCCTTCGGCTCTCGAGGACCTGATAGGGATCATGTTTGCCGTGATTTTAAATCATATCCAGGTGATTAAGAGATGTACCTAAATATCTGTCATTCCCTGACACAAAATCCTAGCCTTCATATAATCTTACTTCCGTGATACGCTTTCATAACCCATCCAAGCTTACATAGAGCTCCCCCGAAGTCTTAACCAGTACAAAATTAGTACGGTCAGGTCGGATGATGGCATATGTAGGTATAGTCTGATTAATCAAACCCCAACTCATATCAACTTGAAGAAACGGGAGACTCTTGAAAGATGCTTTGGGAAAGCTGACACTCTCCCTGGCTATAATAATACTAGCAAAAAGGTATACTTACGGCGACTCGCCCGGGATCATACTATGCCCAGTACTTGGCATATCATCCGCGATTATGAAAACTACCACCGGCGAGGAAACACGCCCCTCGGGTCAATCGCGATATCCTTCTCTAGAGTAGCCCAATCATTTCGGATTAGACAAAGGATATGCTGTCTACACAGCGAAGTAACCCCTGAATGATGTTTCGCCGTATGCTTATTTTCTCAATGCTCTGCGATGTATCTTGGTTGGTAGATTCCCCGAGCCCTGAGCATTCCTTTTCCTCGGTTTATTTGAAATTTTTCCTATTTGTCGTTCACTCCTTACATGACAAAACAATAAAAAGTCTCTAAGTGATTCTATAAGTTCTATTATCATCTTATGGTTCCAGCCTTGCTGTCATACACCAAAATCTTGGTCTAGAATAATAGGTAGTTCATGCCCAGTGCAATCTACTACTTCCCCTACACCACCAGAACAGACACGCGAGGCAAGCAAAAGCTGTGCGCAGTACGGAGGCTTCCAGCATATCAATGCAAGCTAACCGGTACGGGCCCCCAACAGAGGCTACCACGCCCGCTTCAAACCTTTGGCGTTGGGAGATGTCCAAGACTCAGACCCGCATCTAATAATTAGACCTCAATCAGCATCTCAAAGACTATATATAAGACCGCATAACATACCAATTGTGAGCTGTTGACCAGTCGCCGAAGTATTCTTGGCGAGATTGATATATGCATCCGCGCAGTCGTCCAAGTATGTCTAGATGAATTTTCCTACATTAGCGCCTTCTCGATGGCAGAATCTGCGGTAGGTCTGAAGTACATACCTCGTGTTTCAAAGCAGAGCGTTCCTTCAGCGCATTGATTATATTATCGCCAAATTTCAAGCCCTACAATATGTTCAGTATGTCGCCCATGCCGAAGACATTCAAATGTATTTGCGAATGGGTGGCCTTACCCATTCCGTCAGAAGGAGACCGGGCAAGACTGCATTTACGCGGATCTCGGGCCCAAATGTGAAGGCGAAATGCTTCATCAAGTGCAGACCTGCGGCTTTGGTAACTGAGTAGGCCATGCTGCTTCCGCCGGTTGTGATGCCCTAGAGAAAGAATTAGTCTTATAGATATCGGGTCTATTATGAATTTAGTCCTAGGCATACCGCGATAGAAGAGGTCGCAATGTAGACACCACCGTCGGCGTTCTTTGAGAGAATGGGTTTCGCGGTCTGCATAAGCTGGAGGTGGGACATTACATTGGCGGCCCAGCACTAGACAGACACTCAGTTTCAAAGGCTTTCGGCACTTTGGAGAGCGTTCTAATATACGCACCTTGTTCCATTCATCGTGGGACATGTCGTAGATGTCGCCGGGGCGAGTAAATCGCGTCCATCCAGCATTAGCAATGATGATATCCAAACCACCGAGCTTTTCCACGGTTGTATGAATAAGCTTGTCATTCTCAGCAGCCACAAGTGTATCCTTGATTGGCATCAGCTAATAGATCCATTTCATCGGATGTCAGATTAATATTGAAACATACCGCCTGGGCGATATGGCATTTCACGGAGTACTCTTTCTCAAGTTTATCAGCCAGTTGCTGTGCAGCCTCTGCATTGGAGTGGTAGTTGATGAGCACATTGGCACCTTCAGCTGCGAACTTCTCGCATATCAGGGCACCCAGGCCTCTGGTAGTAGTCGGACTATTAGTCAAAAGCGTGGTGGAGATTAACTTGGAGAAGGCTTACCGAGAGCCGGCTGTGACCAGCACATTTCTTCCCTTTAGTGCGTACGGCATTTTTCGTTGATCGTTTTATATTGAGTTTGGAATAGATGAGACGGCCAAATGAAATTCTATTGGGGCCTGTGCTAGAAATAAGAGAGATTTGTGGAAAAATAAGTCTTTGGCTGTACGATGAGGGGATCTTTTTTGATTTAGTTTACCCCGCTTGGCCTGCATATTCTAAATCAATCGATACGACGCTATACATGAAGATCTTTGATTTGCCGAGGTACATTTATGCACTCAATCAACCATTTTATACTAAATACTCAATGCCATTGTTAAATAGAATTCCATCTCTCAAGATATCTGTCAGCCCTAGAGTGAGGGCTAGAGTCAGACGTAGAAGCTTATTTTATTCTTCCCTCTAACGGCATATTTTTACTTCACATAGTGGCCTCGGGGAAATATTCAATTATATTTCTAAGGCGTGCGAATACCGCAAAATATGCTAGACTGGCGCTCTAGGGTGAGCTATTCCGAACTATACGTGGTTGCTTTCAACCAAATATGCCCTAGACCGATATATATAGTAAACTAGGGCCTGTAACCCTAACGAAATATACTAATCTTGCAAGATCTCTATAGAATTTCATTAGGAAGGGACCTAACGTGATCGATTGAAATATATCAACACTTGTAGTGTCTATAGGCTTATTCTTTCTCTATATTGCTATCGGTCGTATATACCTATACCGTGATAGCTTTGGTCATGGATGCTACTACTATATACCATCTTAGCCGAAATGCAACTTCCCCATCCTCTCGAAAGCAAATTACCCTCGCTTTTGTGATAGATGCGATATATCTCGCCTGCGTTCTCGCTTGCATGCTTGCTGGAGCTCGCTGACTGTTTGGAGCAGGAGAAAGTTAAATTGTACGATACACTTAACAGGTCGACATTCCTATCAATCATCTTACATGCAATATTCCCAGATATACGAAGCGACCAGCCTGCTCAAGATGCAACAAAGGATGAAATTGTGGAATGTCTGGTCTTCAATCTACTGCCTAGATTCATACCCTAATAACACATCAACCACTCCCTTCAGTGTAGAATCCGAGAGCTTGATGATAGGTCTAGTGAAAACCAGTTTCGCCGCACCTGCAGATGAAGATTTGTGAACCTCGAATCCGAGATTTCCCCCTAGGGGGCTAAGTCGCCTATGAACTCTGAACATTATATAGCCTTCTGGAATTGAGATTTAACGGCCACTTCCCAACTGACCAGCATCCGTTCGAAATTTCTCAAGAATTACAGATGCTCGGACGCCCATGAAGATTCAAGGGGTTTCGGAATCATGCTCAATCATTACGCTCAATGACCATGGGATACTTTTCTGCTAATCCCACGGCATCTACACGAGTATCATCAAGAACAAATTGACACGATGGACGTCCTAAGGATTGAAAGTAGCTGCATCCTCAAGATGCAGCAAAACAGCAACGCCGCTCGACCTCTTCTCTTTGTGTAAGTTAGATAGCAAGCAGTAAGCAGTTTAGGGTTTGGAAAAAGGAAAAAAGAAAAATACAGCAAAAAGAAATGGAGATGCGGGGAATTGAACCCCGGACCTTTCACATGCTAAGCGAACATTATACCACTAAACCACATCCCCAATTTGTTGGTAATGCTTTGCTTATTTGGCATTATAAGGGGAGCTTAAATCTTCAAGGCAGGACCTAGGTCCCACGGTCGGCCTTTACTGTAAATGTTAAGGCGGCAGTTTGTCTAGGACCCACTCGGATGATGCATGGTCAGCATCCTTGGGGGTATGGCTTTTCTTGTCGATGTTGCTTTATATTTTGCCTTGCGTGTCTACAATGAGTCTCTTTGTGAATGCGGATGTATATATATATATATATTTTCCTAGACTGTGATTTGGTTGTGGATTGCATGGGGTATTTATGGACGTGTAACTGAAGGTCACGTTCCGTTTAGAAGAATATATATCTCTTTCAACATTGTATATGGACCTCAGATAGTGGGAATATTCAATTATATTAACTTCGTACCAGGTCATTCTGTACATACACAGATGCTTTTCTAAAAACTTGCTTTTCTCCTACTACAGCTTGAAAAACCAAAAAGCCGCATCCCCAAAGCATGAACAAAAATGGAAGAAAGAAAATGGGTCGTAGAATACAGAAATCTCAACATTTACTGGCTTTCCGCCTGTCTCGTCAGGGCATCAATATCAACCTTGGGCTTATTACCACCGTTGGCAAACCTAACCAGATTCTCCGTGACATCACTGGAGCCGGTGAGGTTCTCCAGGGCTTGCAGATCCTCGTTAGTGAGGGTGTTGGAGCGCAGAGGGCGGAATGGAGCAGGAGAACCGGCTCGGCTAGTGAGGAACTGTGGGACAAGAATTAGTATAACGTACGAGGGCTTCAACGGAATCCCGAACCCGCGGGGGGAGACCTACCGAGCTAGCAGCACTGAGCAAAGCGATCAAACTGGCCTGGACAACATCTTGATGAATACCGACACCCCAGACCTGCTCCTTGCTACCGGCCGCAGTACATTGGATGTATGTTGCGGCCTTCACATCTCTACCCAAACCAATGGAGTGCTCCTTGTAGTCGACAACGTCGAGATCGATGCCGAGGGTAGACAGGGCGCCGGCCAAAGAGGAGATAGCACCGGGACCAACGCCGGTGATAGCGTGCTGCACGCCATCGATCTCAACGATACCTGTGAAGCGACGCTTGAGGTTCTTGGTGTTGAGCGCTTTACCAGGCTCGGGCGGCGCCGGGGATGTTGAACGATCCGTGGTGATGTTGTAGTCGACCAGGTTGAATCGGGGGTTGGACTTGAGATGGTACGCTTCCTCGAAGAGGCCGACGATCTCGCTTGCCCGCAGCTCCCGGCTGACCTCTTCCGATCGCTTCTGAACAATCTTGCTGAACTCGACCTGCAAAGCGCGCGGGAGATCCAGCTCCAAGCTACGCAAGATAACCCAGGCAGCACCACCCTTGCCGCTCTGAGAGTTGACACGAATAACAGCCTCGTATGTTCGTCCAATATCTTGAGGATCCAAAGGAAGATATGGGATTTCCCATTCAACCTCTTCAGTTGTCGCTGCCGTAGCCTCGTCACGAAGCTTGAAGCCCTTCTTGATAGCGTCCTGGTGACTGCCACTGAAAGCGCAAACGACCAGCTGGCCGCCGTAAGGCCACCGCTCGTTGACGGGGATCTTATTGCTTTCTTCGACAACCTTGATGACTGCATTGATGTCCGAGAAGTCGACATTGGGGGTAATGCCCTGTGTATAGAGATTGAGAGCCAGGGTGACCAGGTCAACGTTGCCCGTTCTTTCACCGTTTCCGAACAGAGTACCTTCCACACGCTGCGCGCCAGCCATCTGAGCCAGCTCAGCGGCCGCAATGGCACAGCCACGGTCGTTATGCGGATGAATGGAGACGACATACTTCTCTCGTTCCGTGACATGACGGCAGAAGAACTCAATCTGGTCGGCGAAAACGTTGGGGGTCGACATTTCTACTGTCGCCGGCAGGTTAAAGATAATAGGAGCCTCCTTTGTAGGGCCCCAAGCCTCCTTGACGGCTTCACAGACCTGCGCAGCGAACTCGGGCTCGGTGTCAGAGAAGGTTTCGGGGGAGAACTCGAAGTGCCACTCGGTACCAGCATTCGAGGGGTCATCCTTGGTGATAGAACGTGCGAACTTAGTGCAACGGACGGCCATTTCCAGACTCTTCTGCTTGTCCATGTTGAAGACGATCCGACGGAAGCATGGACTTGTGGCCAGGTAGATGTGCAAGATCGCCTTCTTTGCGCCCTTCAGAGAATCCACCGTGCGGCGGATGAGGTCTTCACGGCAGGGGGACAGGACCTGGAGCCAGACATCATCGGGAACGACACCAGGAGTCTCCACCAGACGCCGTGTGAAGTCGAAGTCGGTTTGTGAGGCAGAGGGGAACGAGACTTCGATTTCCTTGTAGCCAATATCGACGAGCATCTTGAAGAAACGGAATTTTTGTTCGCCATCCTGGTGAGATCCAATGAGTTAGAGTACCCAGCCTCGTGAAAGATTATCATTCATAATTGTTCTCCCACAATGTGTCATACCATTGGATCAGGCAAGCTCTGGTTACCATCTCTGAGATCAGTGGCCAGCCACCGGGGGGCCTTTTCAATGACTTTGTTTGGCCATTGGCGATCGGGGAGATGCAGCGGCTTAAACCGCTTATACTTCTTCGAGGGATCTTTGAGCCTTTTTCATGAAATTAATGGACTGAGTGGGAATCCTTGGGAGTGTGCGACAATTGACAGATGGGCGGGAAGCTCCACGATGACGGAGCTATGGAGGGGGAGGGGCAAGTGAGTGGACTTACATCGGCATGGTAGCGGGTGAGATCCGCAGTGGGGGAAATGGAGAGTAAAGGAGAGGGAGAGAGAAAGAGAGAGAGAGAGTGAAGAGGAAAGATTGAGGGAAGAGAGAACTCTCGCACACCAGAAATGAGCCGGGAGAGAGACTGAGAAGGATAAGCAGGGAAAAGTTGGAAAAGAAGAACAGACCGTTGCAATTGAGGTGTATTTAAGATATGCGCAATGAGTCAACCCAATCAATTGCAATGACTTTTGGATTTTCTTCTTCGCCGACAGCGGATGGCAAAAGCGGCGAATAGTTTGGTACCACACCACACACTCCCAAGCCCACTCAAGACTGTTTTCCTCTTTCGAACACACGCCCTATTGATCAATGTGAGGGCTTCTCTAGTTTCTCGAGGGAACCGGGGCCTCGATCAATCATCGCCTCCTCATTATCAATAATATTGCCCGTTCCCTCATGCCATTTGTGCAAACACATCATTGATGGAGTTCAACAAGAAACTCTTGTGTTTCATCGCCCCCCCAATCGGCCGATGACCGGAGGCGCTTGAGGCCTCAGGCCGTAAAGCCAGACCACTTTCATCCGCGCCCAACCGACAGTTTCCGGGCAATAGTGTCGATCCCTGTACATGACGAACAACGTTTTGATAATAGGCTATTATTTGAGACTTTTGGAACTCTTGAAAAGAAATAGTCATTAGGTTAAGGTTATTATTGCGTTTCAAGTCAGCGAATAAGATTAACCCTAATTTTAAACAACCATGTCCAGAGGTATATGAGGTACATCCAAAGTGCATACATATCTACAGGCAATACAAGCACCTCGCCAAGAGTCCTAGAACTCCTCATTTCTTGCCCTTCTTTTTGTTTTCCTTCTTGCCCTTCTGATTCTTTCCCTGTTTCGGAGTCTCTCGGTCAACCTTCCCCTTCTTCCATCCAGCATTCCCTTCTGATCGCTGGCGGGCGTCGTCGAGTCGCTTCTTGTCTTTATTGCTTAGCTTCTGCTTATCCTTCTTAGATTTCACAGAATCCAATCCGTTAAGCTCTGCGGCTCCGGCCTTTCTAGCGAGACTCTTCTCGCGTTCAGTAGCAAACCATGTGCGCTTCGGTCGCGACTTGATTTCTGCTTCGTGCTTGATCATGTTCTCACTCCTGGTCACTTGCATCTCTGCTTGTGCCAACTGCTTCTCTACTTGCTCCTCCTCGAGCACTGCGTCGATTTCTTCCTCGAGGTCCTTGGCCTTCTTAGCCCAGCTATCAGCGACGGCGAGGTCGACAACTCGGCTAGCGACCTTGGCTCCCTGCGCCTTACCAGCCTTGACAGCGGCCTTAACCACCTTGCGATCCGGCTCAGCGGCGATTGTGCAGGCTCGACCAGAGCGACCGGCACGAGCGGTACGACCGACTCGATGCAGATAGATCTCATGGCTTTGAGGGGCTTCGTAGTTGATGACCGTCTCCACTCCCTTGATATCCAAACCACGTGCCGCCAGATCGGTAGCGAGTAAGAACGAAACCTTGCCCTCTCGGAAATGTTCAACACTTTTAATACGCTGTGTTTCATGTTAATATTCTGCGTAGCATAGTTAATTGATGATAGTCACGACGTACCTGTTCCTGGCTCATGCTACCGTGAAGCTCTGCAGCTTTCAGCCCAAGCAGCCCAAAAACAATCCGTACACGATGTGCTTCTTTCTTCTGCCGGAAGAACACAATGACTCGTCCAGTGTAGATCTCTTTGCAGAGATGAAGAAGGTAACCCAACCGCTTATCCTCCCTTCCAGGTCGTAAACGCACAAATTCCTGGACCAAGTTCATGGAGGTGTTCTTCTTGGAGTCGACCATCAGTCGTACGGGTCGGTTGAGACCCACCCGAATGAGCTTGTCAACAGAGTCGGTCATGGTTGCGGAAAAGAGCATCGTTTGCCGTGACTTCGGAATAGTAGTCAGGATTTCGTTCAGCTCATCTGCGAAACCATCCTCCAGCATACGATCGGCTTCATCCAGAACCAGAATCTCAAGGGTATCGACGGTGAAGCTCGCTGAGTTACGCATGTGGTCGATGAAACGACCGGGGGTAGCAATAATCACATCAGGCCGTTTCTTCAGGATATTCTCTTGTTCACGGAGACTGTAACCACCGATCATTTGACAGAATGTGATATCGGTATAAGTAGCCAGTTTAGTAGCCACGTTGTAGCACTGTACAGCCAATTCACGAGTAGGCATCAGAATTGCAACACGGCTAGTAGGGACCTTTCGGGGACGGAACAGGAGACGTTCGAGGATAGGAACAACGAAGGCAGCCGTCTTTCCTGAACCAGTTACGGCACTACCAACAATATCCTTGCCGAGAAGGGCCACAGGGATTGTCTTGCGCTGAATAGGAGTTGGGTTCGAGAAGTTAACCGCGGCCAATCCACGCAGAATGGGTCGAGATAGGTTGAATTCCTGGAATGATCGCTTGGATAGATCGGCCACGGATTGCTCACTGGTCTGCTCCTCCGGCGCAAAGAAGGCTTTGCGCTTTGCTGCTTCTTCCGCATCTATCTCACTCTCAGCATCCAAGCCATCATTGTCCGAAGCAATGTCATCGGGATGCTGGACGGGCGTTGCGACAGAGTCGTTATCAGAGGCGGCATCATCATCATCATCACTACCGCCGTTATTACTCTCACTACCCGACTCCTCTTCGCCATTCGACTGCTCGCTCTCATCCTCACCGTCAGCACCCATTCCAAATCCATCCTCAGCGAGCAATTCGTCATCCTGGAAGTCTACAGACATGCCTCCCTCCGAAGCATTGTCCTCGCCCTCACTGTCTTCATCTTCGCTTTCCTCCTGCTTCTTTTGCTTCTTTTTCGACTGAGTTTCTTTCTTCGCTTGCCTCCTCGAGATAATCTCGTCAATATCCACACCATGCTTATCACCGTTCTTCTTTGCACCGTCCTCCTTGTCGCCTAGTCCCCACCCATCAAACCCTTCAACAACTTCGTTTTGAGCCGCACCGCCAACATCGAACTCAAATTCCGAATCCAAAGCCCCGTCATCTTCTCCAGCATCCTCCGCCCCCTCTGACTCGGAAGTAACACCCTCATCTTTATTCTGTTGTTTCCCTTTCTTCGATTGCTTCTGTTGCTTCTGCTTTTTGTTCTTGCTCTGTGCTGTCTCCGCCGTGTCCCTCTTGCGCTTCTTGGTCGAATGCGTTGTATCTTCGTCTACATTATCATCTGCATCCTCCTCGATGTTGGCGAACGCATCATTTTCATCATCGGAGAGCGTAAATACAAAATCGTCGTCTTTGGGAGCGCTGCGCTTTTTTGGTGGTGCCATGTTTGGTTCGTAGGAAGTGAAACCCGGCAGATAGGACAATCGGGTAGCTGCTTTTCAAAGAAGGATAGGGAAAAAATGAAGAGATGAGAACAATTCTCAGCAAAGGGCCCCTAATGTCTTCCCAGATACTGAAGCTGCAACTCACTGCTTCTTGTCTTTTCGGGGAAAAGAAAAAAAAAGTTCAAAACTGCGGAGGCGGTGGAAGAGTTCATTACGGCAGAAAAGACTGCGGCAAGGATTTAAAGTGGTCTTATTGGTGGTTATTCTTCTGGCTAACTGCAACGGAGCTAGCGTTCCTGAAAAAGATGCTAGGAATCGATAGGTTTAGTGCCACTACTTCATTGCTAAATCGCTAACATACATAAACAGTAGATTTTTAACTTCAGCGAAAGCATCGTCCCCTGTATCCTCTTTTTGTTCGTCTTTCGATTTTGACCTTTTTCTTTTACTTTTCGGTTTCCAGGAATAAATTTCCGCTGCTATGACTGAGCTGACAATTTGGCGTGGAAAAAGACAACAGGAAAACTAAAGTGATGTAGTTAATGTAAACTTCGAGTGCAGTTTCTTTAGCGTATTAACAACCCAATTTAGATGATTGAGTGAAAAGCTTATCCTACAGAACTCCAAGGTTATCCATTAGCATCCTGCAGAAGAACTAAATATCGCCATTCTTTTAGCGGGACAAGCCAATTCACGCGTGGGCTGACTGACTGGCACTGTCCAACCGATTTGGATTCACTGGCTCAATCTATGGCTCGAACCTATCACCGGTATGGTAACCGATATTTCGAATAAGGTAAGTGACGTTGAGGCTGGTGAATGTTAGTGGGTATGCTGGATTTCAAGCTTGTAATTCAGGGAGGTGTGGGGAACTTACAAACGATCAAATTTGACTCTCGCACCCTTGAGCTGACCCTGCTCTTCAAAGTTATAATTGCTTTTGAGCCAGCCTTCAATCCAGCTGTAAGTAGATTTTTTGTCAGGTGGGTAGCTGATGATAAAAAGAAGGCGGCCAAGTCTGCGTCGACCTCCTGACCAGTACCCGGCATGGTCATCCCTATTGCAATCGAAGAAGTAGCCACGCTTCGGAATGTAGGTAGGGTCACAAACTTCCAGAAGCTTATCCATTAAACACTTTCCGATGCCTTTATGCAAGTGTCCAGGTTTGACAAACAGCTGCAACTCTGCCGTAAATCGACCACTGGTTCTGCGTCCAAGGTAGTCAGTCGCTAGTGCATAACCGAGGATCCTTCCAGGACTTCCTTTTGATATAGCCCCGATTTTGCGCTCCGTAGCAACAAGGAAGGGCAGTTTCTCCTCAATGCTGTTATCAATACTCTGACGAATATCCTCAGACTGGAGAGTATCGATATTAGAGCTCAGAGGAGAGTTATCTGAGTACCAATTGAAGATTTCAAGGAGCCCTGGCACATCGCCGACTTCAACAGGGCGGAGGTAAACGTTTTCCTTGAGCACACTTGGACTGGGTTGTGGAACATTTCTCAAACCTTCAAGATAATGCTCGCGTGCAATCTCCCGCCGAAGCCGGTATTCGTCACGTTCCTTCTTATCGTGAATCTCCCAGTTGTGGCAGTAACCTTGGACAGTTTCATGCTGATGGAGTCGCGACTCTTTATCTTCCATTTTAAGGCGAGTCGTATGGTCGTCTAAATCTGGAACATACATAGTACGTACGCCATCCGGATGCGCCGTTCCATCAAAAAAAGCGTGGTGATAAATATCGGCATAGCAACAAATTTGGATGGTAGCATTGAGCCAACGACGGAACCAATCACGAAATGCCTCATAGGTAGAGGAGCAGGAATGCGGACGGTATTCCCAATTAGCATAGTAAATATCAGTCCAGCTATGCTTTTGTCCCTTCCCGGTCCCGGTATTCTGGCCGTCAGCACCCCCTTGGAGACAAGAATATGCAAGCTGTGTCCGTATATGCTTTTGCTCATCAGTTGGTTCAGATGACAGGGTCACCTCTCCGTCTGTAACGATTGGGTAGATAGCAGGACTGAGTTCATAGGCTTTCCACTGAGCAGCAACTGCCTCAGCCTCAGACAGGAGGGGCTTATCTGCCTCCAGGTCAACTCTAGATAAGAAGGCCGTTGCACTGGAAATGCATGCTGATTGGTTTGGAGCAAGACGACATTTGGTGATCGACAGGTAAACATCAGAGTTTGGATCCGTTCCAGGACCAGTTCGGCATCTTTCGAGGACTTCTGGGTTGGCTGTAGGAAAGTTGAGGTCTTTGAAGCGAGCCAGGTGTGCCTGTTGGACAATCTCTACCCGGAAGCGATTGAGCTCTTCCATTGCCTCTTCTTTTGATGGAGTCTCTTTTTTGGACGGCAATTTGCCAGTAGGGGTGTCACCTTTATGAGTCCCAGTTCCATTTCCAGTGTCTTTCTGGATGTCGCTTACTGCCTGAACACCAGCGTGTCTGTTTTGCGAGGAGTCCGGATTGGGCTGGGGAATCTTGCGGGTGTTTTCTTTTGGAGGTTGCCGAAGGGGTATGGGTCTGTTTACACTTCCACAACGACGGAGGACGATGACATCTGATTCATCGTTGGTGGCCATTATGACCGGGTTATTTACTTTCTTATCTATTTATATGTTAGCCTAAATGATTTTGCCTACTATAGCTCCAGGGTGTCTTACCATCTACCTTACCAGCCGTATTCGCATTTAATATTCTGCTTGGACACGGTGTCTCGAGTGGGGTAGTTTTAGTCTCTTGACACACTTGCGACACTGTTAGCTCAGACGTGGGTTCAGCAGACTTTGGGGAAGAAATATTGACAGAAGCTTGTAACTGCCCAGTTCTACAACAAGCAGGATTCGTATGTCTTTTTGGAAGTTCCTTGTGTGCTAATGGTCGGCGTTGTCTGATAGGAGGTGCGATATAAGGAGTAGGCGAGGGCCTCCAGGCTTGTGAACGACCTTTAGCACTAGGCTTTGATGGGATACTTTGTTTGTTTTGGCCCTCTTGTAGGGTCTGATGCTTCCTCGAAGGACCCTGCCCCTCCACGTCTGAGGTTGTAGGAAAGTTGCCTACGTTTGTGGCTGATGAATTAGGCCACGCAGACTTGTGTTGATGAACGTGTTTATTAGCAGGTGACAGATTACCTGGGGCTGTCGTTGGGGTCGACATTTTCCCAGATTGATCGTTGGCTTCAGGTGCACCAGTGCATATAAGCCCATGGCTATCAGAGTGTTGGGGGTTCGGAGCCTTTCTGGATGCTTCACTTCCAGGCGATAAATAATTGGGCTGATGGATCTTCTTGTCCATTCTGTCTAGAAAGATATTGAATAATATCAATAAGAAAAACCTGCGAGACAGTTGTCAGCACCAGAAACTTCTCTCTTGGTCAGATTCCTTAGATCAGTGGACTTCTATTGAACAAAGCCTTGTCTTTGATTAAAGGATACTCTGCCTCTGTCACAGGTCCTGGTGGGCTTGTGCTGTAAGAATGTAGTACTGTAAGTGTATATGTGATTAATGGAAGGGGAGTAAGGTACCGAGGCTTTGTTACAATCAATGGTCGTCTATTGCCAGTGGTGGTCGCCTGGATATTCACTCAGCGTCAGGCGAAAAGAACTTAACTCTCATAAATCTGTAAAGGGAGCAAAACATCTGAAAAAGAAATCTCCGTATCCCTCATATATACTTCGTACTAAGGTCATACTTTGACTCAAGTCAAGGGTCACTTCCAAAAAATATAGAGCACGGAAATCTTAAGTTAAATAGAGATACAGCTTTATTAAATTATACTAGGTTGCGTTGTCTGATTAGGGTTCTACTTCTCTGGGTGGTTGAAAAGTGATCTCCGCAGCCTCGTTGCGGAAACCCCAGCTTGACTTTGAACCCAACCACATCTCTCAGCTGACCCAAGGTCTGTCGCACGCCAACATCAAAATGTTGTCTATTCTGAGAAAAGCCAGACTAAAAGATAAAGAGATGCGAATCTTGATGCTGTATGTTATATGGTAGGATCTGCTGATTAACATGCTGAGCCACAATCACAGTGGCCTTGATAATGCCGGAAAGACTACGATCGTCAAGCAGATTATGAATGAGGATGTCACCACCGTCAGTCCCACGCTAGGTTTCATCATCAGAACAATTGATTTTCAGGGGTAACAAGCCTCGCCTTGCAACTTGAGTTAAAAAAAAAGCCACTAACTTCCCTGCAGATACAAACTCAATATTTGTAAGAATCGCCATCGATATTCTCGCAGGTCTCCACCCGCTAACCTGTCACAACTAGGGGATGTGGGAGGGCAAAAGACACTACGGTCATACTGGAAAAACTACTTTGAGAAGACAGATACTTTAGTCTGGGTAGTAGATGCAACAGATCGTCTAAGAGTTGGTGATTGTCGGGATGAACTGGCAGGCCTTCTTCTTGAAGAGGTACTTTCCGGCCTTCGAAAGAGTTTGTCGGGTATTTAGACTAATCAAGTGTACAGCGACTGACGGGCGCCAGCCTTTTAATATTCCTAAACAAAACTGACGTTGAAGGATGCATGACAGAGGAAGAAGTACACAGAGTGAGTTTCTGTTTTCGTTTCCATCCTCTTTGGACTTGCGGCGACTTCTTTGCGTTTTTTTTCACGTGTCACGAACAATGCTGATTCTTCCACAGCAACTGGACCTAGATTCGATCAAGACCCATAAGTGGAAGATATTACCCTGCAGTGCCATGACAGGAAGAAATCTTCATGCGGGTCTAGAATGGGTGGTACAAGATGCGAAAGACAGACTGTTTCTTTACTAAATCGAGCCGATGATGGCTGTTATATACCTAGTAAATGATGGATGCTAGTGCTAGTGTCTTATTCACGTCTTTTCCTTCCCCTTCGTCTGTCATCATGCAATATTGCATTCTAAAAATCTTTTGTCCACTTGCAGCTAGCTGAGTTTCCTAGTATTCCACACTAAATTTAATTCTTTGGGGCTTCTTTTTTGCTTTTTTGCACGACAAGGGTAGAGGACAAGGGGTTTGTTTAGGTATGCTCAGATGGTACGATCTGATCTTAGTCTAACAATGAGCTGAGAGAAGGAATTGTTCAGAATCTTAAAGCGACAAGAGAGGCAATGGTGTGATGGATTTCAGATTTTCGGGTTGGTGTCCTTGGTGTCCCACCAGAACGGGGAGTATCTAGGACGACGAAACCTCATCATCAGGCGCGATGTCTCACTGCTCACTGTCATTCTTTCCACCTGTCAATTCAAGGTCCGTGGGTCAGAAGGAGACCAGAAGCGTCATGTGTCTTAAAACCATCCGTGGATCTACTGCCAAGTTTAACCACGAAGTTTCATCGACAAATAGTTTAATACCGGTGAATCAAGGACCATTTTAACCACGACAAGCTAATTGATTTAGTGAACAACCATAGATTATCCATCTTGTTCGCTGTGTTTCCGATCGCGGGGTGGCAAAAATCCATAAGATTTAAATTTGCTCCACCGCGCGCAAGAGCCGAAGTCCGGAAATGTTCCCTTTTCCCATTTGCTTTTTTTTCTTACTCTCTTCCTTTTGGTTGGGCTGGGGCTTTTGGGTCAAGGAACGTAAACAATCTACCCCGTTAAGAAACAACAAAACAAAATACATAAAAGCTGCCAATTTCCTCGTAGGATAACACCGATCTTTCAGTGTGTGTGTATGTACATCCATATATATGTAAATGTTATCTATCCGGTAAAAAAAAAGTACAACCAAGCTGCAATCGAGCCCTTACTGCAGATTGGCATCCGCTATGTATACGACTGGCGGTCGCTAAAGAAGAAAACCGAATGAAGAGTATCTGGCGGTCGGGCGCCTCTTTTCAGCAAGGATGGACTTGGACTAGTGGGGCTGCCGTGTGATGTGCGTTTGGCTTGTTGGCTTTCCCATGTAAAATCTACTGACCTCAGCTGGGTCCCCATCACAGGACAACGACCTGATTGCAATCGGGCAGCGTAAAGGGTGAAAAAGCTGAAACTGATGTCTTCACCACACACCCTCCAGAGGTCCAGAAAATCGATAGGCAGAAATCAAAATTATAGGAGAAGCGAGGCTTGATCAATTTATCGATCACACTTCAGCCTTCTATTGTGCCGTGGAATTGAACTCCGAGCTACTCTTATTTCCTTTTTCCTTTTTCTTTTTTCTGTCCCTTTTCCCTCTTGGTTACTGGCTTAGTTAGGAATTATTATCAACTCGTCTGACTGGTTGGTTAATTCTTGATCACTTCCTTCCAACCATCCCCCCCCCCCCCCCCTCTCCCCCCTCGGTTGGTGCGCCTCTCGCCAAACCCCACAGTTCTGGCCTGCCGTTTGTTTCGTTTGGGAGGCGTTCATTGATTTTCGTTCCCTTCCCTTTTCCTTTTTCCTCTTTGACTTTGTGACATATCATCTGCCAAGGTGACCATGTCTTCCTCAGCCGACGCCGAGGGCTCAGAGGATGTCAATGACTTCCTTCTTCGAATCCGAGAACTCGGAGAGAAGCGCGACAAGGAAGACGAGGAACGTACCAGGAAGCTGGAAGAGGAGATCCTGCAAGGTCGAAAGGAGAGGCAGGCTCGAAGAGCTGGTATATCTGGAGTCCCTTGTTATTTTGCTCTCCCGCATTCGTCCGTGAGTTATGCACTCACGGACCACTGCGCCCTTCCAAGAGATCCAGTATCAGAAGCTGATTTTGTCCTTCTTGCGGAATCAATGTAGAGCGGGCACGATCGATATCGCCGACAAAGGACTCTCCATCTTTATTAGATAACGCTCGACTGAGCACGTCGTCGTTCGGTCTACGAGCCATCGACCCCCCCGAGCATCTTGAGCCAACCCCTCGAACTCCAGATCGTGATACCAGCAGCAAATCGGAAGTGACCCGAGACGACGAACCGGTAACTACCAATGGTAGCCGAAGAGGGTCGAGAGTGGATATAACCGAGTTCGAAGCCTCCCCGAAGGCCCCTTCAGCTTCCCTACGAAGCAGAGCCGGGACTTTGTCCTGGCAGCAACGGCCATCGTCGCGGGAACTCAATAGACCTTTCTTTTCTACTTCTCCCGTCCGTGAAAACCGTTCGAGAGCCATGTCAAGCGCTTCGAATAACGATCGTGGATTATCGAGTAGCCCAACTGTGCGCTCGCCTACCACAAAGGAGGTTCCTTCATTGGATCAAGCAGACCAAAGTGCCAGCTCTCCAATACCCATAAAGGCGACAGAAGAAGTACAAGAACTGTCGACACAGGACAAGGGTCTTTTAGAGTCGGAAACAGAGCCGGAACATACCCATGAGCTAGAAAAGGAATCTGGTCAAATTGATGTTGGAGAGATACGGTCACGCTCACCCTCAAGAGCAAGCTCCACCTTCGCAGATAGTAGCCTCGGCCATCGATATTCAAGCGTATCTTCTGTCTCAACAGCTACGGGACTTGGATCTCCAGTGCCTTTGTCAAGTGCACAGAAGTTCGAACCCCGGAAAACTGAGGCAGGCTTAGAGGATCAAATGACGACGCCTCTTTCACCTAGGCGCCTCTCCCCAGAACGTTCTACTTCACCGACTAAGGGACTTGGAGGGTTTGTCCAAAGCGCTATGATGAAACGATCTGATAGTGTTTCAAAACGCTGGAGCGCTCAACTTCCATCCGGACTGAGCCGGGGCCATTCACTGGCTGGCAACCGGAACAGTTTCGCTGCACCGAGTAATAACGATCTTTTGTCCTCTCCTAGACTTACCCGTGATAGCTCAGCTTTACCAACGTATCGACCTAGCTCTAGCCATAGCGAGGCAACGATTGGCAAAGACAATGAACGCCCAGCTACTCCGGTTTCTAACGGCAGTAGCAGTGTACGACCAGATGGGAGCCCCGCGAGGCCACAAATTGCACTCCATACGAGGTCTGCCAGCACTTTGGAGAACAGTGACGCTGCTTCACTACAGCCCACTAGCCCTGTAGTCTCAAGGACTATGGACCCTAAGCGATGGAGTCCGACTAAATCCACTTGGCTGGAGAGCGCTCTGAACCGTCCTGACTCCCCAAAACATAAGAAGCAACCCTCACAATCAACAACGTGGAGCAGAGAACGGCAATCAAGGGGTGGTAGTATCGATATGGGCCGGTCAAACACCTTCAAAGAAGTCACTCCTGTGGGACTAATGCGGACTGCCGCCCCTGGCAGTCACTCAAAGACATCGAGTGTTTCCGGAGTTCCGGATTTGTTTGGTACGTCGGAAACAATAAGCAAAGCAAAGGAAACTCCAGCGGAGCCCCCCACTCCTGGCATTGAAGACAATAACGCACCACCGGCCGAGAACATTTCTGAAGACAAAAGCCCGGAAGACGCTCCTAAGGCAGCGGAGATCGAACCAGAAATCACGGAGCAGGCCGCCACCAGGCGCAAGCGTGCCCCGACTTTATTGACACCAACCTCAAATACGAGCTTTGATTCTGCGCTCTCACCAACTAGGGTCTCACCTACCAGAGATCCCTTGTTGAATAGACCGAAACCCCAGTCCCCTGTGATAGATTTCCGAGCCAATCTTCGAAAACGAGAAGTTGTCAAGGATCAAGGAACTAAAGAAGAACCAGAGTTCAAAAATGTTTTTGGAAAGCTGAAGAAAACAGAGTCATCAAACTATGTCCCACCGGATGCGCTCAAAGATAATATCCTGAGAGGGAAAGCAGCGTTGAATACTACAGGAGGTCCGAAGAAAAGCCAGAAGGTTGATGAATTGAAAGAAAGTATTTTAAAACAGCGAGAGGCAATGAAATCAAGCGGAGGCTCGTTACGGCGCAATACTGCAGGAGAGAACGATGCTCCCGCCAAATTCATTCCAGAAGCCATTACGAAACGGCAAAACCTAACCAAGTCCAGCAGTGCCAAAAGCAACACGTCTGATACACCCGCTTCGTTTTCTCCTAGAGAGCCCGGGACACCACAGCTTTCGCCCCAATTTTCATCAGAGCTGGAGAGTGTCAACCGTTCCCCTAGCCCGCCACCGGCAACGAAGGAACACAATTCCGATGTACCCGATACCCAGGATCAGATACCTGAACCCGATCCTTCTGTCAGCGGACAGATGGATCAAAACAAGCTGGAAAAATTGGAGGGTGATTTGGGGAAAGCTGTAGTTGAAGAAGAGCAGAAAAAATCAAGTGATGAGGCCATCCAACCGGTGCGTGCTTTGCCATCGGGGAATGTCGTGCAGACCACAAGTGCGCCTGCTCCAGCTGAAGGTCTCGCTACTAAAGGTAAACTCGCAGGCCGAATAAACCCTGCCTTAGCGGGCCTCTTGTCTCGCGGTCCTCCTGCGGCTATGTATGGGTCGACAAGTGCGGTGCCCATCAATGTTACCGAATCATCAACTCCGAATCCTGCTGCCCCGCTCACACATATGACGAAAAGCCGTGCCAGGGGCCCAAAGAGACGTCTCCCGAACCCGGTGGCTTCAGAAGCCGTAGTTCCCGCATCAAAGGAAGCAGCCGAATCTCACGAGGACCCGGAACCTCCAAGTATGGACGAGCCTAAGACCCTAGCCACAGACTTGGCACCGAAGGAAGGATCGGGTTTTCAGGAGGCATCCCCATCTTCTGTAATCAAGGAAAAGGAAGGCTTCACAAAGGACCTTTTACCGAAGGAAGAGACTACTACTCAGGAGCTTCCAACATCCCTTGAAATCGAGGCGAAGGAAGTCTCCATGCTGGACAACGTACCAAAAGAAGAGATTATTTCTCCAGTGTCTGTTGCCCAGTCTTATAACGAGGAAACAGCCCTCAGAAATCCTACATCGAATAGAGATACCATTGCATCCGAGATAACAGTATTCTCTGAAACTAAGGATCCTGAGGCCATGAGTTCTCCATCGAAGGAAGAACCTGGCTCTCAAGAGAGTTTTCGAGCTTCCGATATTAAGGGGAACCAATTCTCCATGGCGGACCATGTACCAAAAGGAGAAATTCTTTCTCCAATGACAATCACTCACTCTGATGACCAGGAAACAACTCTCAAATATCCTGTATCGCATAGAGATACTTTATTATCCGGGATATCAATGTTCTCTGAAGCCAAGGATCCTGAGGCTGCATCGAAGGATGACACTGACTGTCAGCTGATTCCATCGTCCCCTACCATCGAGGAACCTGTGCCAATGGTCTCGATAAAAGGTGAAAAGGCTGGTTCCCAGGAGAGTCCCCTGCTTTTAACTACCATGAAACCAGAAGTCTCCGTATCTGACACCGTACCTAAGAAAGAAACTAATACTAAGGTAAATCTACCTTCGGCTGATACTAAGGAATCTAAAGCAAGCCCGTCGGCTCCCCAAAGTCCTGCAGGCAATTCTAGTGGCTGGCCGCTCCCTGACGGGGTAATTACTACGCCCACCCCTTCAGAGGCAGCCTTGACCCAGCCTGTTCCATCAAACACAGGCAAGCCAATTGAGTTCAAAAGGAGCATTCCTCGCATGGTGGAGAGGGACTCTAGGCAGAAATTTGGGACTCCCCAATCTAAGCCAGTCACGGAATTTGAGAAGCTCACCCAGAAATCTGAAAGAACCTCTGAGGACCTAGAAAAGCGTCAAGGTTCTTTCAAACCAATTCCTCCTCCGAAAGCAGCCCCATCTACACCCGCGCCTGAGTTTAGGCAATCTAGAAGTTCGCCGATCCATTTTTCGTCTCCATCTCCGTCTCCTCTTAGGTCCAGCTTCAAGCAAAACCAAATATACCCTTCCCCGACTCCTTACCGAAGGACTGCTCCTGGCATGTCGCCGTCATCCCCACGGGAAAAGACTTTGCCTTCCCCTCCTGTTCCTCCCAAGACTAGCCCTTCTGTGGACCAATTTTCGCCAAGATCTTCTGCATCATTGGTACCTCAGACTGATGAATCGCTGGAAGCTATTTCTAGCTTTTTCAAGACATTCCCCAACCCGAGTGATGGCGTGAACATCGATGCTCAATTAATGTTGACGAGCAAGAGCGAGAGTCAGAAAATCAGGACCCTGCGGAAGCAAATGTGGGAGATCACAGGTGACGGGAAGAAACAAGATCTTCCAGTCAACCAGGAGTACATCCTCTATGAAGGCAGCATGTACCTCTGCGTGCATCTATTCGAAGCTGCCGGTAGCGCACGGTCAGAGGCCCATCTTTGGTGTGGTGATGATGTACCCGATGCAGCTGTAGACGACGCACAGTCCTTTTCGAAGAAGGTGGCCAAGGAGAACGGCTGCAAATTGGAAATCATCAAGCAGGGAAAAGAAACGACACGCTTTATCCAAGCTCTCGGTGGAATTCTCATAACCCGTAGAGGCCTCAGTTCTCGTTCCAGCTCCTCTGCCTTTTTCATGCTCTGTGGAAGGAAACATCTCGGGCAAATGGTCTTCGACGAAGTAAATTTCTCTCTGCAGAGCCTGTGCTCTGGCTATCCATTCGTAATATCCGCCATGTTTGGCAAGGTGTATTTGTGGAAAGGCAAAGGCAGTGCAGCTGAAGAGGTCGGAGCCGCTCGGTTGATTGGCATGGACCTTGGGTTGACCGGCGAGTTCGAAGAGGTCGCCGAAGGAGAAGAGCCAGAGAGCTTTTCTGAATGTTTTCCACTGCGCGGTGGATCGGGAGATTACTGGCGCCCAGATTATTGGCGGTTAAAACCTAACCATGCGTGTTACCATCCGAGACTACTTCGTATTGACCATGAGCTCGGCCAGCGGTCAGCAGGCTTCTGGTTGCGACGGCCAGGATCCGCGTCGCCAGTGATCCGACCAAATGACACTGTCCAAGAGATCGAGCCTTTCTGCCAGAAGGACATCAAGGCCAACGGAATCTATGTCCTCGACACTTTCTTCGAGATCTACGTGTAAGTATACCCCCTGTCGAAACAATAAACTCATTTAGATCTGGACCTGCTAACTGTACCGTCTAGAATTGTCAGCGAACAAGCGTCCAACCGACCAGCAGAGTTCGTAACGGCCATGGTATTCGCACACGAGTATGGCATCTTGGCCGCTTCACTCCAAGACCGGCCATTTATTCCTAAGAGTTTTGTGTCTCTCGGCGGCGTTCCGGATGCTTGCAGCCCAGCGTTCCGCAAGTGGGAGCAGGCTTCCTTGCCCATACCCCCACGTGTTTTTCCCTTGAATGCAGCCATTGAAGCCGTTCGTTCCTAATTAGTCTTGTTATTTTCGGTTTGTTTCTTGTTCACTTTTTTTCTTCTCTCTCACTCCTTGTTTTCTTGCCTATAGATACTTACATCTGGAATGTGCATATACTGGTGTCTGTACAGAGACTGTTTTCAACCGGCCAATGGATAGAACGGAAAGGTGGACATGAGAAGCATAATCCAAGGAGCCTCGTGGGACCAATTGTCTGTACATTGTCAGGGGAGTTTTGGGAGCCACATCAGGTACATATTGGTGATTTCTTCTGCATATCTGGTTTTCTTCTGATGTATGATACTTTATGGCTCTGGATATGTACGTACATATCTAAACTTGCTGTACTTGGGCACAAATGCATGAATTATTCGGGGGAAAACTTGGTTTTGATCATGACACTAGTTGTTCTATAGGTCAATATTCATATGATCATGCAAATTCCCGATACTGGCCGTAAGGATATATGCACATCTTATATACTACTTATATACGTGATTAAGGTTGCTGCATGCCATACATGCTTGTGCAGAAGATGGCTTATCGTTATCAGATTATGTATGGCCTGAGGTCGAAAATCTTTCGGCCCGACTCCGGCCCACTCCGATTCGCCATAGGCTGTCGGCGTTCCATCATCGCCACTTAACAAGTTTAGTCCCTTTTTACTTTTTTTTTCTTTGTCAGACGGTTCCTGAGATGCATCTGATACAAAGATTGCCTAAGGGCAACACTCAAACTCTTAACCTCCTCTGGGATTACCTAGACAACAATGTGCCTTGACTGATCTACACGAACAATAGCCCCATTTGGAATTACGGTATATCTCAAAATTCCAATATGGAGACTCTAGACCCCACCATTCATCGCGAACTCTCCCGGCTTGACCCCGCAGTGCCTTTTCGCGCATCAACAGAGCATATCCATCATACATGGGCTAGGACGTTCTTCTCGCGGCCGGAGCTTTATGTACAGCCACACTCGATTGAAGAGATTCAAAAACTTGTAACTTTAGCTCGTCGGTGCCGCCGTCGCTTGGTCACCGTTGGTAGTGGCCATTCGCCTTCCGACTTGACATGCACATCATCCTGGCTGGTGAACCTGGACAAGTTTAATCGTGTCTTGGAAATTTCGCCTGAGACAGGGGATGTGACAGTTGAGGCGGGCATTCGATTAAGGGACTTGGGTGAACATCTGGGAAAACATGGGTTGACTTTGTCTAATCTGGGGAGCATTGACGAGCAATCCATTGCGGGTGTAATTTCGACGGGCACACACGGAAGCTCTTTGAAGCATGGACTAATCTCTGAATGTATCACGTCGCTTAAGTTAGTTCTGGCTAACGGGCAATTGGTACGCTGCAGCGCTACCAATAACCCGTCGCTTTTCCGCGCCGCTCTTATCTCCCTTGGGGCACTAGGTATTATCGTCGAGGTCACTTTCAGGGCGGAGGCATCATTTAAGGTCGCGTGGCGACAGGCTCGACGTCCACTATCGAGTATCTTGGCTGAGTGGTCAACTGGCCTGTGGACCTCGCGCGAGTTCGTCCGCGTCTGGTGGATGCCGTATGAGCAATCTGCTATCGTCTGGCATGCGGATAAAACAGATCTGCCCCTTCGTGCACCGCCAACGACGTTCTATGGAGAGACGATCGGATATCATATCTATCATAACTTGCTGGCGCTTGCCAATTATTTCCCTCGTATTCTCCCGTGGGTTGAATGGTTGGTCTTCGGTTTGCAATATGGGTTTAGACCGGGGGTAAAGGTCACGGAGGCAGTCGAACCCGCTCGCTCCGGTCTGTTGATGAACTGTCTCTACTCGCAATTTGTTAATGAGTGGGCATTGCCCTTGGAGAAAGGCCCAGAGGCTATCATACGCCTGTCAGCCTGGTTAAATGGAGACTCTGAGACAGCGTGTATCCCATTCCCGGTCGAAGGATTGTGGGTACACAGCCCCATCGAGGTCAGAGTTGCGGACTCAACGCATAACAAGAATCCTCGTCCTTTCCTTGACCCTAGCTGCCACGACGGCCCAACATTATATCTCAACGCCACTCTATATCGACCATACCTCCGGGATCCCCCCTGTAGGGATAGGTATTACGAGGCGTTCGAGTGGCTCATGCGTGAGATGGGCGCGAAACCACACTGGGCCAAAAACTTCAAAGTCACTGGACGTCATGAGCTACAAGAGCTGTATGGAAAGGACATGGATGAATGGTTAAAGGTGCGTCAAGAGGTTGATCCCGATGGTATGTTTCTTGGCGAATGGCATCGTCGCAACCTTGCCTTACCTGGTGGCGAGAAGGATGAAACAATGTCTACCGAGTCGACAAATCTTCCGCTCCTAGAGCGCGAAAAATCCCGTCGGAAGGCAGGATTCCGTGGGGCTGGTGATGGTATGGAGTGGGTCGGAGATAAGCAGTGGCTGGGGAATACAGGGAGCCAAGTTAAACCCTTGTTGACTAGAGGAAAGGAGTATGATGGTTCGTCAGAAGGGATGAGCCCATCAACAGCAACCAGCGAAGAAAGTTTCGATCTTCTAGCGGCTGGCGAAGCTAGCACTGTCCACCTAGATGAGCGCTCATGATGGATAGAACATGAATGGACGAATTCAAAGTAGCAAACACGAAGAGGAAAAAATAATAAACAGAAAAATAAGGAATTTTTTTATTCTTCTCATATCCTCCAAAAAAAAAGTCTTTGGGGTGGTGACCGGCGAAATGACTAGGTGGTTGCCTGCCAAGCATTCGTATTATTTCTCATTTCGGCATTTTTCTTTCCAGTCTCTCCTTTCTCATTAGTCAAATTTTTGTTTGCTGGGTCGGAGTTTTCACCCGAGAAAGAAACGAGCAGCAATCTCTCCGATTTTCGCCATCACTCTATCATATCTGTACTCGGGATAGTTGTTCCCCGTGTCAGGTAGTCCGATGTCATGGGGACGTCTTCCCCGGTTATATTGGGCGTGCTATGCTCTATACCAGGGGGACATAATGACCGGACGTTGGTCGAATACGGCAGGCATATGGGGAATCCGATCCCAAAAATTTTCCAAGTGACATCAAGGCTGAGACGCTCCTAGCAATCTGATACGAGCCTAGTATGGAAAAGACACTGTCATGCATTAGACATGTGCCTGACCTCGCACCTTACTAGCGGCCACAGTTGGGAGGATTTTCAATACATACATACTGCCTAGGGCAATGTATATGCAGAGATGTGCAGATGCTTCACATTTGGCTTTTCCTGTTAGCCATTCTGAGAGGTCGGGTTCTCTCTTTGTTTGGTCAACCTTCACCAAGCATCAGTGCTGCCGGATACATTAGCATTGTTAAGCCGAGTCACAGCGATATCCCTTTTTGGCAGAGGTTGCAGACAAGGATTAAAGTAATAGGACATTTCTTTTTTGTCATGACTGAGCACGCACTGAACATATGCATGGGGAGTTCTGTGTAATGATATTACGTCAGGTCTTTTCAAGTCCTGATATGCAGGCGACGCCAGGATCCTCTTCTTGTGAAAGTGGGAGGGATGACTGTTGTTTCCACCGAAGAAGTGTCCTTGTGGTAGTCAATCTGAGGATTGGTATAGGTGTAGAACAACAATGCTGCTAGCAGAGCAGGCGAGTGTCATTGTGGACACGATGGTGATGGTAGTACTAGTAGTAGTAGCAGCAACAATAGTAATGAATATGGAGTTGATGTGGTCATCGTGGGGCACATGAGATCACGTTCATTGGCTCTCTCTATTCCTTTGCCGGCCACCACAACCCTTTCCTTTACTACTTCTCCTTGTACTTCTCCTTCCGCTCTCCACTCACTCCATCACAATCCTTGGGTTACTATAATACTGCTATTTCATGAGAGGAACAAAACGAGAGGAGTAAACTCATATTCTTCTCCAGAGATGACGAAAAAAGGACTGAATACGAGGGATAATAGCAACGACGTTGGCACGGAACTGCGCCACATCGCCGATTGGTCCTGAAGAGGAACTGTGCTAGTGACTTGACAGATTTTCCTTCGCTGGGACGTATCGATTTCAGTCACAGCTCCGAATGATTCAGAGTCCGCTATGACGGCGATGCCAACTTCAAACCCCTCTTCCGCTCAGCCTGGATGCGAGTGGACGGACCTTTCCTGCAGCTTGCGCTTGCCTTGCAGTCGGAGGTTCCTCAGCCGCTAAGCAAGTTAAAGAAAGAGGGGCAGTCGTGTACCTGTCCAGGTTCTTAGCTTCGTCCTAAAGAGGGGAGCGAAAGAGTATGAATCCCTGTCTTGCAATTTGTCTTGGTGCAAGGCTACTGCCGGTTTCTCCTTTTACTCACTTTTTTTTTTCTTTTCTTTTTTGCCAATCCTTCCTTTTGCTCTTCTAATCATTTTCTCCAGCTTGTGAATAATCCGTGCAGATCCAGGGAAAAAGCGGAAAATGACATGGGCACGCCCATGCCATGTATTGCTTTTTTCGGCAGCCGAGAACTCGACGATTCGCTACACAGCAAGTACGTCGATGTATCAAATAGGCCGTGCATACAAGAAATACTGTACGACCTTTATGCGCGTCCTTAAATGATTGGAAGATGCTAAATTAAGAGTTCTTGATTGGCTCTATCCTAGACATGAGCATCCCCGAATACTGCTTTACCATCAAAGATTCATCACTTCACCAATCTGCTTGTCAGGTGATGACCTCACCTTGGTGCCAACAGGCCGTGTCCTCGACTCAATCTCCTTTTTTGTCTAGCCATGAAATCGTCGCGTCATACACGCGATGCGACCCAAACGCATGGGTGATTGGATACAGCTATTCTCATTTTCTCCAGACGCGCCACGCCGCCGCCGTCTTGCACGTCTCAGAGAAGAATGTCACTTGACATATAACGTTGTATTATATAGATTTACTCGATCCGATATTGCCGCGCTGATCGTACACAGGCTTCGAGCATCTGCGTCGCCCTAGGGTGGTGAACTGTACAGTACCGTACGATATGAGAACGAGTAACGAAAAGGAAAACAAGGCTAAAGAACAGTACCCCTTATTGGATAAGCAGCAGTCAATCCTCTTGGCAGAAACAGTGAGCCAGGATATGGCACGCGCCCGTCCACTGCATATGATAGTCGAAGTGTGATGGAGGGTCAATGCGCCAATGACAGCTGTCAAATCAACCGATAGGCGCCCAAGAGACCATAAGCTGATGCTCACCGATTTAACTTGCGATATCGCAGCAAGGCCCTCTGGCCTGCATGATGCTTCTTCATCTTGATGATACAAAACCGAAAAAAAAGAGAAAATAACACTGCCGCCTGCTACATCTACGTGGGGTATAGCGCATGGTTAGGGGGAATGAACACTACTTGGACCGCGTGTCAGAAGATGTAATCTTGATGCTTACTCTGCGTCTCGCTGCCCAAGGGGACAAGGGTTGTTCCCGGCTAGGGCCGATCTAGTGAACGATGTGATGGCCGTCGTTTTCCCGCGATGACGGCTCGGACCGTCAAGCCTGACCGCTGGATTGTTATGGCCAGCGAAATGGTCACCTGTGTTGATGCGTGCGAGGCCAAGCTCTCTGTATTGACCGTGGGGGCCCCGGTGTGTCGTCCAGGCTGCCACAGCCACAAATTACTGAGGGATGTCGAGCGACCGGACCGGTTGATATCGTGACAAGCCGTAATCCACGTCACCCTCTTCAATCTGTATATGGTTTACATTGAGGTGGGGAAAGGAAAAATGTGTGCATTCATGCGGGGCCCTTGCGAGTTCTTTTTTTTTTGCTTTTTCTTCCCTTGGGATGTTTGATAAACGTGATATCGACATGTGTTCGGAAAAGAGCTCTCAGCCTCTCTCTTCCCTACCAATATCTGGCACCCCACCTGCTTGCTGCTTTATAGAAATCTAAACATTTTACCCCTCCCCCTCCTTTCTGACAGAGGATTAGTCACTGCTCCTTTTTATACCCAAGCTTTTTCAACCCTGTGATTGCAGAAAATCGCTCAATTGCCTTTCCTTCTCTACTAGTCTTCTTGCTGCACACTGGTGAACTCTGAAGAAAATGTCCCGCCAACCAAAGTTACGGCCCAAGTCGCACATTCCCGGCTTTCCAGATGCCATGTACGATCTTGCGGCAATGTCGTCGTTGTCGCAGCTAGAAGCTCGCGCATCGTTGGGAGAAGACAAGCACGACCAACGCGTCTTTCGAGTGAAGCGCAAGCACGTACTCAAGGCTTGTGATCGCTGTAGAGTCAAGAAGACCAAGGTTGGTGAAGCAGTGGCATTTCCTAAATCTTTTTCTTGCATACTTTCATAGCACTCGTGCCTTTTCGTGCTCATTCATCTTAGTGTGACGGGAAACAGCCATGTAACCGCTGTTCCGCATATAATCATCCATGTCTCTTTCGAGAGAGGAAGGCTACACAGACAAAGGTCTATTCGCGAGGGTAAGAGGACTTCCACTATTCCTGTCTATTATTTTCAGCTCTGTGGTTAAGAAATGAGCCTAACTCCGATTCTGATGGCCGAATAGCTTCGTCGAAATGCTCGAGTCGCACCATTCACTCGTTGTGAAGGCGCTACAGAGACTCTATAAGCTCTGTTTAAACAAAGACGGGTTTCCAGGAGAGCCCCTTACGGAGTCACCTGACGGTTATCCTTTGACACACGCGATTCTGGACCGCCTAGGATTAATCAAACAGGCCGAGGAGAACGCAGAGGAACCCGATGAAGACTCCGAAGACCTTCAATATCTGCGGTATATCGCTGCTACTGATAGCGCAACTACCGACCCGTCTCCAGAACCTGTGACACCTCCAGAGCCTTCCTCAAGCAACTGCAGTCCGATAGGCCCCTCCCCCAAGGCCAATAGCCCCTATAAATGGGAATACCAACCTGTCCATCCGGCTCACCAGGAGCAATATCCAGGCTACCAACACACTGGGTTTCACAGCGTGACGATGCCTCGGTCAACGGTGGAGCCGCCGACTGGCCTCCCAGGGGAGGGCAAGTGTCCTCAACCGTTACCCCCAGTGTCCAACCCGGAAAATTCATACTATTACTACGCAGGCGCCGGAGATAACGCAGAGCCTACAAAAGGCCCTATTCATCCCGGAGTCTCAATAGGGCCGGGGACTCATCATCATTCTGCTAGCATGCCCCTTGAAATGCTCAGTAACTATAGCCTCCACTTACAAGAGCAACATCCACTTTACCAGGGGCTCGCTCCAAGTTGGTCGTCTTATCCCTGTGGATAAATCTCTCCAGAGTCTGCTCAGAGGCACCATTCACTTTGTCCTCTTTTCGACCATCATTTCCTTTGCTATCATCTTTCCCCCACCATATCCCGGTCCTAACGAAATCTTTTTACACGCGTAGAACGCGTTGACATCCACTCATCTGTTTTTCTTTATCTTACCTACCTCTCACTTTATATTATCATCTGAGTGCGTGGCATATACCCCTCTCTTCACCCTAAGCCATCCGCAGATCTCATTTACAATCAATAGCCAGCGTAGTGAGCGCGTGGTCCTTCTATGTGAGACAGAAGCCGACCCAAATCTGCCTGCCCAATCTCGGGCATGGCCGAGGCATTGACTATGCCTTTCATCTACCTTCATTGGCAATAGCTGTCTATCAATTGAGTACCTGAAGTGGTCATATGACCAATTGATAATTTTCCCTTACGCTTTCGACCGTTTAGGGCTTATAGTTTCACTTATTTCCGGAGTCTTAAACCAAAGGTATCATCCTTCTATGTTACTGCTCACTGAGACGAGCTGAGCACGCCGTGAGCAGCCTGCAAATTGGAAGGAGTTGATCACAGCTGGGGGAGCAAACGGGCGAGTATGAGGTAGCCTCCATAAAATAGACTAAACCAGAATTTTGCCCATGCTCCTCACCCCTTGTAGTGCTTTGGATCGTCATCCACCTCTGCGGGAATAGATGGCTGTTGTTCAATAAAAGGGATCTACAGTTACACATGGGTGCGAGCAACTTCTCCTTGTAACCGCAAGGTGGTCTCCACCTTACTTGCACATATCTGCATTTTACCATTTTAATTGCTGATTGGCCTCGACTAGGAGCACTACAACATCATCCCAGAGCTGGGCAATTGCTGATTGACGGTTCTACTCATATCCAGACTCCCGATGTAGTCGGTTCTTATGTCTCTTCTGGACAGCCAGGCACGATTGACTACCCCTTGTTCTCAACGAACCTCTTCATGTCCCAATGCGCTGATGTATGGCTATGATTTAACCAGAACTGAGGATACAGACAGCGTTTGTCTATGAAAGGAGGCATTATGCCTTGAATACAAGCGGTACGGAAATATAGTGAGACGTTCTCTAATAATGAGAAGATGAGCCTCCGATTGCTTTAAAACGAAAGTATATACTATTGGTCTAGGGAACAAAAAACGATGTGACTTTACTCGTAGTCGCTGACCACCACTGCCAGAAACACAAGGCCCCGTAAAATGCAATAGTCAAAAATGGTTTGTTGTAGCCACACTCTCCCTTATCTAATGCCGAAAAGGAGGTACAGTAGTTACTCTCTACAATCTAGCTTGCGTAAGTAGACGAATATGATGGGTATTGGTAACAGAACTACATCCATCGCTACTTTCGCTCCAAGGATTGATTCGCAGGAGACCACAACGAGACTCCACAAGACAAAGGTATGAACTCCCGGATATAATGCATAATCTAACAGGTAGTAAGCAAGAGGAAACAACCCCGACATATGTAGTAAAACAAAGCGAAAGGAGATATCCTAAGGATAGATGAGGAAGAAATTCGTCATCTCGTCTCTGCAAATCTCCTTTTGGCGCCGTACCATCTTCGACTAATATCGCCTTCTTGTATCATCTGATTGAAGTGTCTTTTTTTTTAATAGCTCTTTTTATTAATTTTTCCCGGTCATTGTTCCCTTTCATCACCCACTGGACCGCTTAATCGTCAATGTCGGTCTCAGTGTTGGTGTCGCTGGTATCTCCTGCGTCGCCGTCTGTATCACTCTCTTCATCACTGGACTCATCGTCTGCCTTCTTGGCCTTCTTCTTAGGCGGTTGGCCTGTCTTCAAGGCCTGCATTTGACCGGCGATAGAATCTGCAGTTAATAGTGAGTTAGCGTTACCTTTAGGCATGAATGTGGTATCCAGCGAGGACAAAGATTTACCTTCATCGGGTTCACTGATATCATCTTCTTCCTCCAGGGCAGCTGCTTTAGCGGGATCATCAATGTGCAGCGTGACTTCCATCTTCGTATCAAGACCGAGGTAGCTGTCGCAAAGCAAGTGCATCACAAAAGTGAAATCTCCCACCTGGGGAGGAGCTTGGAACTGCATCTTGAGGGTCTGAACGTTGAATGTAGGCTTTCCAGATTCGTCGAACAAGGGCTTATCAAAGGTGGTGAAGGTGAATGGTGGCACAGCCATCTTGCCCTGCTTGGGATCGGCCAAGAAAACATGCCACCGAGGAGAGTGATCACGGGCCAGGTATGGTGCATGGGCAAGTGGCGGTTGGATGGTTTCCACCTTACTCTCCACCTTCTCACCGTTAGCGAGCTTCTTGGTCTTGGTAGACTTCCGGCCCATGAGAGCGTCAAGATCATCCTCATCCGGGTCCACATCTTCAAGATCGGCTGGGGATACTTCGGGGACGTTCGAATAGCCTGGCGGGATGAAACGGGCTTTCACAACTAGCTGGACAAGGCTGCTTGGCGTGATAACCTTTTCTCCCATCACCTTAAAGAACGCTTTGGAGACTTCGAAAGCAGGCAGTTGTTTAGCAACAGAGATAGCACTTGCGTATTGTTTTTCGGATAAAAGACCTGCGCCAATTGTGAGGCTGCGTCGCTTATCTTCAGGGAGGCCCATGAACTTTTGGACGGTGTAGTGAGTTTTGGCATCTTCGCCTTCGATAGACTTGACAACCTCATCGGTAAAGTAGGGCAATTGAAGGAGCGGAGATGATCCCGGGGCGATGGCTTGGATTATATTTTGAGAAACTTGGAAAGAGCCCAGGATTGGACGAAGGTTACCGAAGGCAAGAGCAATAGCCGTGAATGCTTCAGTCAAAGAGAGTGCAATAGGGGCAGCCTCATACTTTTCTAGATGGAAATATCAATAAACCGACCAGGTACAACCTTTGATCGGAAATAACTTACCTCCGTTGAGTGTAGCGTCATCCAAATCAATGCGGCCGACGTAAGCCCACAATAACGCGAGCGCCTTCCGCCGGGTGGAATCATCCAGTTCCTTGAGTTTTTCACGGTCTGCGGAAGACAGGAACGTGGCATCATCTGCCAATACCATCTTCTCCAGCTTTGCCAACCCAGCTTCTGCTTGTAAGCCCTTGAGCATTTCCTTGAACTCATCGCCAGAGGACAGAGCACCGATGATTCCGCCCCCGGTGAGACCATCTTTGTATTCCCGGAAGATGTTTCCTGCGCTAGCGACGAGGACTTTCTCTTTGGTGTATCGCTGCGAGCCATACCACCACTTGCCAACGATGTAAGGTAGGAGCACACCGAGCAAGCCGCCATAGACCAGCAGAACGTATTTGCCATTGCCCTCGGTGACAATGAACTGCGGAAGTGCAATACCAATGCTGAAGCTTTGCTTGCCATCTGGGTGACCGTATTGGATGTAGTTGTTGCGAACTTCCTCATCTGTCAACGCTTTGTAGGCTTTGGTCAGCTCAACGAAACGCTCGTTGAGCATTTCAATAGTCTCATTCTTCGCAGGATCTGGTCGAATCTTGTCGGGGTGATAGATAAGAGAGAGACGCTTGTAGTGCCTAGAGATAGCTTTTTCATCGGCGCTCTGACAGATGAAGCTAGTTAGTTGATGTCCTCCCTTGTACGGTGTTTACATGGGAGCTCACCCTTGAAATGCCGAGGATGTCATACGGATCCCAGATCTTCGGTGCCGTCCTCGCGGTGACAAGAATCAAATAAACCATCCATGCCATGACGGCATAACCAACAATAACGGTAACGATGCGCTTGATCCTGCGCTCTTTGCGTAGGCGCTTACGCTTCTGCGCCTCGATGAGGTCGCCATGTTCTGGCCTGTACCCTGACTTTATTCGAGGGGCGGTATTCTCAAGTTCTGTCGCGATTGGAGAGTCAGGATCGATATTAGATCGCACAGTCGCAGCTCAAATTCGGAAAGCAGTCGGTACTGACCTTTGCTCGGCTTAAGAAGGTTATATGTTAAGGGAAATGTGACCAGACCCGTGAGGGTTAAGATGAAGAACGGGAAAAATTGACCCTTCAGAAGAGAAGTGTTAGCTGATCGATCCCCAATCTTGAAGACAGTTGCGTAGTGACCTGTTCATCATAGGTGTAATCTGTAGACATGGTGACGCAGTTTCACAGAAGACACGGTCGCCCGCGATGGGCAAGACTATGGGACAACGTGTGACCGTCGGGACACACAAATGTGTTGGTGAGATGAATATCTTCCTGGGTAGAGTGGCAATAGGCGACGAAATTCAGGATCTAGGTGGCTACCTCCAGGAGCATATTCCCTTCTAGGAGAGGTAAAAGGAGGGTGAGTGGCAGGAGGGAAGGTTGTCGTCTGTCTTGATAATTATCGCATCCGTACTAACTGTTAACTAACATTCAATCTGATCGACCGTGTCCTTTACGGGCGGTCACCACCCCCACCGCCTTCCTAGCAGGGCCTGGCTTCAGGGTGCTGTCTTCGCCACAAAAATAAGGCAAAGTTAAAGGTTACTCTTTGTCCTCGACCCACTTTCTGCGTACTATACTGTGCTTCGATATCTCCTACTATTTTGTCGAATTACATGATTTCCCCCCCTGCTTAAGGTATCTGTTCTAGTTATCAACTGATTTCTGTTCGGGTACTCGTCAGGCCCGATGAAGATGTCAAAATTCCATTTTGAATGGGAATATGTACACTGCCTAGCTTTTTAGGGCTGGAAACAATGCTCTAGGTAGTACAATATATATAGCACACATATGTCAAGATGAAGGGCTTGTTACCCTGAGTAGCACCTAGAGGATCTTCCAGAGATCCCCATTACCTCTCAGATCATGTCAAACAAGCCAGCAATACTCTCCATCCCAGGAGCGTTTGGCATGCCAGAGTTATACGATGCAATGGTGAACGCGGTAGCAGCTCAAGGCCACTCAATACGCGCGCTGCATCTCCCGAGCGTGGGATACCAAAGTGGGGTCAAAGAGCCACCATGCATGGAGGATGATGTCGCGTTTAGTGGCTCAGAAATTTCCAAGCTCGCAGACCAAGGCAAGGACGTGGTGCTCATTACACACTCGTATTGCGGCATGCCGGTAACGCAGAGTACCAAAGGTTTAGGGGAGATTGAGAGACAGGTACAGGGAAAAAAAGGTGGGATTGTACGGCTAGCGTATATGAGCAGCATCGTGCTACCCTTGGGAGCGTCGGATGCGAGTGTCCTACTGGATTCAGATGCGTCATCAAGGGAACGAAGGGTGGAGTTGAGGATTGATGTCTGTTGTTTGTTTGCTTTTGCTTTGCATTGTTGGCTTTACTATTCTAGCTTACGCAAAAAAA